GACTATGTTGAGAATGTAGAGGGAAAAGGGCTTCACTTTGAACTCATGGTTTTCTTTAAATGCAATAAACTGTGACATTATAAAGTGGTATGTAGGTAGATATAACACTAATCTATAGATGTAAACACATTTGAAGATAGATATGTGTGTTTAAAGTTGATTTTGACCGCCCGGGCCAAGTCGGACCCAACACAAGCCAAACACTTCTGATAGAGACTATGTTGAGAATGTAGAGGGAAAGGGGCTTCACTTTGAGCACCTTGTTTTCTTTAATTACAGCGATCTGAGACACAATAAAGTGGTATTTAGGTGGATATAATACTAATCTATAGATGTGAATCCATTTGATGATACAGCTGAGAGGTTTAAGATGATTTAGAGTACCCGGGCCAAGTCGGACCCAACACTTCTGATATAGATTTTCTTAAGAAAATACAGTAAAAATTCTTCGCTTTGAACCCCTTGTTTTCTTTAAATACGATGTACCGTGACATCATAAAGTGGTATATAGGTAGATATAACACTAATCTATAGATCTAAACACATTTGAAGATACGTCTGTGTGTTTAAAGTTGATTTTGACCGCCCGGGCCAAGTCGGACCCAACACAAGCCAAACACTTCTGATAGAGACTATGTTGAGAATGTAAAGGGAAAAGGGCTTCACTTTGAGCACCTTGTTTTCTGTAAGTACAGCGATCTGAGACACTATAAAGTGGTATTTAGGTAGATATAATACTAATCTATAGATGTGAATCCATTTGATGATACATCTGTGAGGTTTAAGATGATTTTGACAGCCCGGGCCAAGTCGGACCAAACACTTCTGACATAGATTTTCTTAAGAAAATACAGTAGAATTGCTTCACTTTGAGCCCCTTGTTTTCTTTAAATACGATGTACCGTGACATTATAAAGTGGTATATAGGTAGATATAACACTAATCTATAGATTTAAACACATTTGAAGATACATATGTGTGTTTAAAATTGATTTTGACAGCCCGGGCCAAGTCGGACCCAACACAAGCCAAACACTTCTGATAGAGACTATGTTGAGAATGTAAAGGGAAAAGGGCTTCAATTTGAGCACCGTGTTTGCTACTGAAATATGAGACACTAAAGTGTTATATAGGTAGATATGATATTATAATTAGTCTATAGATGTAAAGTATGTGTTGTAATTTTAGAAGCGCTTTGACAGTTATTAACACGTGTCGTGTCAGTCCTATGACATTCGCGAATATCCACTTGCAGAAAACATCCTGTGTTGGTTTAACATGAATTAGTAAAGGCTAATTAGGTATGCGAAACACGTTAATTAATGAAAGAAGAGTAGTCAAAACACTGTCATTTCGAATTCCTGCCCAGGACATCACACCCCTGCACGTTAAGGTCGGTGAGAAACCTTCTCATCAAAGTAAAGACACAGTCAAGACACTGACTTTTCGGTATGAACTCTCGGTATGTAGCTATAATTATCAGTTTATTACATTGCTGAAGATACAGTTTGATTCAAACTCAATTAAATGAGCAAAACTATCCGTTTCTGGACATTTGAGATCTGCCTATATATGCACGTTCGTTTTATTATTCTGCAATCCATTTTTAGTATTACCCGCTGGCCCGGCCCGGCCCGACTTTTCTTGGCCCGACTTTTAGGCAATCCCGTCAGGCTCGCTTACTTGGTTGATGCATGCCATTTTTCCCAATTGCGTGGATCGATGCTCAAGATATTAATCACTAGATTGTCTGGTCCAGACTCGATTATTTACAGACCGCCGTCATGTAGCTGGAATATTGCTGAGTGCGGCGTTAAACAACAAACCAAACAACTGTCCATCACGTTGCTACAATTAGTATCCTTGTGTTGTTCTTAGTTAACCTACTTATGTAAATCCCTCTTATGTATGCAAATTGTTTGTTCGATTAAATGATTCCGACTGTATCATGAGCATGTGTTCATAAATCACTAATAGTATCAAATGGTAATGACACCAGGTGTTCGCGAACATTTGGAAATGTTATCCACATGTCAACCATAAACCTTTTGAATGCTTCACTGAGCATTACTAAGAAATGCCTGTCAAACAATTAAGTGAGTGAGTTGTGTTAACGCCGCTTTTAACAGTATTCCAGTTATATCACGGTGTGTCAGCTTAATGTGGGAGGAAAGCCAAAAGTGATGCCGGTCTTAGACGTTTAACACTTCGGTGAAACCCACGAGCACGGGTATGGTGCTGACAAACCTAGAAACATAATCGGGGCACACCGGGATTCGAACCCACAATCATAGGTTTCTGGCGTCCCTAAGGGACGCAGCTCTGCACAGCGAATCGCGGCGCCTTGGACGACTGGGCCACCCGTGCCCCCTCAAACAATTAAAGGCTAAATCGGTTTGTAGTTAAGAATCTGGGTTGTATTTATTGCCCAAAATGAATTTCAATCGACTTTGCTTATAAGTCACGACTAAATACAGATCAAAATCCCGTCATTGCTGTTTGACCTTGCGAAAGAATGACCTTACAATGACTATAGCTTAGAATCAGTCCAATATTGTGACGTAACTATAGTCTAGGTTCATATTATAAATTATATTTAATCCCCCCACAGGGAGTTATTTTGCTTGCAAAAGCAATAATATTGGCTGCACATTTACAATTCAAGAAATTATCTCGATCTCTATTCTTACGTGTATGACAAACTCTGTTTGAAGAAAAAAAGGTATAAACCTATTTTAAAGATACTCGTACAAAAAAGATACGCAATAGGGATATTTTTGGCCATAAAAGCAAACCAAGCGGTGCAAATTGAAGAGGTTTAAAGTGTGTCAGTGTCAGTGACAAATTTTCCCGGATCAAAATGATCACAACAAGGACATGCAAACCATCAGTCGGGAGGGCCATGGAGCTGCACGCACTGCACGTGCAGCAGCACTATGAACGGTATTAAAGTGCAGGGATTTTTGATTGCCTGGCATCTGCTTCAATCGAACAGTGAACATGCCAAGATTAACAGAAGTGCAACGAAACAACGTCATAGGCAGGCAGGCAGGCAGCTTGGGGAGTCCCGATCAGCTGTAGCTAGGGTTTTCAATGTAGCGCCCAGCACAATCACAATTGAAGGCTATTGGATCGGTTTCAACAACATGGGTCAACACGTGATCGGCCAAGGTCGGGACGACCAAGAGTAACCACGTGCCCCCGCCCAAGATCGCTACACCCGACTGCGCCACCTACGTGAAAGGTCGAAAACAGCCACCTCAACCGCATCCCAAATACTGCGCAGAATCTCCGACCAGACCGTACGAAACCGTTTAAGAGCAGCAGGCCTACGAGCAAGACGTCCTGCTCGACGCGTTATATTGAGTCGACAACATCGTCAACAACGACTGCATTGGTGTCGTCAACAAAGGGTATGGCCTCAACTGCGATGGAGAGATGTCTAGTTCAGCGGCGAATCAAGATTTCTCCTCCGTCGAGGGGATGGAAGAAGAGCACGGGTCTACAGACGCCTGGGAGAACATTACGGTGGAAACTGCGTACAGGAAGTAGACAGTGTTGGTGGGGGTAGCGTTATGATGTGGGCGGCTATCTCTCATCATGGCAGGACAGGTTTGGTTCATACCCAGGGCAATCTTACGGCTCAAAGATACATCAACGAAATTCTCCTACCACACGTCCACCCAATTGCAGCCAACGGTAACGGTGTATTCCAGCAGGACAACGCTCGACCGCATACAGCACGGATCACAAGAGCCTGTATGCACAACAACAACAAAGTTGATGTTCTCCCCTGGCCCTCAAGATACCCGAATTTAAACCCGATAGAGCACCTGTGATCTGAATTGGACATACGACTGCGCCGACGTCAACCGCAACCCCAGACGTTGCAGCAGTTGGCTTTTGCGTTGCAGGCCGAGTTGGCTATAATTCCCCAGGATGTGATTCGCATACTCGTCTCTTCCATGGACAGGAGATGTCAGGCCACTATCGATTCCAACGGGGGACATACGCGTTATTGATGGTAGCTGACCTTCACTTTGGACTTTTTCTATGTACCGATAACTGAGATGACTACAATCACCAAGTGTTCTCTCCACACCATTTTGGCTCAATACCTTGTACGGTTCCTCGTATAAATGTATTTTCCTACCTCACACAAATCTGGCTTTGCGTTTCTTTTTTTGGAAGAGTATATCATATAATAATTTTTATTGAAAGTCTATATATTTGAAATGGCGCAAGCTCTTGTAACGTCACACGTCCCGTAAAATCCAAGGTCACCTTTACCCGTATGACACACATGAGGCTTGCTTCGTTAATGTCATTACTTCAGTTAATTGTCTATTACTTATAAAAAAAACACAATTCATTGGACATTCCTCCTGGCCTGGCTCGGGAGTTATTCTCAAACTGATAAGTATTCTTATCATTCGGGAACACGGGTGACCAAGTCGTCTGAGGCACCGCAATTCATTGCGCAGAGTTGCGTCCCTTAGTCGTGCCAGGAGTGAGTGAGTTGGGTTTAACGCCGCTTTTAACATTAGTCCAGTTATATCACGGCGTGTCAGCTTAATGTGGGAGGAAAGCCGGAAGTGATGCAGGTCTTAGACGTTTACCACTTCTGTGAAACCCACGAGCACGGGTATGGTGCTGACAAACCTAGAAACATAATCGGGGCACACCGGGATTCGAACCCACAATCATAGGTTTCTGGCGTCCCTAAGGGACGCAACTCTGCACAGAGAATCGCGGCGCCTTAGACGACTGGGCCACCCGTGCCCCTAGTCGTGCCAGGAACTTATGAGCATAGATTCTCGGGATCATCCTGAGGATGTTTCTAGGTTTGTCAGCACCATACCCGTGTGTATCACTAAAGTGGTACATGCAAGACTTGCATCACCTCGGGTTTGCTCCTAAATTAAGCCGTCACGCCGTGATGTAACTGGGATACTGTTAAAAGCCGCCTTAAACCCAACGTACTAACCCTTCTCGTTCAGACTCCGCCTTTTAAACATCTCATGCTGTCCTTCGACCCAATGTCCAAGGAGAGTGCCGAGAAGCTGAACCTAGGAAAGTTGTAAGTATTCCAGAACATGAGATCTAAATCTGGATTTTCTACTATCATATTTACCTATCACTTAAGGGCTGGGTTGATGTCAGACTTTTTCAACGTCATGTCATGAATTGTAACCTTCCACTTAGCAACAAACACCTGTATCTCAATTAGAGGGTAGCATTGTAGGGGAGGATGAGATGAATCGACGACGATGAGAAGCGAAAGTATCCAATTGGATAAAATACATAACCGCCTGTTTATTTATTTTTTTGCAGCTATTGCTACACTGGCACAACCGTTGTCGTGGACATGAGTACATACCTCCACTGGCTCATGGCAAGGCAAGGCTTTACATCTATTACTGAAACCTATTGACCATGTGGCAAACCTACTGACTGTCTCTTTTTCTAACTTGCATTACATGCTGGTGTATGTCCAATTGCAGTTCATAAACTTCGTCCTCTCTAATACACCCACTGACCTTATGTTGATTCTGTACTGCTGCCTGACGGCTGTTGTTTTCCTGTAATATGATCACTGTTTAACAACCACCGTGGTCTCATTGCGACAGTACGCTATGCATACTGTCACAGAGAGACAGGGTGACCGTAAAGTTAATAGAATCAATGAAATGTGGCGTTAAATGGGTTTCCAGTAATTACTCATTTCGTTAATTCAAACAAAACAATTGTGATGCAAAACTCGGTATTATGCATGGTAGTGTAATCTTGCAAGCTGTTATAATTACATCTCCCTATTCTCAAGCCACGGCAGGAAGATAAAACGTGGTGTTGTCCGAGTGTGGTACTGTTGCTAGACAGTACAACGTGACGTCATGGCGCAGCACGGTGTCGTAACGTTGCGTGTGACATACACACAGACACAGACACAGACACAGACACTGACACAGTCTCTCTCTCTCTCTCTCTCTCTCTCTCTCTCTCTCTCTCTCTCTCTCTGAATTCGTGTCATTGTTTATTCCAGCTTCCAAGCCCGAGGCGGGATTGTGCTCCAGAGGAAAGTGACGTCATTCCAAGAGGTGACACCAATAATACAATCAGCTTGAATAGTCAAGTATAATATTGCCATAGGCAGATACCGATGCAGTTCACCGATACACAACAGGTGTATTCTCATTCCAGTTCCCGATACGGTGTATCGATACACTAAAGGTGTATTCTGCGACACAGTTCCCGATGCAGCATATTCTAATACACTTTCCTGAAACGGTTTAAATAATGATTCAGTTTCCCTATTTTTGCGCAAAAAGCAAAATATTCGTTGTTTATGAACGAAATTTATCGTATAATGGACAGTGTTATCGATGCAAAACCACAGTTTGATATTTATTATAATAAGCAAATACGTTTACACATCAGGAACCATTCGTCACCACCCGCCCCTTTCCGTAACCTGCAAGAAGACTCGTCCCCCTATCGATGAATGTTATGTGCGAATATACGATAAACCAATCAGAATGCGCGTATGATTTCAAGTTCTTCGTCAAAGAATCCCTCAGAAATAATTTTTGATTTTACATATGTCTTGCATCTAAATATATACCCAAGACACAGTTAAATGTCAATCATACTGTATAATTCCGCACGCCCTGATGTGCTTTAAAGTGCATCTGAAATATATATAAAATATGTGAACCATTACGCAACGAGTTGACAATTGTTTTAGGTATGCCCGTTTGCGCTAAGACGGAACCCGGTCGCAAAAATGGCCATGAGAGGGGCACGAGTCGCTATTCGTCTTGTCCCGGAATAATACGAGTTGGTCACGAATAATCAGGAACTGCTTTTTAACTCAATTCATCGATGCAACGTCGGTTTGATCAAAACGTTGGCTGACATTCCCAAATATATATACGTACGGCTTTCCCGATGTTTGGGAGTTCTGCAGACAAACATGGCTGCAAATAATGTGGCACTATGTGTTGATGGGCGGTTTACACAAACATTGTATTCATACGCCCTTCTTAAGTTGCTTCAGTTTCGGTGAAAAGATCATTCCAAACACTGATATTAAGCTTCAACATCACTGATTACTGATGAAAAATCTCGTTAATTTACTTCAGTGTCATGCCACAACAGTTGTCCTATATTTTCGCAGTTTGAAGGCCAGTACGACGTGGTGGTTAACTGTGCTGGTTTAGGGGCCAAAGCCCTGACTGGAGACGAGAAGCTGCAGCCAATGAGAGGACAGATTATGAGGGTGAGTGAGATGGCGGAGACAACATGTCGGGGTGAGCGCGGGTGGCGCGGGTGGCGCGGGTGGCGCGGAGACTGAGTATTTTGACACCAATCGCCCAGGGTGATGGAAACTACATTATTCCACAATACAAATATTAATAATAATCAATGACCAATAATGAGGATGAGTCTAATAGGATTCTGGAACGCCTAAGGCACTTAAATATGCATTGCGAATTGCGACACCTCAGACGAATGTGCCCTCTTTACCGAAATAATCAGCTGAACACGTTGAAACCTGACTACCTTACCATGTTCTGCTCTTATTCATCCGTGACCTCTCGTATCATTCCGTGACAGGTTAGGGGCACGAGTCGCTATTCGGCTTGTCCCGGAATAACACGAGTTGGTCACGAATGGGTGGTTAAAGTGTTCGCTCGTCACGCCGAAGGCCTGGGTTTGATTCCCCACATGGGTACGATGTGTGAAGCCCATTTCTGGTGTCCCCCGCCGTGACAGTGCGGGAATATAGCATAAAACGGCGTGAAACCACTCCCTCACTCTTTATGTCAAAACTTAACGTGGTTTACACGGTATTTGGTAACTTTGAAATATGTCTCTCTTGCGCCGACACCGAATTCCAACTCTTGCCTGAACTGATTCCCACACTGTAAGGAGTCAGTAAGTGCGATTAACCGCTTTAACATCTAGTAATGCAATATCAAATGAAATCGAACCTGAATCTTTTTACCCTGTCACACTTTGAACAAACGTGAACTGAATATTTATCAATCTACGTAAAAAGAAATTGAATGCCGTCCTGTCGATTTAAACCCCACAAAAAATAACCAAAAGAGCCATTAGTTCTCTAATTAGCTATTTTGAAGGCCCAAGACAATTGTGATATTTTCGGTCTTTGAATGTATTCGAATTCCCTTGGATAATATTCGATGTTTTTCAGTTAGATACCAAAATCTATGGGTCGTTTTTTTCAAAACATTTTTTTTTCTAAAAGTGATTGGAGGGAACAAAAGAAATGTAACAAGAATGAAAAGTTGTTTTTAAACTGTTAAGCGTTGTGTGTACAAAACCAGTGTCACTCGCTGATACAACCAGGACTATAAGAACCTCTTGTTGCGGCCTCTGTAGAAATGTCGTAACGAAAAAACATAATTTATGTCATATGAAATGGTTATTTTGTTGTTGTTTTTTTCTGGCCGGCAGGTGGCCGCTCCGTGGGTGAAACACTACCTACACTGCTCGGACTCAGTTCATTTTCTTCCCAAGTAAGACATCGGAGTAGTTTGTGGCACGGAATCTGGTTCATGTATCAGTGCAGCGTCTGGTCGGTACTATAAGACATTATGTTTGTATTTGTGGAGTGTCAGGGATCTGCAGCTGGTATTGGAATCTGCGTATGTCAGGAATCTTATATGAATCTTGTGTGGTATTATGGATTTGATACATGGATCTGCATAGGGATTTGGTATCTGGATTTGTGTAGTGTCGGGGGTCGGGTATCGGGATTTGTGTATTGTCAGAGATCTGGTATCTGGATAAGTGTAGTGTCAGGGATCTGGTATCTGGATTACTGTACTGTCAGGGACCTGCTATCTGTATTACTGTAGTGTCAGGGATCAGCTATCTGTATAACTGTAGTGTCAGGGATCTGCTATCTGCATTACTGTAGTGTCAGGGATCTGCTATCTGTATTACTGTAGTGTCAGGGATCTGCTATCTGTATTACTGTAGTGTCAGGGATCTGCTATCTGTATTACTGTAGTGTCAGGGATCTGGTATCTGTATTACTGTAGTGTCAGGGATCTGGTATCTGTATTACTGTAGTGTCAGGGATCTTGTATCTGTATTACTGTAGTGTCAGGGATCTTGTATCTGGATTTCTGTAGTGTCAGGGATCTGATATCTGTACGACTGTAGTGTCAGTGATCTGCTATCTGTACTACTGTAGTGCCATGTTCTGGTACCTTGATTAGTGTAGTGTCGTGAATTAATATCGGGATTTGTGTAGTGTCAGAGATCTGGTATATGTATTTGTGTATTGTCAGAGATCTGGTATCTAGATTTGAAAGTGTCTGGGAGCTTGTATCTGTATCTGTGTAGTGTCAGTGATCTGGTATCTGGATTTGTGTAGTGTCTGGGATCTGAAATGGGGGTCTGTGTAGTGTTTGGGATCAGATATGGGGATCTGTGTAGTGTCTGGGATCTGATATGGGGGTCTTTGTAGTGTTTGGGATCTGGTATGGGGGTCTGTGTAGTGTTTGGGATCTGGTATGGGGGTCTGTGTAGTGTTAGGGTTCTGGTATGGCGTCTGTGTAGTGTCTGGGATCTGGTATGGGGGTCTGTGTAGTGTTAGGGTTCTGGTATGGCGTCTGTGTAGTGTCTGGGATCTGGTATGGGGGTCTGTGTAGTGTTAGGGTTCTGGTATGGGCGTCTGTGTAGTGTCTGGGATCTGATATGGGGGTCTGTGTAGTGTTAGGGATCTGGTATAGGCGTCTGTGTAGTGTCTGGGATCTGATATGGGGGTCTGTGTAGTGTCTGGGATCTGATATGGGGGTCTGTGTAGTGTCTGGGATCTGATATGGGGGTCTGTGTAGTGTCAGAGATTTGATATGGGGATCTGTGTAGTGTCAGAGATCTGATATGGGGGTCTGTGTAGTGTCTGGGATCTGATATGGCGTCTGTGTAGTGTCTGGGATCTGGTATGGGGGGTCTGTGTAGTGTTAGGGTTCTGGTATGGGCGTCTGTGTAGTGTCTGGGATCTGATATGGGGGTCTGTTTAGTGTTAGGGGTCTGGTATGGGCGTCTGTGTAGTGTCTGGGATCTGATATGGGGGTCTGTGTAGTGTCTGGGATCTGATATGGGGGTCTGTGTAGTGTCAGAGATTTGATATGGCGATCTGTGTAGTGTCAGAGATCTGATATGGGGGTCTGTGTAGTGTCTGGGATCTGATATGGGGATCTGTGTAGTGTCAGAGATCTGATATGGGGATCTGTGTAGTGTGAGGGTTCTGGTATGGCGTCTGTGCAGTGTCAGAGATCTGATATGGGGGTCTGTGTAGTGTCAGAGATCTGATATGGGGATCTGTGTAGTGTCTGGGATCTGATATGGGGACCTGTGTAGTGTCTGGGATCTGATATGGGGGTCTGTGTAGTGTCAGAGATTTGATATGGGGATCTGTGTAGTGTCAGAGATCTGATATGGGGGTCTGTGTAGTGTCTGGGATCTGATATGGGGATCTGTGTAGTGTCAGAGATCTGATATGGGGATCTGTGTAGTGTCTGGGATCTGATATGGGGATCTGTGTAGTGTCAGAGATCTGATATGGGGACCTGTGTAGTGTCAGGAAATCTGATATGGGGGTCTGTGTAGTGTTTTGGATCTGATATGGGGATCTGTGCAGTGTCAGAGATCTGATTTGGGGGTTTGTGAAGTGTCAGGTTTCTGACATGGGAATCTGAAGGCTGTCATATCCACATGATCGGGGACTGAATGGTGTTGGAACCGGTCCTGTCCAGGTAATTGTCCCAAACAACCCATTGTGACGTTGAGTCCGATGGCAGATCTCGGTGAAGAAAGTAGACGAGTTTCTGTAATATCAGACCATCAGTGATCAGTGTTCGGTACTATTTTAACTGGACTTGATCCTTATGTGGTCGTCACAGCGAATGCTGGCCCCAATGATTTCACAATCAAATACAGGGGCGGTCGGGTAGCCTAGTGGTTTAAGCGTTGATTTACTTCGCTCGTCACGCCGAAGACCCGGGTTCGATTCCCGACATGGGTACAATGTGTGAAGCCCATTTCTGGTGTCCCCCGCCGTGATATTCTGGAATATTGCTAAAAGCGGCGTAAAACCATATTCACTCACACACTCACAATCAAATACAGAAATAATACAGTCTTTGACGTTCGGCAAACACTTATTTTAGCGTTATTTAATTTCACAGTAAACCTGCCCTTAACATGATCATATATAACCATCGAATGTTTCAGTGTTGAAAACACTGCCATTGGCGGCATCAAGTCTGTCGGTGATTCTGACACAAGCGTACGCCTGGACACGTCCGAACACATCTGGGAGAGCATCACCAAGCTCTGGCCTCCCCTGAAGGTATTTACATGATAATCCGTTGAACATCTGGGAAGTCGAGCACACCACCAGGGGCGCCAACTTTCGTGTACAGTTCGTTTCGTCTACAGTGTTATCTAACAAAGTTATGCAGCAGTGATTAGAGGGTTAATAACCTGACCCCTTCAGAAAAATAGGAGACTAGCCCGTGTATAAAATAATGCCCTGAAAAATAGCGTTACCGTTATTATAGCTAATAGTATAATGGATGGAATTTGTTATCAAATAAAAAGAAACAACAATATCGGTTTTGAAACATTTACTGCAATCAACACAAATGTCACTGACCCACTTTTACAAATATGGAAACGTCACAGAACAAACCAGATGACGTCACTATTAAAAGTGACGTCACTATCTCTACCCTATGACGTCACCTAACAATGGGCGTGATAATGGCACGTTGTCAAGCAATATGAGGGCATTATCAAGTTACAGTGGCCCGCTCATTTCTGATAACATGCGGGCGGTTTAATGATAATTCTATCCATTTTAGCTATAATATAAGGGTAACGCTATTTATCAGGGCATTATCATTTGCAGAAGCCCGAGGTTTTCCATTAACTACCCGACGAAGGAGGGCAGTTGAAAAGACCAAGGGTTTCTGCAAATGATAATGACCTGAAAAATAGCGTTAACGTTATTATAGCTAAAACGGATGGAATTTTTTTATCAAAAAGAAACAACAATATCGGTTTTGAAACATTTACTGCAATCAACATGAATGTCACTGACCCACTTTTACAAATATGGAAACGTCATAGAACAAACCAGATGACGTCACTGTTGAACGTGACGTCACCTATCCCTATCCTATGACGTCACACAACAACGGGCGTGATAATGGCCCGTCGTCAAGCAATATGAGGGCATTATCAAGTTACAGTGGCCCGCTCATTTCTGATAACATGCGGGCGGTTTAATGATAATTCTATCCATTTTATCTATAAGAACAAATATAACATATCACAGTATTATCAACAAGCAATATCTCTTAATACATTTAAGTGTTCAGTACTGAAGCAGCAGATGAACAAGCACTATCTGATATCAATTAAATTCTGAAAAATAACACTTGTAAGAGTTATGTACTGCAGCAGCAGATTAACAATATAATATCAGTTCAACGGGGCAATCAACTATATGTCCTTCAGCATCTAGGTATTCCAAAGGATGCTTTGACGCCACTGTCTGGGTGTCCTTTCAGCCTCTGTAGCCTTTAGTGAGTGAGTGAGTGAGTATGATTTTACGCCGCTTTTAGCAATATTCCAGCAATATCACGGCGGGGGCACACCAGAAATGGGCTTCACACATTGTACCCATGTCGGGAATCGAACCCGGGTCTTCGGCGTGACGAGCGAACGCTTTAACCACTAGGCTACCCGACCGTCCCCTGTAGCCTTTACAAAGTAGACACAATTTATGGATAACAACTTCTGTAACTACCGTAAAGGCGACGTTTCAGGTTAGATCTTTACACCGTTGTCAAGCAAAGAAGTTGTTATCCATATATCGTATCTACTTTGTCATCCGTCAACTTCTGAGTAATGTCTATGGAACAATTCCTCTGAAGCCTTTGATCAATGTCCTTGTACTGTGTCTTGGGAGGAGGAGGTCTGGCACCAGCTGAAGCATGTGCATGATGCCGACCACTGTGGCGCAACACAAGATCCACATCGTCATCTGTGCATTTGTGAATCTTCACATCTCAAGTGGCCACGTGTCGCCCGAATGTTATTTAATCTGTATCGGGGGCGGTCGGGTAGCCTAGTGGTCAAAGCGTTCGCTCGTCACGCCGAAGACCCGGGTTCGATTCCCGACATGGGTACAATGTGTGAAGCCCATTTCCGGTGTCCCCCGCCGTGATATTACTTGGTAGATGAGCTTCTTAATAATTGCTTCCCCTACTCATGAGCAGAATTTTTTAAGTTTTCGTCCATATTTCAAGTTTTAAATGTATGAAGGTGAGGTAAAAATTGGGTTTAAACCCATGCTTGCCGCAAATGGCGACTATATTTGTCGTAAGTAGCGATTAACGGGATCGGGTGGTCAGACTCGCTGACTTTGTTGATGCATGTCGTCGTATCAAAATTGCGTGGATCGACGCTCATGATGTCAATTGCTGGATTGTCTGGTCCAGATTCGATTATTTAGAGACCACCGTCATATGGCTGGAATATTACCAAGTGCGGCGTTTAACAACAAACAAACAAACCAACGAATATAACTGTAGCCTTTCCTTACAGATGTGTAACCACAGTCAATGACTAACTGATATACCATCTAAAATGTGACCAACAGCATGTTGTCATACTTCACTGAACGTTTAGGCTACACCGGTTGTTCCAAGCCACGCAGATGGCTGGAGTATTAAATGCTTCAAATGAGTGAGTGATTGACTATGGTTTAATGCCGCTTTTAACAGTATTCCAGTTATATCACGGCGTGTCAGCTTGATGTGGGAGGAAAGCCCGAAGTGATGCAGGTCTTAGACGTTTACCACTTTGGTAAAACGTACGAGCACTGGTATGGTGCTGACAAACCTGGAAACATAATCGGGGCGAACCGGGACTCGAACCCACAATCATCGGTTTCTGGCGTGCCCAAGGACCGCAACTCTGCACAGCTAATTGCGGCGCCTTAGACGACTGGGTCATCCGTGCCACCTGTTTCAAATGAAATATCTCTTTGTTTCCAGAAAGCTAAAATATTGTGGGAGTGGACGGGGCTGAGGCCCTACCGGGTGCCCCCAAGGGTGGAGGCTGAGGTCATCCGGTATGGGGACAAGAGCCTCAAGGTAGGAGGGGCAGGATACGCTCACCTTTGCGTGGGCACCTGGTGTCATCACTATTAGTGATTCATCAACACATGCTTAAAATATGATATATTCGTACAATGGCCTCTGATTTTAGCAGAGATTTCTATGATTCTGAAAATGGTTTTGTCGATTGTACTTTTTAAACATAATCAATATTTATCAAACATATTCGGTTTGTTTGTGAGTCACTGGGTTTGTGTTTTCCCAAAACTTCCTCACATTGCCCAAGGTGACTTGAGACAAAATTCTGATCGGCACAAAATAAAAACATCTCTCTTACAAGCCGAATAATGGTCCCCGTATCTGGTAATGCCCTCATCTGTCTTCATGTAATGCCAACACTATATTTTTCGTATCTACTCATTCGTGGACCCTCGAAACTTTCATTTCAAATGAATATGACAAAATTTGAAAGAATAAACAACCTCACTCGAAGTCCTCGAATCTTTGGATAACATCAAGTTATCCGTACCTCGAGACAAGAATTCTGCCTCGAGCATCAAGTATAGATGTCATGGACTAAGAGTTAGTGAGTTAAGTTTTCCGCCACTTCTAGCAATATTCCTGCAATATCACGGCGGGGGAAACCAGAAATGGACTCCACACATTGTACCCATGTGGGGAAAAGAACCCGGGCCTTCGGCGTCACGAACGAACGCGTTTACCATGTGGCCACTATGAGTGTCCCTGGTGTTGTTATATGATGACTAAAGCTAACGTTTGTCTCCAAAAGAGCTGTCTTATGTTCCAGGTTGTGCACAACTACGGTCATGGGTCGTACGGTATCAGCATGAGTTGGGGAACCGCCGTCCATGCAGCAGAACTGGTTAAGGAAATGTGTAAACCTACGTCAAGACTCTGAATTATCTCACCTTGTTTGTGGTTAGCATTATCTCCCCTTGTTTGTGGTTAGCCAATCTGCTCATCTCAATCCAGTAGGTCATCTCGGCTAGCATTGGGAGGAATCGACATTGGAACTCGACTTACTAGTTTAATCAGTTTACGGGACTATAACATTTAACAAGACAATCTGGCGGCACTTATGGTGGCGCTCATGTAAATGTTGCTTGATAATTAAATCATGTACCTAATTACTTAAAACCATAAAAGAAATTCCTAAAAATCGGCCGTCATGTTGTACGCACTATATGAGGGAGGAACGTTCCGAACGCGGTTAACAGTGAAATCATCCAAAGTCACTACTCCGTTATTGGCCGTTGTGTCATGTAGGTAACGGAATTCATTCCAGGTCTAGAGATTGTTATTAGTGTCATGTGTGACTGTCTCTGATGGACGTCATCTTTCACTGACTGGTGTTCATCATTGTCAGTTGATGCCCAGCTTTGGCACAAACACAGTATCTTAAGCGACATGACGGTGTTGCTCGATCATTTTATTACCGTCTTCGCCATGCTTGTGGTTTTGACACAGAGGTCCATCCATGGTACGACCCAGAATATGTAGAGGGCGTCATGGAAAATGATAAATACAAAATACTTTGGAATAGGCCCGTATGCAGTCTCAGGCGTATCCAGACCAACAATCCTGATCTTGTCCTTTTTGATAAATCCAATAAAATAATTTATATTATTGAATTTTCTGTCCCTTTTGACACTTACGTGATTTACAAGTTTCAGGAAAAAACACAGCAACTATGCGGACCTCGCTTTCGAAATGTCACGCTTGCATCCGAAGTACCAAGTTGTCCTACTCCCCATTGTTCTCGGTGCCTTAGGTTTGGTACCTACCAATCTGTTGACTGACATTGGGAGACTACCAGGGTTTGCTGCCAGGAATACAACCCTTCTGACAATCTTAGATCTGGATCTGCAACGAACTTAAAGCAATACTAATTATCTATAATAAGAAACAAAACAAACATACGGCAGTTTCATGTATCCACTTTTATTGCGAGCCTACAAGTTAAGGCGAGTTTACAAGTTCACAGATCTGTAGGGGCTGTCTTGAAGTACCATGGCTTGCCACGCACACTCCGTTTGAGGTTTTCGGACCGCGAGGTGTCGGACAATATTTCCTCGGCCATAGGATCCAGAGGGGGGTCCAGGGGGGGGGTTGATATTTTGTACCCCTCCCTTTAAAACCAAATGTAGTATGTTGTTGAGAATCCTACCCCCCACCCCCACCCCGATAGTAATCGTTTAATAAACAATGAAAATGTTAGTTTCGCTGTAGTAACAGATGAAATTATGGCGTCATATATAAGAGTGAGTGAGTTGGGTTTAACGCTGGCTTTAACAGTACTCCAGTTATATCACGGCGTGTCAGCTTAATGTGGGAGGAAAGCACGAAGTGTTGCAGGTCTCAGACGTTTACCACTTCGGTGAAACCCATGAGCACGGGTATGGTGCTGACAAACCTAGAAACATAATCGGGGGTGAACCGGGATTCGAACCCACAATCATAGGTTTCTGGCGTGTCCAGGGGACGCAACTCTTCACCCGTGCCCCCGCGTCATATAAGATGGTGGTGTGACGGCTGATAGAGAATGACCCTACATACAACAGACATTTTATGACATAATCAACGCAGGATTATGTATTATATCTTCAACGTATCGTTGTTAAAATTGTTTGTAGATTACAGGGTCCGTGCGATTTAGTCACTGTCACTTAAGCAGTAAGTGTCAAATAGTAAAACAGTCAGCCAAAGAGAGACGTACAGATTGACAGATTTAATACCAAAACTGTCAATATTTACAAAACGTAACCATTAGTAACTCATAGCTGACGATCTGTGTCCAGTTCGTTCGCAGATAAACTGTTCATCAAGCAGCTGTCGCTCTAAGGGAATGGCTAGTACAGAAACCGGCGAATCTTGCAGCCTTACAATGGTGGCTGATGGGTTGAGGTGAGGTGAAATGGGGTTTAACGTCGCGTCCAAGATTATTGCACTTATATAGCGACGTGCATGCACGTGTGTGTGTGTGTGTGTGTGTGTGTGTGTGTGTGTGTGTGTGTGTGTGTGTTTGTGTGTGTGTGTGTGTGTGTGTGTGTGTGTGTGTGTGTGTGTGTGTGGCTTCTTGCACTAGTCCGGAGATACCATGCGCAGTTTAACATGAATACCCCACTCAGACACAGTATACTGACTCCGAGCCGACCAGTCCTTGTTTTAGCCCCTTAATGCCGAGCGCCAGACAGGGTACCAACAAGTACAATCTTTTAACGTCTTTTGGTATGACGCGGCCGGGGATCAAATCACTAGACCACGGAGGCGGTCGCTGATGTAAGTGTAATGTACAGCTGTAAGTGTAAGAAATGAAATGTCAGCGTCGAGACAGATTCCACTGGACATAAGGGCAATGCAGATTTGAAAGTTGCATGCATGGGCCAACGTCAGTACCTCAGTCATGTCATGTCTACCTATTGGTAGACCACTGAGGCGGTCCATACTTTATTGATTACACGGCATGTCCTCAGACAATAAATATACTAACACAAATTAACTTAATGTTTTATTACAAAAGTATCAGAATATCAAAACTGCGTACGTACAATGTATATAATATTATGTAAACTTGATAAAAATCGAGCTCGTAAATCGAGTTATATCGCTCGAAGTATGGAAGACACAGTTACCTACACAAACGAACAGTTGTATATACAGAGTTGAAAAAAAGGCGGGAACATATATATGTACAAGTGCGATACACTAGTTATTTGTGACTCACAATTTTGTTGTGACGTCATAGAGAAAGACTTTTGAAGTATAAATCGCCATGTGTGCGGACAGCACAAAATTTCTTATTCTTCTCTCGTTAGTTCGTAATGTACTAAAAACATTATTTCAAAACTTTTCGTTGTACATGTCTACTTTCAATTAATCACACGCTACATAAAAAAACAGCAATTATTACATAAACAGCTATCAGTCTTAAAGTGGGACAGAAAATGAATTCAAATGTGTGTTGCCATGTATCTCTGTAATAAATTTGTATTGAAACTTGTGAATTGTATTTGTGTGGTTCTTGGATACTGTAATATAAGAGTGAGTGAGGTGAGTTTAGCGCCGCTTGAAACAGTATTCCAGTTATACCACGGCGTGTCAGCTTGATGTGGGAGGAAAGCCCGAAGTGATGCAGGTCTTAGACGTTTACCACTTTGGTGAAACGTACGAGCACTGGTATGGTGCTGACAAACCTGGAAACATAATCGGGGCGAACCGTGATTCGAACCCACAATCATAGGTTTCTGGCGTGCCCAAGGGACGCAACTCTGCACAGCGAATCGCGGCGCCTTAGACGACTGAGCCACTCTTGTCCCCTGTAATATAAGAAGTCAAAATGTGTTTTTTCACCCCTACGGTCCCTTATCTCATGGCTGGTAACACTTATTGTTTTGCAATACTATCATGATAATTGAGACAGTGTATACTACACAAAAAAAGTTAAATAGTAAAATCATGTCAAAGAATAGGTTGTTCTTTAACTTCTTTTGAGTGGTCTATTTTTCTCTGTTGGAAGCTACCAATAGTGATATCACATTCAAAGAAATAATCTCATTTGTGACACTTAACAATGAATGATATTGCCAGCTCACGAGTCAGCTATCTGTCCATTTATGTCTGTGTTTTATGGAACAGAGAGCGACGCGTATATCTCCGCTAGGAACAGTTTTTCAGTTAAATCACGGCTTGCCAAGTGCACGTGGGCGGAAAGTCCAAAATGACGAAGGTTTTAGACGTTTACGATATTGTGACCCCATAAGCACGTGTAGGGTTGTAAATCTATTATCCGAACCCGTGATCCTGGCATGGTTAAAGGGAGGCAACTCTACACACAGAGTTTGGAAACTCTGCTCTTCTAATCTACCCAACCCTTGGTTAAGAACTAATATTTAATCCAACCCGTTAACTCCGACTGATGAATTACCAGATTAACGTTTCATTGATAAGTAGTAGTGTAGACATTAAATACACAGAGATGCTTTCAACAGTAATCGCCCGGAAGAGGAGTTGTCCGGATTGTGACGAGGTTTCACGGTATAAGTATTAATTATTTAACTTATAAACAAGCAGAAGCTTAGTGAGTTTGGCGTCACGGTGAAAATCGCACACTTCAAGAATGAACTGCTTTCTGACGACGAGTAAGTTCAGTGTTGGTCGGAGGGGCGGGGTGGAGGTCTGGTCAGAGAAAGGAGTTGTCCGGATTAACGGTGTCCGTATAAACGAGGTTTCACGGTATGAGTATTAATTATTGAAATTATAAACAAGCAGAAGCTTAGTGAGTTTGGCGTCACGGTGAAAATCGCACACTTCAAGAATGAACTGCTTTCTGACGACGCGTAAGTTCAGTGTTGGTCGGAGGGGCGGGGTGGAGGTCTGGTCAGAGAAAGGAGTTGTCCGGATTAACGGTGTCCGTATAAACGAGGTTTCACGGTATGAGTATTAATTATTGAAATTATAAACAAGCAGAAGCTTAGTGAGTTTGGCGTCACGGTGAAAATCGCACACTTCAAGAATGAACTGCTTTCTGACGACGCGTAAGTTCAGTGTTGGTCGGGGGGGGGGGGAGGGGTGGAGGTCTGGTCAGAGAAAGAACCATTCCTTGCTCCTGACCCTGGTGCCCCTGTCTTTCAGTATTGCCGTGGTTCTGGACCCGCTGTTCAATGTTCAGTGGCCGTGGTGTATACTGACCCAGCAATAGGCTTCCGTATTGACCACGGTTTATTCATCAGGCTCCACCGATGTCGGGACTATGTTAAAGATGAGCTGGCAGTACATAGTGATGCGATCTGGAATGACACACAGTGATATTCTCCGTCATATTCACATTTCGGAACTTAAAATGTGTCATTGTCATAATGTGACTACAGTGTGACTACATTGTGACTACATTGCGACTACGGTATGACCTCATTGTGACTACGGTGTGGCTACATTGTGACTACGGTGTGACTACATTGTAACTACAGTGCGACTACATTGTGACTATGGTGTGACTACATTGTAACTACGGTGCGACTACATTGTAACTACGGTACGACTACATTGTAACTACGGTGTGACTACATTGTAACTATGGTGTGACTACATTGTAACTACGGTGCGACTACATTGTAACTATGGTGTGACTACATTGTAACTATGGTGTGACTACATTGTAACTACGGTGCGACTACATTGTAACTATGGTGTGACTACATTGTAACTATGGTGTGACTACATTGTAACTACGGTGTGACTACATTGTAACTATGGTGTGACTACATTGTAACTATGGTGTGACTACATTGTAACTACGGTGCGACTACATTGTAACTACGGTGCGACTACATTGTAACTACGGTGTGACTCCATTGTGACTATGGTGTGACTACATTGTAACTACGGTGTGACTCCATTGTGACTATGGTGTGACTACATTGTAACTACGGTGCGACTACATTGTAACTACGGTGTGACTCCATTGTAACTATGGTGTGGCTGCATTGTGACAACGGTATGACTACATTGTGACTATGGTGTGGCTACATTGTAACTACGGTGTGACTACATTGTGACAACGGTATGACTACATTGTGACTATGGTGTGACTACATTGTGACTACGGTGTGACTACATTGTGACTACGGTGTGACTACATTGTGACTATGGTGTGACTACATTGTGACTACGGTGTGACTACATTGTAACTACGGTGTGACTACATTGTGACTACGGTGTGACTACATTGTGACCACAGTGTGACTATGGTGTGACTACAGTGTGACTGTGGTGTGACTGCAATGTGACTACATTGTGTCACACCGTAGTAGTAGACTACCGTGCTCCCAGGCACAATAGCAATACATAAGGACTAAGGTACTCACCCCATCCACACAGCTTCAGGTTGAAATGTATAAATGGGAAGTACAGGATGAGTCCCCCTATCACAAACAGGAACGCATACAGGAACCCCATCTGCGGGTCGTCCACGATAGGCGCTATTACGAGGTAGACAGACACCAGGAACATTATAACGGGGATAGGAATTGGGACCTGCAAAATAAAAATATTAAAAATATAATAAATATTAATAAATCCGAAAACCATTTCCATAATCATGAGAAGCCTCTGATAAAAGTCATAAAGAGTATTCGAGAAGAGTAACGAACATATGGTTGTCTGTGAAATACCAATTAAAATAACAATATGATTTTCATAAACGACAATCATTGCAGATGCAGCTTAAACTTGCAATGTAAAAATTATCTTGATTTATTCTTTATACTTAGGTAGTCGTCGTCTATAAAAACTAGTCTCTATATTAAACATACAGCAAATGGTTGGTAGTCCTAAGCTACTATTTCTTTATTGTTTTAAACCATGTTCATTTTTATATTTATTTCCTTGGGAAGCCTTTACAATTTAAGCAGATTTGCGAAAAACAAAACGCACAAAGGACAGAATAGGGAAGTAACAAAGGCCCATGACGTTACCATTGTCTTGGTTTGTGACAGAAAACCTAATTTAGTCTGGATTTGTGATGGACAACCTTAGTTTGTCTGGGTTGTAATGGATAACCTTATTTTGACTGGATTTGTGATGGACAACCTTATTTTGTCTGGATTTGTGAAGGATAAACTTATTTTATCTGGGTTGTAATGGACAACCTAATTTTGTCTGGATTTGTTATGGACAACCTTATCTTATCTGAGATTGTGATGGACAGCCTTATTTTATCTGGATTTGTGATGGACAAATTTATTTTGTCTGGATTTGTGATGGATAACCTACTTTTGTCTGGATTTGTGATGGACAAACTTATTTTGTCTGGATTTGTGATGGAATAACCTTATTTTATCTGTATTTGTGATGGACAACCTTATTTTATCTGGATTTGTGATGGACAAATTTATTTTGTCTGGATTTGTGATGGACAACCTTATTTTATCTGGATTTGTAATGGACAACCTTATTTTATCTGGATTTGTGATGGACAACCTACTTTTGTCTGGATTTGTGATGGACAAACTTATTTTGTCTGGATTTGTGATGGATAACCTACTTTTGTCTGGATTTGTGATGGACAAACTTATTTTGTCTGGATTTGTGATGGAATAACCTTATTTTATCTGTATTTGTGATGGACAACCTTATTTTATCTGGATTTGTGATGGACAAATTTATTTTGTCTGGATTTGTGATGGACAACCTTATCTTGTCTGAGATTGTGATGGACAGCCTTATTTTATTTGGGTTTGTGATGGACAACCTAATTTTGTCTGGATTTGTGATGGACAACCTAATTTTGTCTGAGATTTTGATGGACAACCTTATTTTGTGGGTATTTGTGATGGATAACCTTATTTCATTGGGATTTGTGATGGACAATCTTGTTTTGTTCGTAATCGTGATGAACAACCTTTTTTTGTCTGGAGTTGTGATGAACAAGCTTATTTTGTCTGGGATTGTGATAGACAATCTTATTTTGTCTGGATTTACCTTATATGGCCGATCCGCATCCTTCATTCTGAACCTGAGGACGATGAGGGAGAGGAAGGTCATGCCGTAGAACATCCAGGCGGTGAAGCTGAAGAAGTCGATGAGGCTGCCGATGTCCCCTGGGATGATCATGAGGAGGGAGATGAAGATCTGAACAAGAACAAAGTAGTTTTGGTAAATGTTGTCATTGTTCTGAGGTCTGCGGATTTGAAACATATCGACATACGTGAAACCCGTGCGTTCTTTATATCATTAATTGATTGTACTGTCAGCACCGGACTATCAGCTTAGTACAGTGTTACCACAAACATAGGTTACTGGGAACAGATTCTATGAACGAGTTCCCATGGGCACATATAAAAAACAAATATAACAGCAAAGTTTCGTTTGTTTTATATGTTGTTTAACGCCGCAATCAGCAATATTAAAACTTTATGACGGTGGTCTGTAACAATCGACTCTGGCCCAGACAATCCAGTGATTAACATCATTAGCATCGATCTACACAACTGGGATACGATGACAAGCAGCAACCAAATCAGCCTGACCACCCGATCCCGTTAGTCGCCTCTTACGGCAAGCATTTGTTGGTGAAGACCAGTTCCAATCAGGATTTTCACGGGTTAAGAGCAAAGCAAACTTTATTTGGGTACAATGCTGGGATGAGGGGGCTCGGGGGCCAGGTTCAGTCTTTAGTCCGTACGATATATACGGCAGTGGCCTGAGATATAAGAACGGGTTCGATCAGATATACCAGTGGTTGATAGCATGACCACCCATCGGGAAACAATGTCATATCGATGATGGTCTTTGACAGATTTTAAACCAGCCTTGGTGAAATTTTCAGCAGCCAGTGTAGCGATCCGATTCCGACGTTAAGGGGACACTCTGTACTAGAACATTCCGCACGAGGACACTGTCCGAGGATGCTCCACGTGGGACACTCCATACGAGAGAACTATGTACGAGGACACTCCGTACGAGATACGAGGACACTCTGTACGAGAACATTCCGTACGGGGACACTGTACGAGGACGCTCCACATGGGCCACTGCGTACGAGGGCTTGATGTACGAGGACACTCCGTACGAGATACGAGGACACTCCGTACGAGGACGCTCTGTGCGAGGACATTCAGTACGAGGACTCTCTGTACGTTGACTTTCTGTCCATGGACACTCACTGTTGATCGTTATGCATTCAATAAGTAATCTGTCACATTTACATTACCCCTACTTACACATAGCATAGGACCACGCATTTCTACCACCCAAAGAGAAAGCACATGACTATCTTGTACCTACCGTAAATAACATCGACGGCATCGGCGTGAGTTGCTTCACCTGGATGTACGACAGCACTTCCGGCAGGTTGTTGTCTCGAGCCGCTGCGTACACCACCCTAGCAACAAATTTATAGCGTGAATGTTGTTTTGCGCCAGTCAGCATTATTCCACCTACATTACGGAGGCATCTGAAAACTCTGGATACGCAATCTAACGAGTCAGACCACCCGGTTTTAGTCGCCTATCAAGCAAAGGTTATTGAAGATCAGTTCGCCCCGGAATCCCGGCAGCACATTATAAGAAACAACTATTGAAGCAAAGCATCTTCAATCCGCCAGTTTCCTGTCCACTGGATAATTCAATCCCATTCAATTCAATTCATTCAATGACAGTAACTCGTTGTCAGTCATTGGACAGGGTTCTGTGATGAGATTTGTTTATTGTTTAATGCCGCACTGGTCAATATTCCAGTTGTATGATGGCGGTTAGTAAATAATCGAGCCTTGACCAGAAAAATCCAGTGATTGACACACTTTTATCCCCATCTATCCTGTATCCTGACCCTGTTGCAACTAGCAGATATACAAATCGCCTGACTGATAATTAAGTCAGTATTTGAAGTGAGGTAACATTGGCTTACCTGGAGCCACTGAAGGCTGTTCCGTTTGCCGCCCCAAATGTTGAGATCATGACGGACAGAGGCATGATGATAGCGGCTCCTCCAAGAATGAGGTCGCCCCATGTCTGAGAAGAAGAGGGTGTCCAATACAAATTATATAATTGGTCGATACATTTTAAACGGACACGTCTCAGAGATTCTGAGTAGATACATCACACAAGCCAAAACCACATTTCCGGGGGTGATCGGGGAAATAGGTTGTGTACTGTTCTTATTGATATGACTGCAACAGCTCGACCACGACAACATGGATGTAGTCAGACCTCGACGGGACAAACCAATGTTTTGTAGTATAAGCATCGATAATTTCTGTCGAAGAAAGGCGACAATCATCCCGGGGGGTGAGGTGTGTGTGTGTGTTGGGGGTTGGGTGTGTGTGTTGGGGGTTGGGGGGGGGGGGGTTGGTGTTTTTTTTTGGGGGGGGGGGGGGGGCATCTATTCAGCCCGTGAACATGCGAGGACGTCAGAAAATTGAGGAAAAGACACACTTAAACAAATTGAGGAAACACACGTAAAATCCTTTCGATATCTATTCAGCGGTATATATTGGCGGCCAGTATTTGTGGAAAGCTCAGAGTCGGTCCCAACTTACCACTGCCACAGCCGCTGAGGCCAACAGTTGTTGTGTGCTCAACACGGCCAAGTAGGAGATGTTGGTGAGTACGTAGACAACAGTGACGAGGATGACGGCGATGATGTTGGCACGGGGAAGGTTTCTGTACAGACAGAGAATTATTTAAGGGGGACTGAACTCTGGCATGTTGGCAATCCTTGCAATTTGATTCAAGCCATTTTATGAGTGAGTGAGTAAGGTTTCACGCCGCTTGTAACAGTATTCCAGTGGCAGCTTAATGTGGGAGGAAAGCCCCAAGTGATGTAGGTCTAAGACGTTTACCACTTTGGTGAAACGAGCACTCTGTTTTTCACTCAAGTTTAATTTTAGTTTCAATTTAGTGATTAATGATTCCACGGCAACAATGTCTCATGCCACTTCTGTGGGATTTGAGGGTGGATGTAGAAGGTTGTACTGTTATAGCATGTAAATAATATATCAAATAATCATAAACAAGAATACAAAAAATATAACTTGAACATTGCTTTAAAGAGTGATAGAATGTTTCCATAGGTTGTTTTTTTCCATTGGGAACACACCGGGGCTAGGTAATGGGTATATCTGAAATCTAAATAAATATTTTTTGAAGTCACATTTAATTGAAAACATGGACAGCTTCCAGTGTGGGTTCTACCGTGTACAGGAAATACGAGACGTTACAGGCTGAAAACAGTCGCCGAAACACTACAAATCCAAGGTACAACACAAACCAAGATACCCGTATCATATACATCACATTTGAAAAACCATTTCTTGCCACCACCAAACATGGGTGTATATTTTCTTTTGCCCGGTATTGTAGTCTACTCACAAAGTGTTCAATGTGCCGGATACTCACTTTTTGGGTTCTTTGATCTCCTCGGTGACAAAGTTAAGATTGTTCCTGAAAGTACAGACACGAATTCACACTTACATCTTAGGGAATATCCATTTAATTTGTTTGTTTGTTTGTTGTTGACCGCCGCACTCAGCAATACTCCAGCTTTATGACGTCGGTCTATAAATAATCGAGTCTGGGCCAGACAATCCAGTGATTGATATAATGAGCATCGAGGTGGTGGCGGGGTGGGGGTGGAGGGGTGAATTCTTTTTACAATCTATTTTTTCCCACCTGTGTTCAACTAACTATATATTTACCTAGCACCTTCATGCAATCTATTCATGCTCACCAAAAAATGACGTTTGGGTATTGTCTTTTATTTCACCACTGCCAACAAATTATTATTTTGGGGCATATTTCTAAACAAACTATTTATTTAAAAGATCGTCTCACCCTCCCCTATAAAGTCAAACAGATGCTCTCTCGGGTACCGACCATTTGATATGATTGGGAGCCTGAGACCTTTTAAATAAAATGGTGTGGTCCAGAAAAAGCTGGGAAGAAATAACCTGATGTTTGACAAGGAAACTAAGTGTTCGGTCTGATCCATAAACCAAAACGTATCCCCAACGAGTGAAACTCAGGTGTCCCCTAGCCTTTCTGGTCCGACCCGGAAGTGTACCTCAGAATGTCCCCACCTGTATGCGCACGCGTAGGGAGGAGTCTGGGTAAGAATATTGGTCCCCAGCAACCTTGTTGTCAGAGGCGACTAACGGGATCGGGTGGTCAGGCTCGCTGGCTTGGTAATGCATGTCATCGTATCCCAATTATGGTAGGTCGATGCTCATGATGTTAATCACTGGACTGTCTGGGACAGACTCAGTTATTTGCAGACCGCCGTAATATAGCTGTAGTGAGTTAGTGAGTGAGTTTGGTTTTACGCCGCTTTTAGCAATATTCCAGCAATATCACGGCGGGGGACACCAGAAATGGGCTTCACACACTGTACCCATGTCGGGATTCGAACCCGGGTCTTCGGCGTGACGAGCGAACGCTTTAACCACTAGGCTACCCGACCGCCCCTCATATAGCTGTAACGGTGCTGAGTGGGGCGTTAAACTGCAAGAAAATGTGCCAGGGCGGCCCCATTCCACAAAGCGATCGTAGTGCTGCGAAAATCGTGAGTTAGTTAAAGTATAGAGTTACGATCACCTTAGCGCTACAATCATTTTGTGGAAGGGACCCCTGGACTGTGCACTGGTAGTCCTATTTGACAACCATTGACGTGTGTTTGTACATTATATGATCCACGGGCATAGTAAACACCCGCGGTAAGGATTAGATGACAAACACGACGTGTATTTGAACGGTGCAGCTACAGGTAAACACACCTGTAAATTGAAAGCGTTCTCCATGAGCGTAACACTGAGTTCAAGGGTGGGTGCAGCGTTTTTAAAAAATCTGTTATTTGATAGTTGTGATATTTTTGTCCACCTTTAACACTTATAACACTTCCACATGTATAAATATTTGGTCTGCTTCTAAAGACGCTGGAGCGCGTGCGTGCGTGCTTTTCTGTGTGTGTGTGTGTGTGTGTGTGTGTGTGTGTGTGTGTGTGTGTGTGTTTGAATGGTGTGCAGTGTGCTTGTTTTATTTTACTGCCAAAAAACACGCTATTATTAAAAGGCCTGTAATTAATCAAGCCCAGCGATTAATATTATGATTATTTGGCCGTCCATCCTCGATTATCCAGTGTATTATATCTCTATTAAGAACGATGGTATACGATACAATGTGTAATCGAGGGCGCTCGTAGTAGGGATACGATGACAAGCAATCGACCAAATCATCGAGTTACTATCCGCTACTATTTAGTCCTTCAACTTAGTTAATTACCATCCGTCGTATGCCCACAATGCGCCATAGAAGGCAAGGGCGATAACCGAGGGCGAGGTAGTGGAGCCGGTGAAGCCCGTCGCTAGAACAGCCGTGTTACCTGGAAAAGTCAAAGTAACGTGAATGATGCGCTGAGTGAGCCAATGATGTTTTATGCCGCAGTCAACAAAATTTTAGCTGTATCACGACGAGATGTAAAAACTCACCCGTTACAAACACATGCAAAGGCAAGTCAACTGTTTACCTGAGAAAACACGAACCTGTGATATCAGTTGACATAGGAAATTGCATCCGACATCATTTTTGTCACTGATGCGTCACTGATGTCTTTCACATGTCAACCACAAAGCTTTTTGAAAGCTTGACTGAGGCCTTGAATGTTGTAACCTCGATCATCTGCAGTCAGTGTCAGTGAGTATGGTTTTACGCCGCTTTTAGCAATATTCCAGAATATCACGGCGGGGGACACCAGAAATGGGCTCCACACATTGTACCCATGTCGGGAATCGAACCCGAGTCTTCGGCGTGACGAGCGAACGCTTTAACCACTAGGTACCCCTCCGCCCCTTTGAATGTTGTAACCTCGATCATCTGCAAGAATGCTGTTCGACGGAAAGAGAAAGTTGACTACTGGAAAGTTGAAGTCATTCCTCTCGTCATTCAGTCTTGTGGAGAGTGTTTTTTCATTCCGAGTCTTTGTGCATAGATCTAAATATAAAACAGATGAAGCGGTCCCACCGGTTTCCTTTTTTTCTAGTTAAGGTGGGTAAATCATTGGAAAGGAATTGGATATTTGATGGTCATGGAACCACATCAGATCATCGATATAGCTGAAGCTTAAGTTGACATATCTTGTTTTGCCAGAAACTCTTATTCCTATGCATAAAGAATCAGATCAACAAGAAGGGGAGCGCAACTGTTGCCCATGGGGATGCCTACTTCTTGCCTAAATGTCTTTAAAAAGTCTAGCATTTCACATATTTTTTTCTCAGTAAACTTCAGATGGACCCTCTAAAGATAGAAATTTAACTATATTTATGATCACCACGTTTTGTAACAAAAGCCCCGTGCAAAAACAATATTTAGCCCTCATCTTACGAGCATGCTCGCACCAGTGTATACTGATATGACTCAAGAGTTCTTGACAGCCGTCATATAACTGGAATATTGCTGAGTGCGGCGTTAAACAACAAACAAACAAACAAACGAAACAAAAGCAAGAGTTCTAAAATTAGATGCCAAAATAAAATGACAAAATAAGTGGTATGCTTGATACCTAGAAAGGTTGGTTCGCACGCTCCACAATCAGATCATATTTTAGACTTGGTTTCTGTCTACCCAAACTAGCGCTACGTATGAGGCGGGTACCAACAGTGTAACCAGTTTAGTCACATTGTGATCCACCGTTTACCTTCAGTTGTCACAAGCGCGGTGTGCCATCCTCTCGAAATGCAAAATCTGACCACGAAACAGGTATGGTTATCCATGTTTTCTTCCATATAGAACACACATGTTGCCCTGAACTAGGACATAAACACCGATTCTCGCCACGCCTACCTTGCCCTAACTTGACCAGACCGCCGATGATGATGATGACGAGAGCGATGAGTTTGGCGGCTGTGAAGACGACCTGCACCCTGGCGGCCAACTTGGTGCTCCAGCAGTTGACAATGCCCACAGTGACTGGAGTAGAAGCAAGTCTGAGAGTCATTGTTTGTTCATGCCCAACCAGTTAAAATGTTGAACATGATAGACTCACGTACGGTGGCCCTTAAGGGACATGGAGTCTGTTTTTCAATATTTTGATATTTCACTTACTTTTATCGTAACCTTTTACCAATTAACACGATTTGTCTTACAAATGTGTGATAAATCATGTGTAAGAAGATATTGAATCGCTGAAAAGTGAAACGAAAATGTCAAAAACTAAAATGAAATTGTCAAAAACAAAACCCGAAAATGTCAAAAACTGAAATGAAAATGTCAAAAACAAAAGCGAAAATGTCAAAAACTAAAATAGAAAATACAGAAAACTATTTCCACCGCGGTGATAATATTCCCACTTTTGTTTTTGACATTTTCATTTCAGTTTTTGACCTTTTCGTCTTGGTTTTTGACATTTCCATTTTAGTTTTTGACATTTTCGCTTCACATTTCAGCGACTCAATAGCTACTTGAAAGTACATTTTCCATGTTTTCGGTTGTTTTTATACATGATTTATCACATATTTGTATGACAAATTGTGTTAATTTGCAAAAGGTTACGATAAAAGTAAGTGAAACATCAAAATATTGAAAAACAGACTCCATGTCCCTTATGGGCCACCGTACTTACGAGATTTATTTAACTAGATATTTCGATGTTATTAAATATAAGTGTTTAAGTCATTTGCGTTCTGCTATATATTGAAAAAAAATAAATTCTACGCCTTTAAGTAGGCGTTATATAGTATGGCAATGTCTGTTACCAAAAAGTATAATCATGGGCAAGAAAAGATCGCGACCAGATTTCATCTCTACCCATCACGAAGTTTACAAACAGTACACTTCACTGCCAATATTAATTTGAAAAATGGTCCAGGCCCAAATATGAGTAAAAGTAAAATTCTAAACATCTACGCGACGATCCAAAGTACTTACTAAGCGCTATAGCCGCTACTAATTTGTTTGGTATTTCTGGTGTGCCGCACATCTTGAAGAAACTTGACACATACTCGGCGAACACGAGACAGATGATGGCGAGTGTGGAGGGCCTGATGACAATAATAGACGTCCATGCGTAGAGGTATGCGCAGATGTTTCCGAGAGCTGCCCGGATGTAGGCATACTCACCCCCCGACAGTCTGATCAGGGTGCCCAGCTCGGCGTACGACAAAGCACCTGTTGGAAAATGTTGAAGGAAGATGGAATACTGCAGACTACATATGATGACATCTTCGGAAGTTTCAAAACCAATTCGGTACATCCGAAGTTAATCAATCACATGAACAATTACGTTGACCGTCAGTGCTTAAGGAATATTTTATTTTTTCGTTATCGCCGAATATTCGTCATAAACGACTTCATTTTGTTCGACGCTGACGTGTAACATAACTGGAGGGAAGTTTTACGTTTTACACTTTCAGTTACAATGTATTCTTAGTCAGTTGTATGGTATGGTATGGTATGGTATGGTATGGTATGGTATGGTATGGTATGGTATGTATGAATTAAAAACGGTTCTACTCGAATTACGGTACGGTATGGTATGGTATGATATGGTATGGTATGGTATGAATTAAATACGGTTCTACTCGAATGTACCACTGGCTCGTTAAGAAACCCATATTCCAACCATATGCAGCGAAACTCTGTTAATCTGGACGGTTTCACTGGGAAAAGTGATCCGTAACATAAATCCGGATTAACACATGTCCGGATTCCCGAATCTTGGAAACACAAACTACTAAAATAATGTTAAGGGCCATCCGATTCTTTCATATTACTCAAGTTAATCTGTCAGGCCATAACATATTAACTTCAGTAATATGAAAGAATGGGGTGGTCCTCAATTCTTTGTGGTTGTATATGATGCCACTTCAAGTAAGAGTTGGGTACTTTCGGATTTAAGACAAACGAGGTTCCACTGTTTTCAAATTTCTTGACCCAATTTTGAGATAAAAAAGAGGATTTCCCGTGGCCTTAACTAACTTCATTATATTGTTATTGTGCCTAACTTTTCAGGTCTGCCCTAGTGGTAGTCCACGCATGATGCGATGTGGTTCATATGTACAAGTGCAATGGTTGATAAATCGCACGGCGAAACTGTGCCCGAATGCAGGACATCCTTTGGACAAAAGACTTTCCACCAGACCTACCAAATAATGCGATGACTCCAGACAACGACCAGACAACCAGACTCAGCCCGACAGATCCAGTATCGCTGAGAACACCCTTCGGGGAGATGAAGATGCCAGACCCTGGGGATACAGAGATATCTTGTTAACAGGGCAATTTCGTTCAGTGTGTAGGACAGGAGCTATTTCGTTCAGTGTGTAGGACAGTGGGTATTTAGTTGAGTGTGTAGGATAGGAGGTATTTAGTTCAGTGTGTAGGGCAGGGAGTATTTAGTTCAGTATGTAGGACAGGGGGTATTTAGTTCAGTATGTAGGACAGGAGGTATTTAGTTCAGTGTCTAGGACAGGACGTACTTAGTTTAGTATGTAGGACAGGGGGTATTTAGTTCAGTGTGTAGGACAGGAGGTATTTAGTTGAGTGTGTCGAGAAGCAGGTATTTAGTTGAGTGTGTCGGGAAGGAGGTATTTAGTTCAGTGTGTAGGACAGGGGGTATTTAGTTCAGTGTGTAGGACAGGAGGTATTTGGTTCAGTGTGTAGGACAGGAGGTATTTGGTTCAGTGTGTAGGACAGGAGGTATTTAATTCAGTGTATAAGACAGGGGTTATTTAGTTCAGTGTGTAGGACAGGAGGTATTTAGTTCAGTGTGTAGGACAGGAGGTATTTGGTTCAGTGTGTAGGATAGGAGGTATTTAGTTCAGTGTGTAGGACAGGAGGTATTTAGTTCAGTGTGTAGGACAGGGGGTATTTAATTCAGTGTGTAGGACAGGAGGTATTTAGTTCAGTGTGTAGGACAGGAGGTATTTGGTTCAGTGTGTAGGACAAGAGGTATTTACTTCAGTGTGTAGGGCAGGAGGTTTTAGTTCAGTGTGAAGGACAGGGGGTATTTAGTTCAGTGTATAAGGCCGGGGAAGTTTAGCTCAGTGTGTCGAGAAGGAATTAGTTCAGTGTGTAGGCCAGAAGGTATTTAGTTCAGTGTGTAGGACAGGAGGTATTTAGTTGAGTGTGTAGGGCAGGAGGTTTTAGTTCAGTGTGAAGGACAGGGGGTATTTAGTTCAGTGTATAAGACCGGGGGTGTTTAGCTCAGTGTGTCGGGAAGGGAGTATTTAGTTGAGTGTGCAGGACAGGAGGAATTTAGTTGAGTGTGTAGGGCAGGAGGTTTTAGTTCAGTGTGTAGGACAGGGGGTATTTAGTTCAGTGTATAAGATTGGGGATATTTAGCTCAGTGTTTCGGGAAGGGGGTATTTAGTTCAGTGTGTAGGACAGGGGGTATTTAGTTCAGTGTGTAGGGCAGGGGTTATTTAGTTGAGTGTGTCGGGAAGGACGTTTTTAGTTCAGTGTGTAGGACAGGGGGTTTCAGTTCAGTGTGTAGGACAGAGGGTATTAAGTTCAGTATGTGAGGCAGGAGGTATTTAGCTCAGTATGTAGGGCAGGAGTATTTAGTTGAGTGTGTCGGGAAGGACGTATTTAGTTGGACAGGGTGTATTTAGTTCATTGTGTAGGACAGGGGGTATTTAGTTCAGTATGTGGGGCAGGAGGTATTTAGCTCAGTATGTAGGACATGAGGTATTTAGCTCAGTATGTAGGGCAGGAGTATTTAGTACAGTGTGTCGGGAAGGGGGTATTTAGTTCAGTATGTCGGAAAGGAGGTACTTAGTTCAGTGTATAGGACAGGACGTATTTAGTTCAGTATGTGGGGCAGGAGGTATTTAGTTCAGTGTGTAGGACAGAGGGTATTTAGTCCAGTGTGCCGGGAAGGAGGTTTTTAGTTCAGTGTCCAGTAATGCTTACTAATGTGCTCATCAGCGACGATAAACTACCCGACGCCTCGCGTCGATACATGTTCTTATTTGAACTTTTCCTAAGTAGATTGGTTGACAAGTACTTGTAAGGAGGGGGTCGTCACACGTATGCCGGTTTTATAGTGCTAGCCTCCTGAGATACCGCAGTTTATCAGTTCAAAATGAATATCCCGCTCAAACACTTATACTGGCACCGAACTGACCATTCCTTGCTTTGGCTGGACCAACCATTCTATGCATAGTCCAATCAAATTCGCGTGGTTCGTAAACTGTCGTGCAGGTTTCGGTCGATTGCAGGATTTGCAAAGCATGTGCACCGCTAACTCGTTGTCAACAGATATTTTCCAAATCTTTTCTTGTTTTTAATCAAGCTGCTCACGTGATTTGATGCATTTCGCGATGTAAGACCCGTTTGATCACAATATAGATCTTGATTATCGATCAGATCGTCTTGTCTTGGCGCCGCCATTTTGTTTGAAGCAAATGCAAGTGATACGGGAGGTGGAATCTGATTGGTCCATGGGAGAGGCTTAGAAGGGACATAAATGGTAATAGCCACTGGTGGCGCTACGATCGAGCCAATGAATTCCATTCTAGTTCGGCAAGGGTGGAAACTGGATTTTTAAAGTTTACACCATACACAATAATTCCTATCTACAAAATCTCATAAGACAATTGCATTTACTTCAATAGTTACTTTATAAAAACTGATATTCTTCCAGTTCTCACATCAAGGATTAGATTTAATGTCTTAAGGTGTTAAACGAGGTGCCCTTCTTATAAAGGGTAAAGCCATTTATCATTCTACTATTCTGGGGAAAGACATGTCCTAATACCAATGATTGAACCGACGATCAGTGAGATTCCGCTGATAAGGCCGACATTTCTGCCCATGTGAAGATTGTCATCGGTCTGAATGCTGAACTGCTCTGGTGATACCCCTTCATCCGGGTCCTCCTTCGATCTCTGCCGCAGTCCGCCATTTTGGTCTTCAGTGTCTGCAAGGAGAGAACATATGACAGTGTGTTTTTGTTTGTTCTTTAAAGCGGCACTCAGCAATATTCATGCTACATGGCGGCGGTCTGTAAATAATTAAGCCTGAACCACACAATCCAGTGATTGCCAATAGGAGCATCGATCAATGCAATTTGGATACGATGAAAAGCATCAATAAAATCAGTGAGCCTGACCACCCGATCCCGTTAGTAGCCTCTTACGACAAGCAAGGGTTGCTGAAGACCTATTCTACCCCGGATCTTCATGGGTCACATGACAAACAGAATTCGATAGAGAAAGTTGTGGTCGTATTTGTGCAGCATGAACGGAGAACAAGATAACTTTGATCCAGAGGACAAACACGGCGTAAACAAATGGTTAGCATACCTACCTATTGATGCTAATGTCTTAAAGGGCACACAGAGTGAATGAGTGAGTTGGGTTTAGCGCCGCTTTTAACAGTATTCCAGTTATATCACGGTGTGTCAGCTTAATGTGTGAGGAAAGCCCGAAGTGATGCAGGTCTTAGACGTTTACCACAATCGGTGAAACCCACGAGCACGGGTATGGTGGTGACAAACCTAGAAACATAATCGGGGCGAAGCGGGATTCGAACCAACAATCATAGGTTTCTGGCGTGCCCAAGGGACGCAACTCTGCACAGAGAATCGCGGCGCCTTAGACGACTGGGCCACCCGTGCCCCCAGGGCACACAGAAGATATGACAAATTGTCATTTACATGTCGTTCCTTCAGAATCAGGAATAAGAATATGTCACATTCAGTTTAAAGGACAGGACGTGGCCCCTGTGGTGATTGCTGCCGAATGACATAAACATGTTTAGGGTAATAATTTACAATTAGGAATGTTTTAAGAAATATTTCATATTTATTTATGTATTTCGTATGTACACATGTGAGACAAATATAAAGTTTCTTTTAAAACATTTTCATCGGTTTCATATTTTAAAAGTCTACACTTTTAGAGTGAGTATAGTTGTACTCCGCTTCTAGCAATATTCCAGTAATATCACGGCAGGGGACACCAGAAATAGGCTTCACACGTTGTACGTATGTCGGGAAACGAACCCTGGTCTTCGGCTTGACGGGCGACCGATTCAACCACTAGACTACCCGACCGCCCCAATAAAACATTAAAATGAGACGGATAGAAGACAAACTCGTGACAAGTGACGCAGGAGAATATGTAAAATCGGTGACCTATACAAGTTTTTTGTTTGTTTGTTTGCACATTATATGTATATTTACCTTTCATGTCTATAATAATTATATTGAGGCCGTCGGGTAGCCTAGTGGTTAAAGCGTTCGCTCGTCACGACGAAGACCAGGGTTCGATTCCAGACATGGGTATAATGTGTGAAGCCAATTTCTGGTGTCCCCCGCCGTGATATTCTGGAATATTGCTAAAGGCGTCGTAAAACCATACTCATTAACTATAATTATATTAACTCCGAAACGTAGCTGGTTTGTACTCCGAGGACAGTGGACATACACGTGTATGAGAATGTCACGTGATAAACGGAGAATTACGTCTGTACACGTCACAGGGGCTTAACGTGAAATAAGACATGTAGATGACAAGAGGTGAGGTGAGGTGAAATGGGGTTTAACGTCGCGTCCAAGATTATTGCACTTATATACCGACGTGCATGTACGTGTATGTGTTTGTGTGGCTGCTTGTACTCGTCCGGACTGATGCCGATTTATAGTGCTAGCTCACTGAGATACCATGCCGCAGTTTAACATGAATATCCCACTCAGACACAGTATACTGACTCCGAGCCGACCAGTCCTTGTTTTAGCCCTTTAATGCCGAGCGCCAGACAGGGTAACAACAAATATCATCTTTTAACGTCTTTTGGTATGACGCGGCCGGGGATCGAACCCCGGACCTTCCGCTCTCCGGGCGGACGCTCTACCACTAGACCACGGAGGCGGTCTTAGTAGATGACAAGAGACAGCTAGGTAAGAGAAACAACTGTCGTAACTCTCAAATTTCATCTTAGGGATACCGTGGACTTGAGACCGCTCCGTGGAGCGAGACCCAATCCTTCAAAGCACTCAGTGAATACATATCACGTACCAGGCAGGATAGGGGTTTATGTATTCATACAAACAGACGTCCCGCTTCTCATTGTCACATACAGAGTTATACGATCCAGTTATATCATGACTCCACGGGACAGAGTTAGACCAAATAAAACTAAACATGTAATCTATATGCCATATTGCATATGTGGAACTGGTGTGATGATTGGGAAGATCGATGGCAGATATATATTCGCAACGTTTCTGTTATTTTCATCAAGACATGTTTTTTTCCTCGATCACATGACATACATGACATGAATAATGTTACAATAAGCAATATATCCGTCACAGAACTCTATAGTTGCAGGGGCTGTCGGGTAGCCTAGTGGTTAAAGCGTTCGCTCGTAACGCCGAAGACCCGGGTTCGATTCCCGATATGGGTATAATGTGTGAAGCCCATTTCTGGTGTCCCCCGCCGTGATATTGCTGGAATATTGCTGAAAGCGGCGTAAAGCCAAAACTCACTCACTCACTCACTATGGTTGCACTGCGCAACCATTACGACAGTATAAAAAAACTGTCAATAAATTTACGATTTCTTTAGTAATCAGTTTTATAATGACGAGAACATTTACACAGCGAAACCGTGCTTAATTACATTGGTTTCAATGTTTCTATTTTGTCAGATCAACAAAGGTGAGTGCAGCTACTGGGCTTGAAAAGCCTCGGTAAGTCTAGATGAGTATCGACCCTAAAATCATGACACGCAGCTTACACTCCCACTGTTCTGTGTGACTTGCCCACGGTCCAGTGAACACGGGGCATCGTTACCTTCTTTTCTGTCGGGAAGACACCGCCCATCTACTTTAAAGTATTATCACAACCTTTGACAGGTGACAGACAGACAGACAGACAATAGTATATTAACGTCTCACTTCTGTACATACATAAAACAGCTTTGTACAACTTGACATAGATAGAATTTACAGAACCATTCAATAGAATTATGAGAGACAAATTATCATAGAATTTATACATAAACGATATAAAGATGATATAGTAAAAAGTTATCCATATAAAAGATGTTTTCTACGATTAAGAATTAAAAAGCAGACTTTGGCAAGTATAAAAGACACATTGGAGTCACTGAAAATTAAACAAAGTTTGTCGATATCAGGTATATCTAAAACATTATAAGATTTAGCAATACATTCATTAAAAAGAGTTGCCCTGACATGTAGCACACATTCACGCACACTCACACACCACATACACACACAACACACACAGACACGCACAAAGACACACAACACACGATCACACAACACAAACACAGACACTCACACATCGACACACACACACACACATGTGCCCCCTTACGACAAACATTCTTTTTATCCTCACTGAATGTTTCCTCGCGGTATAATATTCATATATTCAAGTAGCACGAACTCCCCGAATATAGCTGACATTCAGGGTAACAACTTGCAACTCGCTACCTGTAAATAGAGAACGCCTCAAAAAGGACATTCAATTATTGATAGCACGAATTTGGGTCATGGGAGCACCCCTTCCCTGTACATTCAACACAGGCAGGAGGATCTCACGTGTCACAATACAAGGACTAAACACTGAAGTAAATAGTTCAGCTTTCAAAAGATGTAAATACAAGCCAAGCCAAACACAAACAAAGAGAGAATGGAGAAACCCAAGGAGACAATATAAATGCACATTAAAGAGTACAATTACTATTTTTATTTCATTTCGTTTGTTACTTGTTGATGTAAGTCCGCAAAGAAATGTCAAAACTACAAAGGTGTTGTCTTTGCAGTAAATCTAAGCGACCGACACCGTGTAATTGTTGTTTGTCATCCCAGCTTATAACTTTACAAAGTTCTACGTGTGTGCACAAGGACCACTTGTAAGAGTATGTTGTCTCCTTTACATATTCACTGCACTTCACTACTTGTTTTTCTTTAAACAGTACGTGAGTTCCATTGTTAGAATTTGAATCATCTGAGTCAATACAAAATGGCTGCCGGGAGAAGGAGGAACACAACACCAACGTGTATTGCTGTAACACACAACTATGGGGTTAACAAGTGCTTCATTCTTTGATAAAGCTACCATTGTACCTTTTCTGAAAAACGACAAGACGAGTAGAACATCAAAGATGCTAAATCGGTTGCATCAATGATTCTAAAGTATTTATATCAACAGTCGAAAGTTTAATTTCTCGGGCGCATCAAAATACCAGAGCACGAGCTAAGCTACGTATTTGCGTAAAATATGCATTAAATAAACTGAAATACGCAGACAAATAAAATCCTAGCGCATCAAATACGCAACAATAACTATAAATACCCTATTGAAGTAAAACTAATGCGTATATTAATTACAACCATGAGATAAAAGGTTGCGTATGTTACAACTGTCAGATAAAATGATTGTGTATCAGCCGATCGCGAAGTTCACTTCCCGACAGTTACATTCGGAAACGTCTGTGCGACAAACATACTGAAAGATGCCAAGCAAAAAGCGGACCCTGCCCCGTCAATGTACATGTTGTTTCTTAAACAATCGCTAATTGGTGATTAAAGAAATAGCGCCTTACTTATTTATACAATGCTAGGTATTGCAAACAAAAATGGCTTCTCCGGGTAGGGAGCAGCAAGCAGACGGGTATAATACTATTCACATAGTTTTAAATGATTTACAAGGTTTTTATTGCGAAACAGGTTTCAAGTTAAAATATAAAATAAAAATGTCAAGAAATAGATGGGTAAGAAAATGTGAATATCCTCTAAAAACTGTGGATCCCCAATCAAAATCACACCCCTTGGTAAAATACCAAACAATCAAAAGCATATAGCTCTAGAATACATGTATACGAGTTACAGTAACCTACGTTTATAACGAACACGCTTATAACGAACTGATGGATATCACGAACTTATTTTTTGGTCCCGGCCATTTGCTGTATATATGCTTATAAGGAACTGAAATGTGCGGTCCCTTTGAGTTCGTTATTATCGTAGCTTACTGTACATTAAAAAGCTGTTATTCATGATTGAATCAAAAAAAGAAACTAATTCCGACTACCAGTGACGTCACTTGGAGGCTGCTAACCATCGCACTGCGCCCCAGGGGGTCAGAAGATATGGGCAACATGTCAGCCGAAGTATGACGTAAATCAGTTGGGTTATATATAGCTTGGTCAGCCGTGTTAACCTGGGTCATCCAGGATTTGGAAATCGATTGAAAGCATCTTTTACGTAAATTATCTCCCTTTAGTGTAGGCTATGTCAGCGACCATGAAGTATTCGTAGCCCAGGGGTAGTTTAGCAAGGTAAGCTGAACGTTATGGTTTAATACTATTGCCTCGTTACACAAGATGTACACTGGAGGCTGTGATTTCCAAATTGTCTGGATCTTTCCCTTCATCAATGACCGCGGTATGACCGGTCACCTTTGGGTTAAGATAAACAAATGCATACAAAGTTTATGAAGCACTATATATGGCAAGGGCCTGACCTAAGATGAAATTTTCACCAAATGACTGCTATGGTTATTTACCTCCAAAAATATCACTTTGGGTCGAAGACTTCTGACTCTTTGAAGAACAATTGCTCACAGAATGCCTGTGCCACATATAGTTTTCACACACCATACGAGCCTACCAATCTATCTTATGAAAATTTAATATGATTTCCAGCACTTGTTCTTCAATATGTCTCTAGTCTTTTTAGATTTGTCAGTTCTAAGTCTCCAACACATTCTCCCTTATGCACATATTTGCAAACATACAGTTTTTCAGACCGGTGGTATGTACATCGTCTTCCCGAGGCAAGCGTGTCCACTACCCTATACCAAAGTCTCGTTTCCAGTAGAAACTAGGCTTTGGATGAAAAGGCTATTGGACATCTTTGCTCCTGGAAGATATATATACATATGTATGAAGTACACTAATGATCAAAAGAAAGTTTACACCGACTTGGTAGCTTATTAACTTGTGATGAATTGACAAAAAGCAATTAAACACATCTGAGGTTATAACTGTGACGACCGCCTCCGTGGCCTAGTGGTAGAGCGTCCGCCCAGAGAGCGCAAGGTCCGGGGTTCGAGCCCCGGCGGCGTCATACCAAGAGACGTTAAAACAACAGATGATGAAAGTCTGATTAACAAAGCTTCTGAACGCTTCCATGGCACATCAGTAATGGCATCACTATCTCGGGTAGCCTCTTAGGGCGTCCAGACAGACACGACGCCCCATGGATACCCCGTCAATACACCCGCATCCGACCATCAGGATGGAACAAGTTGAACCTGCTCTCGTCCCTGAACCAGCACCCTTGGCCAATCACGTCGCACAGTTGGTATCACCGACGTCTATTTGGCCGATGTTCAGTATTCTGATGTTGGTTAGGGTAGGCTTCTTTATCATCCAAAACTGGCTCCTACAGGAGATATCGCTTGGGTGAGATCAAAGAAATTGCATCACAATGCTATTCAGACCATTGTGACGTCATTGGTTACCATGACGTCACAATCAAATGAAATCACTAATGGCTCCGCTACTCAAGCTGTTAGCAGTACATTTTACACTAAAGACCCTGCTTATTACTGCCTATAAACTGAAACACTCGTTGCTCTATTTCATATCAAAATACACTCGGGTGAGATTCTCTATTTACAGAAAAGCTTCCATCAGTGCCACCCCCCCCCCCCCCCCCCCCCACACACACCCCACCCCCACCCCACCCCACCCCCCACACACACACACTCGAAAAATCATTTCTAACAATCACATTATGTTGGGTGTGTTTGTCAAAGGTTTTCAACCCGAATTCAGTCTCTTTTAGCCGAGGTATCAAACCTATTCAACAGCTGGCAATGTTTACTTTCTTTTGATCGGCAGTATATGTACGGGACAAACAGGTCCTAGTCCTGCTGTCAATAGAATAACATATGCAAGGAATGCAATGAAATCACCAGCAGCACAGTTGACCTAATACTTACGACACGAACCACATTCATGTTTTATCTAATATGTAAGACTTTCGAGTCACTCAGCTGTGAAATACCTCAAAGGTTCGACCTAGTGCAAGATGCTAGAAGCACAGTGACATCAAGGGCCCTCGGCGCGTCCAATAAGAAGCGGATGACTCAAGGCACGTGCACTGCTATTCTCAACAGCAGTCTCTAAAGCTGATGATTTTATCCGTTTGTTATGTTTGTACAGCAGCTTAGAAGACAATGACCCACCCGAGCAATGACTAAAGTTTCAAGTGTCCGTTCCTGTTGCCCAGTCATTGTGAGCTGAAGGGCTTCATGACCCACCCGAGCAATGACTGAAGTTTCAAGTGTCCGTGCTGTTGCCGCGGTCAGTCTAAAGGTGAAGGGCGTTCACCTCTAATGTTTCACCATCATACCTGTTGGAATTGTGATGAACATCTCTGTCAACTTATCACTGACAATGACAAACACGTATGCTGACGCTGAAAAGCTGAACCTGTTTTCTTCCTCACCTTATACAGGTGTGTCTCAAAGTGGTCATGAAACACCCGTCTAAGGTGCAGAAAGAAAAAAACGTAGACGAGATTTTCTCAACTAACACTGAAACCCTTTTCCGAATACATTGTCAACCCCAAAACATGAAACATTTACGTCCGCAAAGCGGCGCTCCTGTTTGTCAGGTCGACATTGGCTGTTGATTTATCTGGGCATTCTGTTCACGTACGTATGTGTACTGACATATTTGCCACTGTATAAGGTAGCCAACTTTGTCTCAGTTTGTGTTGGTATCTCCAGCACGCCCCGTGTGTGTTAATGGATGGAAGGTCGGATAGGCGTTTCTGATCTGTTGCTTGCAACCTGTGTTTGGAGCAGGGGTATGTCTACTGGACTCTCCTACTCGCATATACACAAATTCTTATCAGCTTAATACATTTATATTATAATACATCGTGGTTGCATATTGTCCATGTCACTCACAGCAATGCAACTGCGCTTTATTATTCGGTATATCTACCATGAAGCACGGCATCAAAATGTCCCTGTAATGTGTGTGCTAGCTACCGCGAATTACACTTTGGTATTCACCCATCAGTCATTATTTACGCTAAACCGTTACGTACCTTGGTCGACGTTCTCCATGGTCAATCACAAGGTATCCAGACACCGGGTCTTATTGCAGTAAAGTGCACACCTGGTCCGGTGAGTTCTCCTTTTGTATGACACTGCGTGTTGTACTATCCAGATCACGCATGGGTTGAATGAATGGGTCATGGGTACGGTGTATGGTTTGAGTAGCGCTCTGTGCCTAACAGACCGTGGCCACAATACGAGATGATTCTAGACTTACTCTAGGCTCCCGGTCTCCTCTTAGGGCAGATTATACCTCGCGAATGTCAGAGCAAATAGCATGTTCTGACATGAGTGAGTGAGTGAGTGAGTGTGTGTGTGAGTGAGTGTGTGTGTGAGTGAGTGAGTGAGTGTGTGTGTGAGTGAGTGTGTGTGCGTGTGTGAGTGAGTGAGTGAGTGAGTGAGTGAGTGAGTGAGTGAGTGAGTGAGTGAGTGAGTGAGTGAGTGAGTGAGCGAGTCGAACCTTGATGTTCAGTATGACGAGAGATCGCTTTGATCCCGAGATTATCCAACCGCCCTAAGTACGTAACAACCGTTCTTCAACTTCAACACTAAATTCCTTCGAAAGACGTTGACGAACATGTAACGACTGCGGATGCTGCTATGTTGTACGCCGTCACGTGACTGCCCACACCAGTTGAACTATGGTGAAACACCGTAAGGTCGGATCTCGTTAATCAGGATCCCTGGCATTCCGGGCGATTGTTGTTTTGAGCGGTATTTGCCATTATATATTTCGTTATAAAGTGATATTATTTTTTGTTATTGCGTACCAATCGTTCGTTCACCCGGACATTTGGACGATTTCCTTTTAACGGTATTTGAGGATTAATGAAGCTCAGCTGTAACTTTATCAACACAAGTCTGCTTCTTTATTTGGGGGTGAACATTGTTATGAGATATATATTCGGAGTAGCCTCGTTATGCCATACGGTATCGTTCAAGTGAAATCGTTTGGATCAAAACATTCCGGATAAACGAATCTCGGGTACGTGAATATATTTCTTGTATTATATGACGAAGCTATATTTATGAACAGTAATCGCTGGGAAGGAGGGGTTTCGGATTACGGGGGTCCGTGCAAACTGTAGTAGTGAACTTACAAGTTTGGCGGGCACAATTATTGCCACAGCGAGGAGCAACACAAGTAAGCGTCTACAATGTTACATAATCGTCAAATGTCTCCAGCCAATAATTGTAGGTTTCATGTCTCTGGCTAAACACTCTTCGGGTCAATAGTGGAACATGTTACTGTAACAGTTTGTCGGCGATAATACTGTAACTCTTCCCTGTCGGTATTCCGGGTTACAGGTTAGGTCCCGAGTAACCTTTTTTGGGGTGTTGGGCGACTACTTAGTGGGGCGGTTAAGGCTGGATTTTAGTCATAATTGTGCACTTTGGGTTAAAAGCACTAAACTTGGCACACTTAAACATTGAAACATTCCGAACATTTCTGGATATGGATCCACCGCAGCAGCGCCACCTGGTGGTAGAAAATCCAAGATGGCCGCCAAAATGGTTAAAATCTCTTATGACGTCAAATTATATTCAATATATCATCATTATTTTGTCAATTTTAGTCATTTCTATAAAATTAACTGGATCGAGTAGGGCTTCCAAGAGAACTCGGGTACGCGGGCACGGGCCGAGTTTAATGGGACAGTCGAGTTGGAAGGACTTGAGTACTCGACCCTCAATTAGTAACTCTAATTTGATCGGCTTTCAATAAGTTAATAGAAACGTGTCTTTATGTAACTTTCTTTTTCATGAGAAATCAATTAAATCAAATAAAAGTGTCAATAGCTTTTCTTTTAGTCATTTTTCGAAACAATACACTTATTTACTACCATTTCATAAGGATATTTCCTGGTTTAAAAAGTACTTTATTTCTTGTTTGAAAGGGGTGTTTTACGAAACTATTAAACTGTCGCAAGCAGTAGACCTATTCATTCTAAATTAGCGTCGTAACGTTAAACATTTTTAATTCAATATTTTCATAAGATATTTATAACTGGACATCACTTTATTGAATATTAATACTGTGTTACTGTATCTCATTTTAATTATCTCTTCAAATGTCGGGAAAAGGTCTTATGGAAGACAACTATAAATTTACAAGCCTAGTAGTCTTTCAATGTTTTATTTTCAATTAAGAAAAAGGTAAATACTGACATGTGAATTTGTGGTAACATTGAAAATGTTACTTTTAACTTATTATCTATATTTTGTCATTTCTTGACAATTTCCCGTCGGCGCTGGCATAAAATGATCTTATTTATCATATAAGGTATACCTAAGAAGCCCGCCCGCCAAAATCAAGCCAATCACCAATCGGAACACACATCACGTGACGATCACGTGTGCAATATTTTATTCACCCTGAACATGGCGTGTGTTACATTGAGATGTAAACGATTTTTTTCCCCAAAGTTGACCCAGTGAGTGAGTGAGTGAGTATGGTTTAACGCAGCTTTTAGCAATATTCCGGCAATATCACGGCGGGGGACCCCAGAAATAGGCTTCACACTTTGTACCAATGTGGGGAATCGAACCCCGGTCTTCGGCGTGAAAGTGGAACGCTTTAACCACAAGGCTACCCGACCGCCCCTCTTCTGACCCAAACTCAATTAGCTGGAATATTGCTGATATTGTCGAGTATTCCTATAGCTGGAATATTGTCGAATATTCCTATAGCTGCAATATTGTCGAATATTCCTTTAGCCGGAATATTGTCGAGTATTCCTGTAGCTGGATATTGTAGAGTATTACTTTCGCTGGAATATTGTCGAGTATTGCTTTAGCTGGAATCGTGTCGAGTATTCCTTTAGCTGGAATCGTGTCGAGTATTCCCTTCGCTGGAATATTGTCGAGTATTCCCTTAGCTGGAATATTGTCGAGTATTGCTTTAGCTGGAATAGTGTCGAGTATTACTTTAGATGAAATGTTGACTACTGGAATGTTAGATGGAATATTGTCGAGTATTCCTTTAGCTGGAATCGTGTCGAGTATTCCCTTAGATGGAATATTGTCGAGTATTCATATAGCTGGAATATTGAAATCATTGATAGACTTTTAGAAGTTGTAAAAGATGAATACATGACACTTTTTATGGATAACAAGTTCTTTTATTCTTTATAACGATCAAGATGGACAACTCTGTCGGAAACAACACTCTAACATATTACCATAACACTTTGTTGGAAACAATACTTAACATATGACTACACATTGTATTACTGCGAATTGTAACCCTCGACCAGAGGATCCTGGAGAGGATCTTAAACCTTTAAGAGGTGGTCCTAAAGTTGGATTCCTTTGGAATGCCAGAAAACCGAAGCCATCACCTTGCGAGTTGATGGGACAGACTTTGCCTTCTTCGGAGGAGACGTTTGATGTTTCCAATGCTTTGAATGTTGTTTCTGGTTGGGGATGGTGAACCCAAGATTCTTTCATGATTACAAATCAGCCGGGTCTGCTTCAACACGACGAATTCTCACGACAGATGATGAACCTGGAGCGTTTCTGAAGAAGCCTTGGAACCCAGCGTGCTGGAACCTTTGTCATGGCCAGTTCAGTCTTCAGAATGTTCTCACCTCTATCACGAGATATGCCTACTGTATGGGCTATTCGGCGCGGGTATGAATCCATCATCCAGCAAGGCCGTAGTTAACTTTTTTTGACAGGGGGAACAAATATTTGTACAAGTATCACTTGTCACAAACTTGATTCAAATAAAACTGTTTTCTATAAAAAAAAAAAAAATCTAGGGAGGGCAAGTGCCCTCCCTGTCCCCCCGCAACTCACTGTCTAGTTGTAGTAGCATATCTATACGCAAAACAGTTTAAAAAAACGCACCGAAAGGCTTGCATTAATATTAGGCCAGTCTGTTGTGTTTTCAGAATAGGCGCGCTTGTTTACAAACAAGAGAAAAGTTCGGTCACGTAATGTGCAAATTAGCCTGTGTCAGTGGTGTTATGCTAAGTTAAAACTGCGCCGGAGTGGGACCTTACATTAAAATACTAGCTTCATGTAGCCCGCTTACCTCGCGTGAGTATCGTCGAATTGATAGGAAACGGGGTAAAGGGAAGTAACTCAGTTGTTTGCATTGTCTGCTTGCTGTCAAAATGGCCGAATCAAAACATTTTACTCGGTGAAACGAAGGACATATATTCGGGGTCTGTATAAATGTCGGTGAGATATATTCGTTGTCAACCGATACCTTGGGGCATATATGGTGCGATGTACCCTTTGTGTGAGTCTATGTACCCCACGTCTGTCGGTTCGGGGTACATCTACCTCACACACTCCTCGAGATCGATTGACAACGTATATTAGTTATACCACCACGAAGCGAACCACACATCGAAGCGAACATAAAATCTCCTCTCCTCTACAGTCTGAAACACCCACAACCCAGCTAGCATGACTGGGTAGATTTACATTTAAATGAACACTCTGTTCTCGGCTTAAATGTGTCGTCATTATATTAACCGATGATTCTACTGAGTATTCATGCAAAGATAGAACGGTGCTGAATATGCATCACAGAATAATACTCTTTACATATAGTACTGAAATATTGTTTCAAAGTGGCGTCCAAACTACTACTCAAGCAGCCATTGAATACGACTACTCTACCGACAAACACGCGAAGGGATAACGAGATGAGAGTTACTTGCCCTTGACATGGCATGGTGAGTTTAACGTGTTGTATTTTGTGAACAAGTAGTTTTGACTTTTGAAGTAGTCATTTGTATTTAATTATTGTAATAACTAGGATAAAAAGAACATGGTGTTGTGACCAGTTCAAGAAATCAGCTAAGTTTGCACAACAGTAACCGGTTTCAAAATAAAACAGATGTTGAGATCGAGATCACATGGTAAAGGAAGCGGAATATAATCGTCAGTTGTTTTGATTTGAAGATCTCGATATGTCCTCGGACATGACGGAATAACTGGAACCTGTTCAGGCCTAGCCTTTTATCCCTTTTTTTAAAATCCTTTTTAGGATCTCCATGCAACAAGACAGCTCACACATGCACACGACTAGCCTACATCACATCACACACGATGTCTATAAGCAGTGATGTAATCCGTATAGGCCTTTGTTTATCAAGAAGTTTATTATCTAAGTTCGTTGAATAAATGTCTTATCAAAGCAGCAAGGGCTGTGGTCTGGTTTGTGCAACCTAATCAAGCAGAATTGGATGTAAGGAGGGTTGTGCAACCTAATAAAGTACCATTGATTGGTTGTGAGGAGGGTTGTGCAACCCAATCAAGCACCATTGGTTGGTTGTGAGGAGGGTTGTGCAACCTAATCAAGCACCATTGATTCGTTGTGAGGATGGTTGTGCAACCTAATCAAGCACCATTTGATGTGAGGAGGGTTGTGCAACCTTATCAAGCACCATTGGACGTGAGGAAGGTTGTGCAACCTAATCAAGCACCATTGGATGTGAGGAGGGTTGTGCAACCTAATCATAGCCTCAAGCACTGTTGTGTGGTTGATGAACAATGTGCTGTGTTGTAATAGACCACCCTGCAGTTAAAGGGGGACATAGTGTAGCTAAATGGTAGCCTAAGTTTTATTAATTGAGCATTCACTTTCTTTGCTTGCATATTGAGATTGTATGATGCAGATGGGGATTCTTGGTCAAAATAGGTCTTGGTCGTTACCTCTTGCATAATAGAGCCTACTGATGCTGGAGGGGCCGTTGTCAACATGAGTACTACAGATATGTACCCAAGGTACTTTTCGGTGTACATATATATACAGTACCCTGACCATGACCAGAATATAGAACGGTATCCAGTAGGGCTGGGACAGGTAACTCAGGTACTCGGGTCGGGTGGATTTTGAGTAGGACCCGGACACCCACAGGACTACCTGGACATGTGGTTAGTCACGTGACATATTGTTTAATTACAGACAAAAAAGGCTAGGGTGAAACTATTCCCCATCAGACATTTTGTACCTATCTCTTGAGACCACAGGACAGGACAGGACAGGACAGGACAGGACAGGACAGGACAGGACAGGACAGGACAGGACAGGACAGGACAGGACAGGACAGGACAGGACAGGACAGGACAGGACAGGACAGGACAGGACAGGACAGGAACAGGACAGGAACAGGGGCAGGGGCAGGGGAGGACAGGGGCAGGGGCAGGGCAGGGGCAGGGCAGGGGCAGGGGCAGGGCAGGGCAGGGCAGGGCAGGGCAGGGCAGGGCAGGGCAGGTTCCAGCCCTAGCATCCAGTATGGACAAGCTTCATGTTGTGGTTTGGTTCGCAGTGCTGATTATGAGTGCATGTTGTGCATCTCGAAAGTAATGCATCGCCACCTGTCAATCAAACTAAACATTTGCCCATTGAGAAAGGTCAAATTATTTAATCTGCGTCTGCACGTTTTCTTTGGAATTCTATTCCCTGGAAAGCATACTTTCAATATTTTACTTTAAAAAGTAAGTGGTAATTCTACCATTCTTTGATTTCAGATTCCTTGAATACATGTCCAAGTGGATCATGTTCTGTGCCCCGGACAATTTCGCTGACTCAGTGGCCCAGTGTTGCTATGGTTACTATAAAAGTATGCCCAAAACTGGAAAACCAACCATGGGACAAGAGTGGACATTGCTGTCTGCTGTTGTCATGACTACACAAACAGGTAGTACATAAAGCACCACGGTGACCTCTGTGGGGATTCCAGGTTACAAAAGATCCACAGCTACCGATGCTTGTTATTAGAGGCAACTAAATGTATCGGGTGGTCAGACTTGGTGACTTGGTTAATGGCTTGTCAACATACCCTGATGGTGTGGATTGTTGCTCATGATATCAGCCACTGGTTTGTCTGGTCCGGACTGAATATTTCGATCCAGGCCACGGTCATGTAGCTGGAAATTGCTCAGTGTGACATTATAGCAAACAACACATGCCGTGAAACCTTATAAACAAAACTTTTTTTATCTCCATAGGCTACTAAAGACAAGGCAACATGTGTGATTGTCCTTCAAAATGGCTGAAATAAGGTCGAAGTTTGTCAACATACAGATGAGGTGAAATGGGGTTTAATGTCATGTTCAAGATTATTGCACTTATATAGCAATGTGCATGCATGTGTACTTGTACTTACTTGTACTAACTTGTACTTGTACTAAATTGTACCAACTTGTAATAACTTGTACTTCTTGTACTAACTTGTACTTACTTGTACTAACGTGTACATACTTGTACTAACTTGTACCAACTTGTACTTGTACTAACTTGTACTTGTACTAAGTTGTACTTACTTGTACTTCTTGTACTAACTTGTACTTACTTGTACTAACTTGTACTTGTACTAACTTGTACTACTAACTTGTACCAACTTGTACTTACTTGTACTAACTTGTACTTGTACTAAGTTGTACTTGTACTTACTTGTACTAACTTGTACTTCTTGTACTAACTTGTACTTACTTGTACTAACTTGAACTAACTTGTACTACTAACTTGTACCAACTTGTACTTACTTGTACTAACTTGTACTTGTACTAACTTGTACTTGTACTTACTTGTACTAACTTGTACTTCTTGTACTTACTTGTACTTACTTGTACTTACTAGTACTAGTACTACTACTGGTCAGGACTAGTGCCTGTTTTATAGTACAAGCCCACTGAGGTCAGAGATGCCATGCCTCAGTTTAACATGAATACCCTGCTCTGACACAGTTTACTGACTCGAGCCAACCAGTCCTTGTTTTAGACCCTTAATGCTGAGCGCCAAGCAGGGTAACAACAAGTACCGCCTCTTACCGTCTTTTAGTATGACGCGAACAGGCATCAAACACAGACCTTTCAGTGTCCAGGCGGACGCTGTATCCACTAGGCCACAAAGGTGGTCCATCATATACAGGTGTGATCTCATTAAACTCATTACTCATTCACACATCAGGTAAAACTCATCGGTGATGGCCATACTATGTGACTGAATGCACTTACATGCACTTACCTCTAGTGGAAAAACACTGCTTTGTCTGGCCCACTTTTGAGTATGTACAGGCCTCTGTGATATATCAGGAATTTTGAAAACTTTGGCATAAAACAACATTCACTCACTCTTTATATCAGAGACTGGCTGCAGTATGAAGGTGGTTGGCATGGGGACAGGTTCCAAATGTATCGGGAAGTCCAAGATGAGTAAAGCAGGTAAGAATTAGGCCATCATTAAACAATATACAGTCAAGTCTCGTTAATCCGACATGGTTGGTTGCATATGATTATGTCGGATTAACGGGTATGTCGGATAAACGAAATTAAGTATCAATGTTTGTGATCGAAAATCGGACAACTACACAATAGATAACGATACAAACACTAATTGTTCATTAATTGTTTATTGTTCAGTAAAATTATCTCTACAGCCGTTGTTATATGCAGCTACCAGCCGACTCATCTCGTATCAAAACACTGGCTGTGTACTCACAGGCAGATGTACGCTGATAACTGTGTTAAATTAACGAGACTGATTAATGAGTAATTTCGGTAATTCTTTGCAAATTAGGTGTGTCGAGTCGGAGTGCGAGACTGTCGGATTAACGGGTCTTAATGGCACTGATTTAATTGGTTCCCATCATTAGTGTCAGTTAAAGCCGAGTGTCGTATTAACGAGACTTGTCTGTATGTGTAGGTTATGAACCAAGGTTGAGGTTTTATTTTTTTAAGAATTGACTGTGTATTTTTTTCGGTTCATTGAGGTATAACCGATGTGCAAACTGTATGAATCTGCATAGCGGATTCTTACAAAGGTTTGCACATCAGTTTTTCGATTCATACCTCAATGAACCAAAAAGAGTACACAGTCAATGCTTATAATTTAATTCATCAACATAAAACATGTTTTGTCTACAATAGTTTAACCCCAAACAGTTGTATATGTCAGACAGACGAAAATGACGAGATTGATAAACATTCCAGGTGTAGAAATACATACTGTGGCGTGACATGAATTAGGTGATTGTTTAATTTATGCACATAACTGGACATGCCTACACAGTCAGTAGCCAATCAATGGAGAGTAGGATCAAAACAATGTTCATGGGACCTGTCATTTAAGGCAAGAGGCATGAAGAACTGCAATAGTCAGACTAACGAACCGAAACAAATATGTCCGGGAGAAGGCGGCTGCTTTAAATGACACTGTCAGTTACCGCCATATTCAAAATTTAGTTCCCTGTAAACTGGTTAACACAGTTGGAAAAATGCTGGTTAGAAATGAAACCCGAAGACAGGAAAGTTGTGGAACCAAGGCGGGCGGGAAAATACAGGCAAGCGAGCCTGCACGTCTGTTGTTTCATTCTTTCTCGGCCTTCGGTTTCAAAGGGTCGTTTGGACAATGAATATGCATGAATTTCGCTAAGCGTCCTGTGCATGACGATACATGTGAGCAGAAAGGGAATTCCTTTGACTGTAATATTAGGATTCCCCGACATTCCGCAGTAATAAAAGTAGTGTTCCTCGGTGGGCATGGCTTAATTTTTTACATTCAGTGAGAAATGAATGCAATAATATGTGACCAGTTCAGCTAATCAGAATGTAGGAATTACAATGAACACAACGAAAATTTAATTATATCACGCTGACTAGATCTTCTTTTCAATGTTGGTTTTCATTATAAAGTTGGCAAAAAAACTATTTTTCAGTAAGAACCATTGCAGTGTTGGCCTTAATATAAGGCTTGATTTATTGTTGCCTTATCATCTTTGTATTCGATATCACTGATTGGTTGGTTCATTGTAACATATTTTGTTTACCTTACTTTCGCAAAGTTTAAAAAAAAATAAATGCTTCTTTATTATTTACCTGTTATTTTGAGCAGGTACTATTTTCGGTGCTGCTACAAGTGGCTTCTACATTGATTCACAGCCTTCAACAATACAGATACACACAGTTTATTTATACATTTAGTTTGCTATTTCAGCTGGTCTTTGTATTAAACTGTACTTTGTGTCTGACTGAGAGACTGAAAATGAAGCTGTTGTTATTCAGTTGACATTTGTCAAACATAAATGTTCACCTTTCCAAGTTAGCCGTCTCAGAAGTTTGTCATGTACTGTAATTCTGGAAAGTTTTGCGCCATGAAATTACTGCGAGGGGCTGACAATTGCCGTAACTGCATCTGGAAACTTTTGCGACACTCTGAAGATTAAGGAAGAGAATTTTTAGTTGGTTGGTTGGTGTGTTGGTTTGTCGTTTAACGCTACACTCAGCAATATTCCAGCTATTATGTAGCAGACAATCCAGTGATTAATATCATGAGCATTGATCCTTGCAATTGGGATCGATGACATGCATCAACCAAGTCAGCGAGCCTGACCACCTGATACCGTTAGTCGCCTCCTACGACAAGTATAGTCTCCTTTTATGGCAAGCATGGGTTGCTGAAGGCCTATCTATCCTGGATCTTCACGGGTCAGAGAATTTATGGATGTCAACTTCTTTTTAATGAGGATCACAAGTTTCAGAGTATATGCTTACTCTTTCATCAGGTGAATGGTGCATTCACTTGATTGAGGAGTAAGTACATACTCCGAAACGTTGTGTTGACATCCATTCTCTTCCTTTTGTGAATAATTTCTAAATGCCTTTCAAAGACCTGTTAAAATTACCAAATATCAAAGCTACTTAAGGCAGGTGATATATTTTCATACCTGTAAGTAGGAAATGACATGATATAAGGCCAACTCAGTGTCAGTCAGTACTTTGTACACTATAGATGCATGTGTTGTAGCTGACAAGGAATGTTTGAGTAGGGTGTTTGTCTAACAGAACAGACTGGCTGGGTATGTCTGGACTACTCAGTGTTATGTCAACAACTTGACGAGAGTTGGCGGGTTAGTGAACGTAGACTTATTAGACTATCGACACTAGGTGACCATGTGTAATTAGAGAAACACAGGATGTGAGGGATTCTTTCTTTATTCATGTACTGGCTGGTTTGACAACATGTGGGAGTGGATTCAAGAAATGTGCCCCTTTTTGTCTTTTGTTTGTTGTTGGTCTGCAAAGACAACTGCGTCATGAAACTACATGGATTGTGAGTGTGTGTCGCTTGCAGTTTTCACAGTACTTCCCTGCTCGCAAAACTTTCCAGATTTACGGTATTAGTGAGGAATATATCCTCATTAAGATTAACAGATCATTTTCTTTTTTGCTAACTCAACAACTTTTGCCAGTATTTACTTTCAAATTGTGACTGGATCATTTGTACCATAGGAAGTCAAGATGATATTGTTGGAAAGATCTGTTGTACATGTAGTGGCCAGGAAATGTCCCGTTTCTGTAATGGGATTCAAACCATGGACCATCTGATCCGAAGTCAGACACCTTGTCCACATGACCAAACAGGTTAACCCTGACAGTAAACTGACAACGTACAGATGTCATCTACTGGATGACGCCACACCTTGCTAAATCTGTAAAGCTAGTTTAAAATTTAAACAAAACAAATTTCAGATTTTCATTAAAAGATTTAGCTTTAAATGTTTTGAAACTCTTTTTAGAATTAGGGGCAGTTGGGTAGCCTAGTGGTTAAAGCGCTTGCTCGTTACGCCGAAGACCCGGGTTCAATTCCCGACATGGGTACAATGCGTGAAGCCCATTTCTGGTGTTCCCCGCCGTGATATTGCTAAAAGCAGCGTAAAACCCAACTCACTCACTTTTTAAATTAAAGATAGGCTCAACTGTAAAATATGGCAAGAAATTTGGTATGTCCCAAGTTTGACTTTTCGCCACGCCTTCTTAATTTGACACGTAATGAAGACCACAACAATTTATCCTTACTAATGTGAAGGGGGTATTTAGTCCCCAGCCTGCTGAAACCTTCGTTGTTTCCTATTCAGGTGATGTCATAAATGACAGCCATGCTGAAATCATCGCAAGGAGATCCTTTCTGTGGTATGTAGTGTTGTCACAGAGTATCTGCTCCTGTAGTGAAATTGTTCCTTTGAACTATATTTCTTTTGGGGAATTATTCCCACAGAACATGTCTTTCAATCAAGGAAAATATTTCCATGATACTGTAAATATTTGTAAATATTTGTAAATATTTGTTGTGGATGGAACTAATTCCATGTAGAACTGATCATTGTTGACACTGGGATTATGTGTGTCACAGCTGAACCATCTAAATCAGTGTAGACCGCCTCCGTGGTCTAGCGGTAGAGCATCCCCCCGGAGAGCGGAAGGTCCTGTGTACGATCCCCTGGCCACATCATACCAAAAGATGTTAAAAGATGTTACTTGTTGTTACCCTGTCTGGCGCTCGGCATTAGGGGCTAAAACAAGGACTGGTCAGTTCGGAGTCAGTATACTATGTCTGAGTCGGGCATTCATGTTAAACTACAGTATGATATCTCAGTGGGCTAGTACTATAAAATCGGCTTTAGTCCGGACTAGTACAAGCAGCCAAACAGACATGTACATGCACGTCGCTATATAAGGGCAATATATAACCAGCTGTTATTAAGTTATTATCTGTGGAGGTATTTACATAAGCAAGTTTTGCTTGTTTACCAATCCAGATTTCTTTTGAAATAAAAATATGTTTAAACCATATACCGGTAAGTGCAATAATCTTGGATCCGACGTTAAACCCCATTTCATCTAAATGAGTGTAACAGGCATTAATTGAATGGTGTCGCTGAATGCAACAATAGATGATGTGTCAATAGCCATGGTTTGACTGACATTAAATACAATTATACTCCAAGTACCTGAAACACCACTTGGCAATGACAGTATATGTTATTTCCTTGGTTGGTTTGTTGTTTAACGCCGCACTCAGCAATATTCCAGCTATATGACGGCGGTCTGTAAATAATCGAGTCTGGACCAGACAATCCAGTGATTGACATCATGAGCATCGATCCACGCAATTTGGATCGATGACCGTGCATCAACCAAGTCAGTGAGCCTGACCACCCGATCCCGTTAGTCGCCTTTTACGACAAGCATAGTCACCTTTTACGGCAAGCATGGGTTGCTGAAGACCTATTCTACCCCGGAATCTTCACGGGTCCTAATCATCTACCTTTGAGAACAATTTATAGAAAAACATGTCTCCACTCACAAATTCCACACCAAAGGCTCATGAATGAAATCTTCGGCTTCCGCAACATGGGGGGAATCATGTGTTATTAACAATGACATTTTAACTTAAAAGACACATAGTTAATCCGTTTATCATGTTTATGAACAGGGATATTGGTGATTTTATCGGTATGTTATTCTAGACATTGAATGTATGTGTGATTTGGTAGGTTTTCATTAAAAATAATCTTTTCTCGATCATTGATGATTGATGAATATGCTTGTGTTGGTCCTGTATGAATTATGTATTTTTGCCAAGTGACATGCATTTCATAACCCGAGTCGCCAAAAGGCTTAGGGAACACATTTCATTTCCCTGGCCATTGACTGAGTTTGAATATAGATCTGAAGTATTCCTCTTGTTGGCACACCTGTATTGTCACACCTGTCTACCCCTGTCTACCCCTGTGTGTGATGCAGCTACCTGTATGAGGACCTGATGGCAGTGTACGGGGGGAGCCGGGGCGAGGTGTTCTTGCCTCCCCAGCAGCAAGATGGCCGCCATAGATGCACGGTGAAGCAGGGTGTCCACTTCCATTTCTTCACCAGCCAAACTCCATGTAAGTGTTACTGCAGGGCTACTGTGGGCAGGGACTTTTGATGATTTTCAGTTCTTTCTCTGGAAATAAATTGTTGATTTTTTCTGTCACTACTTTAACATACAGTTTTTATCTCTGAAAGAAGGGGGGGGGGGGGGGGATCCACAACAACCAACATTTCAGGACTCTTTTATTCCAATATTATTTCCACCCACCCCACCCACATTGTCGTCAAGTCACCAAGTCACTTTGTGACTATGTCCTCAAGTCACCAAGTCCACCAAGTCACTTTGAGACTTTGTCGTCAGGTCACCTAATCACTTTGTGACTATGTCCTCAAGTCACCAAGTTCCTTTGTGACTATGTCCTCAAGTCACCAAGTCCACCAAGTCAGTTTGAGACTTTGTCGTCAAGTCACCAAGTCACTTTGTGACCATGTCCTAAAGTCACCAAGTCACTTTTGTGACTATGTCCTCAAGTCACCAAGTCACTTTGTGACTATGTTCTCAAGACACCTTGTCACTTTGTGTCTAAGTCCTCAAGTCACCTAGTCACTTTGTGACTATGTCCTCAAGCCACCAATTCACTTTGTGACTATGTCCTCAAGTCACCTTGTGACCATGTCCTCAAGTCACCAAGTCCACCAAGTCACTTTGTGACTATGTCCTCAAGTCACCAAGTCACTTTGTGACTATGTCCTCAAGTCACCAAGTCACTTTGTGACTATGTCCTCAAGTCACCAAGTCACTTTGTGACTATGTCCTCAAGTCACTGAATCCACCATGTCACTTTGTGACTTGGGAATTTTGTGAAACCCGCTTTTTCAAAATCCTTGATCCGCCTCAGGTCATATATCGATGCATGTATGTATGTCACTTTCCATTTTAGGTGGCGATGCTTCCATTTTCCCCAGACCAGATGAAGATGCTGTGGAGGTGATGGGGTCAGTAGCTGCTGAGGGTTCTCCTGAACCTAAGTCTGGAGGACACAGGAAGAGGAAGTACCCACCTACAGAAGCCTCCCAGGATGCAGCACACAAGATGGCTAAACCAGACGTCACTGTTACAGATGTACCCTGTGTGGAGGGAGAGGCTGCAAAAGAGCCTGGTTCAAGTTCAGGGCAGGACCTACCTGGCAGTCGTCCTGGACATGGAGGAATGGGGAGAAGATTAGAGGAAGGGTGTTGTCACAGTCAAGACTGTTCTGACACTGCTGAAAATGATGTTGGTCATGTTGTCGAGAAGTTAAAAAGTAACACAAGTACAAACAAAGTTGGGAGACAAAAAGTGATAGAGACAGCTGTTCTCACTGGAAAGGAGGCAGGTGACCTCGATAGAAACATATTCCAGAAGGAGGCAGGTCATCCTGATGGACAGGTGTCTCAAAAGGAGGCAGGAGATCTCAATGGGAAGGTTTTCCAAATGGAAGCAGCTGATCTCAGTGGGAAGACATTCCACAAGGACAAGGGTGATCTCAGTGAAAAAACATTCCATAATGCTTACACTGAAGGCAAGACGATCGCAGAGGAAAAACAGCCTCGTGTCAGTTATGGGGATGACACATGTGGAAACGGTGCCAAGTGTGTGCCCGGGGGCGACATATTCCGTACCGGTGCCAAGTGTGTGCCCGGGGCTGCTCAAGACCAGCTAGGGTCAGGATCAGACTACCACATTGTGGGACTGCTAAGGATCAAGCCAGGCCGGGGTGAGAGGACAATCTCCATGTCATGTAGTGACAAGATGGCACGCTGGAACATCCTCGGTGTGCAGGGGGCTCTACTCAGCCTCTTTCTGGTGGAGCCAATTTATCTGAGCACTGTTGTTTTAGGGAGGTATGTTGGTTATGCAGTATTTTGAAAATGAATTAGTCAATGAATTAAGTTCTCATAAAAAAAAGTAAAGTTATTTCCATGTAATTGGTTCCATCAATAAATAAAGCTGATCGACACGGAACCAAACAATATTCATGTAATCCCCCCAAATCATTTCATGTCCAGAGTGTTACTTTTTCTGCCAGTGGTCCCTACAGCCATGCTGCCATGAGTAGAGCTCTGATTGAGCGTGTGGAGGGGGTGACAGAGCTCCCCAAGGGGTACCGTGTACACGCCCCCCTCCTGTTGCAGTCCACCCTCAGCTTCCCAGACGGCAGGCAGGATCAGCAGGCCAGGGCTCCACAACATAAGCTGGTGCCTTCATCTGCAGGTTGGTGTCTTGGGTTACAGTCGACCTGTTTAATTTAAACATCAGATGAACGCTCCTCTTTGATAACTTCCTCTCCCACCAACCAGCCAGAATTGTTCACAAAAAATAAAGAACTAATCTAAGGCTAAAAAAAATTAATAGTTTTGGTTCTTAGGCACCGTCCGCATCATCATAAAGTCTGTGGCATGTTTTTTTTGTTTTTTTTTCATTTTAAAAAAAAATGTAAAAATCCTAGTACTTAAACACAATGCGATCCAATATAGCATGCAGTTACTTCCCTTTATATGCCCACTGATTTACTGTGCATCTCGTGTTATGGTCCTGGCAGCTATAGGCATTTGTATGCTTGTTTATGTAGGGAGGCCCTTTCCAAGGTTGATGGTACACAACTGTTTATTTGATTACATACTAGTTTGAACAAGCAACAACCAAAAAAACCACCACCCGCCCGCACTATATTTTCAAAAGTCATATATTTTTTAGCATAAACAAATCTGTTATTATGATTATTGAAGTCATAAACTGTCTTGTTTTCTTGGCAGCCATTATATGCTATCAATATGGAGGTGTCCGACATGTAGATGCCAGTGTGAACGGCAAGAGACAGGGCGTCACTTCCAAGAACTTACACAAGCCTCAAGCCAGGTTAGAGGGATGTAGAATGTGTGAGTGATGGTGTGCAAGATCTACATGTAGGACCTGCGTCACTGAATGCTTTCCTGCCACGTAATGCTGACATGCTGTGTAATGTGGACATGGGTGGCCCGGGGGTCTAAGGCACCACTGTTTGCTGTGCACAGTTGTGTCCCTTAGGTATGCCAGGAACCTATGATCATGGGTTCAAATCCAAGATTTGCCCTGATAAGAGAACAGTTTGATGTTGGATAAAACTTAATTCTTTAAGCTTCGAGGCATACCCCTTAAATAACTTTCTTCAGAAAATGTTGAATTCCGGAGTTTCATGACCTCTTTTGTCAGACATTCTTGTGTTTTCCTCTGTTTTTTCATCGACTGAAGCTATCTAGGTGATGAAAATCATCTGTAGAGTTTTTATCGATCAAATCTGCCACTGTATATTACGCATGTGCATTAGATGACTTACCAAAATTGCCCTAGACGATAAAACCCTACCTTGTGGAAGACTGGATGTATTTATGACAACTCCTAACAGCCTACAAATGAAAATGGGATCAGTTTAGTTTAGTTACTATATAAAACATTGAGAACTCAGGTAAGTTGATTTTGTCAGATCGAAAACTTGCAGGGCATCAACCCCCACCCTTGAACTTAAGTAATAAAATTTTTAAACTTATCCAAACTCACACTATGCATTTCTTCTTATTTTTTTATCCTGATGTGGAAACGTCCTAGAACAAAGTTTCCAGCTTAAAAAAACACCAATCACCCCAACACATCTCATATGTCACCGAATCACCAGTGGGATCATGGGTAACACACCACTGCAATGCCGTGCGGCACAACACCTGCGATCTGATCACCTAACATATCCAGCACCCTCATTCTCAATTCTATCTTCTGAATGTCAGGACATCACATGAACAGAGAATAGTTGTTTTGGGTTGTTGTGTTTTAAAGTTAAATCTAATAATAAAATGATATGGAGTCATCACGTCCCCTCTGCTCGGACTGCCATAGTTTTCCCCTCTCGATCCCCACCTCAGTTGACGGATAATCGTGGGGTATGTGAGATTGCAACATGATGTACACAGTGTGCTAACTTGCCTGAATCGGGCTTCAAAACTTACCTTCGCAAGTGTTCCAAACGGTCAGCTGATCGTAGGGTAAAGACATCTAAGGATACAGAGCACAGTTCTTCCTCTGTGAAGAAACCCAAGTGACTTGTATTCTCTCATGTGACTGCCTTCATCTTCTTGCAAGTAGAAGGGAAATAAATCTACTAAATCGGCAACAGTTACATCGCTTTCCGTGGAGGAACATTTGCTTCCGACTTGTTTTTTAATGCCGACATTCCCGCTCGTGAATGAACCACGCCCCTTGCACAGGGCGGCTCACTGTCTCCTACAGTCGTCCCGCCTTCAACTGACCACCGGACTGTACTGTCATCTGAGCCTTCCCCCTTATTTTGAAGATGGGGAGCCAACGTTGGAAAAGTCCAAACAGCCAGCAGAGGGGTGCCCCTCCCCCCTACCCGAGCGGGATTGGGATCTGGCTACTGCGGCTCGTATTAATGAGATTCATGCCTGAGACAGTGGCAGAGTCCGTTTTGAACGTCATCAACATGGTAAAGTCTTCCTGGGGTTGCGTGGGGACTTCATTGCTAAGAATCAGATCCCAGGACAACCGGATCAACTATTTACCCTTCCAGCCCTCTCATCGATGTTGGGACCTGATGACATGGAAGACCTCTCACTTTGCCCAGTCCGAGCTTTAAACATCTACTTGAAGACATGTCAGACCTCCCGTTGCCATTTTTTTAAATCGTGTCCCAATCTTCTACCTGCTCACCTCTGTCTTGCGCATGTGATGTCTCAGTAGTTGATTGAAGACCTATGTGAAATGTGGTATTGTCAATCGTTTCCTCCTCTCATTCTTACCTTATTCAATCTCTACATGAGTTTGACAAATTGACCAGCGAAAAAAGAGATGCCAAGCTGGTCCGCCTTACGTCCTTGGTGGCGTATGTGTGAGGTCTGTCTTGTAGAACCTACTGGCTAGGGACAGGGTGTTTGTAACAAAACACCTCCTATATGGGGTGAGGTTGAAGTCGTGAGCGGGTTGAAGGTGTCGCTTGGCTCATGGTTACGCGGTCGTTCTTGGAATGGCGTCCTATGTGAAACCATGGAACACATGATTCCCCGATGTCATGATGTATATCTCTTGGTAGCACAAAGAGGGTTTTTGAAGTAACCCTTACATGAGTTTTCACTAATCCTTGTAAATCCCTCGTGATTAGTTCCAGCTTCCTCATGTACATCTCACGGTTGAGGTCCTAACAGGCATTGGTATCTGCGCCCCATCATCCAACCATGGGATAAATGCATAGTGTGAGGATAAGATTAAACAATTTCTAAATTTTCTAATATATTGTATATTTATATACTTAGCCTATCTCACACGCTAAATGCCCACCCAACCATCCCCACATCACAGTTACACCAGCCTGTACGCTCTAGATTGAGAATGAGGGTGCTGGATATGTCAGGTGATCAGATCGCAGTGGTGTGTGACCCATCATCACAGTGGTGATTTGGTGATGTATGGGATGTATTTGGGTGATTGGTGTTTTTTTAAGCTGGAAACTTTGTTCTAGGATGTTTCCTCATTAGGATCAAGAATAAGGAGAAATGCATAGTGTGAGATAGGATAAGTATATTTTTAAGTATAAGATTTTTTTCCAGCATCAAACTTTTGAAATCGTCTCTAGTGTTTCTAGGTTTGTCAGCACCAAAGTGGTCTGTAAATAATCGAATCTGGACCAGACAATCCAGTGAATGATATCATGATCATTGATCTACGCAATTAGGATACTATGACATGCATCAACCAAGTCACAGGTCCTCCCACATCAAGCTGACATGTGATATAACGGAAATCCTGTTCAAGGTGGTGTTAAACATGGCTTATTCCCCACACTGACTGACTCTGTTCTGCCTGTGCAGGTGTCTCGTCTGCAGCAAGGAATTGTTCCTGAGGTTCCAGTCTCTGATGGCAGCATCTCATACAACCTCGTCAATGTCGTGTTTCAAGTAAGTGAAATTGCATATCTCATATCCGTTCCTATTGTCAACCTGTATGGCCAGGTGTGAAAGAAGCAGGTTCTTTGCCCTGTTTATTTCAAATGAGAAACATGATTTTTTTTATTGTCAGTACATTGGTTTTCCTACAACAGTAACAAGACTGACCTACCCAGCAATACTCCATTAATTGATATGCCAATGTTGAACCCATTAGCCATTTTGCCTGTGTTTCATTGTTTATGAATCAATTTGTACCAACATAGTGAAATAACCCAGTAGTCATGTAGTGACCAAGTGACCAGGTGACCAAACACCAATGTTGCCTCAATGTCTGTGTGTGGTTTCCAGAACTTCATGCCCGCACGGTTCGCCCCGATTATGTTTCTAGGTTTGTCAGCACCATACCCGTGCTCATGGGTTTCACCGAAGTGGTAAACGTCTGAGACCTGCATCACTTCGGGCTTTCCTCCCACATTAAGCTGACACGCCGAGATATAACTGGAATAATGTTAAAAGCGGCGTTAAACCCAACTCACTCACTCACTCACTCACTCATGCCCACATGTCGTGGGATCACAATGGCTGCCAGGTGGTAGAAACATTGAGCTGATTTAGCTACCTTAAAGATTCTTCTTTTAAAGACTAGCTCAGAGGTGTAAACCTTATATTTTTTACTTATCCTGCATTACTCCTTAATGCATATTACTGCTTGTTCTTGAGAGAGAAAAGAGCTCTGTGAAGATCTTTGCTTGAAGAAGTTGTTCCAACCTGCTGAGAGGCCAACCCTGTCATACAGCTCCCATGTGACCAAAGGAAGTGACGTCACAGATCCTCACATTACTCTTGTCACTTGAGTGAAGACCTGTTTTTTTATCTGTAGCATAAAACTTGGACGCCTCTCTCCTCCAGTATATTCAGTACTTGCAGGCCATGCAACAGATGCCCCAGCGCCTATACAGACGCCTCTACAAGTGCCACCTACAGCGCCTCTGCAAATGCCTCTCCTAGTGCCTATACAGATAGCGCCTATCCATCAAACAGCGCCTATACAGACGCTTGCCCTTGTTACGATGACACCCCCACTGACGGCGAGTCCCACCTGGGACTAGACCAGGTTGCAGACTGGTTAGCCGATTGACTCGAGGCAGTCTCTCCTGGCCTAGAGGTCGATAGTAAGACCACCATCTGAGTGGAATCAAATCGAATAAGACGCCTCCCTGCAGGGATGGGGCGCATACCTAGAGGGACAGGTCGCCTTGGTGCGGTGGTCCACCAATCAGCGCCTATGGCATATCAACAATCTCAAACTGGAGGCACTTATCCTGGCCTTACGACTCACTCGACCTTGCTCCTTTAACAGATGTTCCAGGCCAGGCAAGGTCGCCCCCACAGAGTGGAGGCTCCACCTAGACGCTTTCACTCTTGTTTGTCGAGACCTCCGTCTCCCACACATAGACCTGTTCGTCACCAGCCAGAACTACCAGATACCAACCTTCATATCGCCGGTACCGGATTCCCTGGCTTGGGCAGTCGACACCTTCAGCGTCCGCATTTCCACCACCTATACTCCTTCCCAGGATCGTGCAGAAGATCAGATAGACACAGAACCTTGATCTGATTTTGGGCGCGCCCTGGTGGCCGGCGAGGGCTTGGTTTGTCAACCTCAGAGAACTAGCCGATACCAACCCGCTGCTACTCCCAGATTCGCCAAACCTGGCAGCCACACCCAGGACCAGACAAGCTATGTTTTCACGTCTGGTCCATTTACAGAGAGCGCTGAACGCCAAAGCTTACTCGGCCAGAGCGGCTAGGGCCATCACAATGGCACATCGCCCAACCACCAGGTGCCTCTATTGTGACAAGTGGCTATCCCTCGAGAGCTTTTGCAGGGGCACACAACAAGACCCCACTACTGCATCGCCTCAATTCCTGGTCGTTTTCATGCTCTATCTTCGCAACTAGCGTAGGCTCAGGGGTAGTACCATTACGACCTACCTCGTGACGAAAATCCCGGAACTAGAGGCTCTGCTCCGCTCACTCAGGTCAGAAGACCAGAAGGCGAAATTTCATCCACCAGCTTGGGACTTGAACATCATTCTGACCTTGCTGAGAGATGCGCCCTTGGAGCCACTCGATGCGGGGGCATTCTACCATCTGCCAAAAATAAGGGTCTCCCTCCTAGCGCTCGCTACAGACTGTGCTGGGACTTCATGGCCAAAAACCAGCTCCAAGGACAGCCCGATAGATCGTTCCTAATCCCTTCCCTATCCTCGATTGTGGGTGCGGAAGATGCACAGTAAGAGCGCTCTGTTGTTACATCCGTCGTCCAAGGAACGCCGGGGACAACGACGCAACCTCTTTATACCGGTATCTGCGACCTCGAGAGTGAAAGTCAACCACATCATGATCGTCCTCTGGCTACAAGCCATCATTCTCCAGGCCTACGAGGCCACGGGATTGAATCCCCCAAGCTCCAATAACCCGCATGAAACCCGGGTGGTCGCCTCCACCATGGTGCTAAACAGCAACTGCTCTCTACATGCCATCATGGAGGGGTGTTTCTGGCAAACAAACACAATCGTCGCCAGTCAGCACCTGCGAGACATTGCATTGAAGGATGTGCTAGGCACGCACAGTTTGGTCTGTTAGTAGTGGCCCAACAGGTCCCCACTACAAGATGCCATTGACCTCGCCTCCAGTCCCGAGCCGGCCTCTCAACTTCTCCTGGCTTAAATGCCCTGGAGTAGAAGGTTCATGCCCCACCTGCATACGGATTGGTACACCTGTCTACAACTTCAACTTGAGTAAGGTTATCGTCTGTTGTACTTGGACACACTGCATACCTGACTCTTGGTTCCCATCCATGAAATGGTCATTGATGCCGACCATACAGCCGAGGATTGGCTGAGGGAACAGAGTTCTGAGATAAAAGTCCACGATGCCTTCTGACAATGCCTTCCGATGTTCCAGACTCCAGAGTTATGTGAGGATCCGTGATGTCACTTCTTTTGGGAACCCCTTCAAGCAAAGATCTTCACACACCTCCTTTCTCTGTGAAGAACAAGCAGTATTATGCATTAAGGATTAATGCAGGATAAGTATACAAATATAAAAAATATCTAGGATTTTACTAGTTCTCTAGTCCTCTGAGTTTGTAGCTAATCCTGCTCTACACAAAAATTTTTTTACCATATATCGCCATCTATAAGGCAACCCCACTGTATGAGCCTTCAAAATAGATGCTAATTTATATACACAGTCAGTAAAGCAATCCGGAATGTAGCACATCACCAGCACATACATATCACTACATTTGCAATAAACATGTGTTTGGAGAAAAAACATCAAGTTGGCCTATACCCAGAAAAAGATTTACATCGTAGCATTCCAGCGAAACAGATGATAACAAGTGAGTTAGTGAGTGAGTATGGTTTTACGCCGCTTTAAGCAATATTCCAGCAATATCACGGCGGGGGACACCAGAAATGGGCTTCACACATTGTTCCCATGTCGGGAATCGAACTAGGGTCTTCAGCGTGACGAGCAAACACTTTAACCACCAGGCTACCCGACCGCCCCGGATGATAACAAACTTGGTCAATACAAATTTGAAATTTGAAATAAAACATCACTAGACATAATGATTCACTGTTTTAAATTACACAGCGATATGCAGTACCATGTTTACTTTTTCTGAAGTTTGTAGCAAAATGGAAGCACATCACATCACGTCACATCTTTCACAGTCCATTCAAGATATTGCATATGCTTTTCATCCGTTTCATGTTTGACAAGACTACACATTTCATAAACATATGTCAAAGGATGGTTACGGTTCATTAAGAAAGTATCCTAATACGTGAACATCTACTTGTTTTGCGTAGTTATCCTTTGTTTACATTGGTTGTACGGCTCCACGTGCTGTCATCAAAGCCCAACAGAGAGCTAGCGATATGGTCACTTTGTATAAATATATATTGTCATGCAACTCACTGTCGCAGTTGTAGTAGCATATCTATATAATTATGCAAAACAATATGTAAAGCGCCCCCAAATACTTGCATTAGTCCGTTCTATACTGATTTCTGAAAAAGCGTGTTTGTTTACAAACAAGAGAAAAGTCTGGTCACGTGATATGCAAATTAGCCTGTGGCGGTGGTGTTATGCTGAGTCACCACTGCGCCGGAGTGTGAACAATACTCACTCACTCACAGTAACCATTGGTTTGTCTAACCAGATCTAATTATTAACAAACCATAGAGACATAGCTGGAATATTGCTGTCTGTGGAATGCAACAAACAAACCTGATTAGCAGTACAGGTATTCTTGGTGATACAGTGTATAACCCATTTTCGCACAGATGCACTGGACCCGTGAAGATCTGAGGTAGAATAGGTCTTCAGCAACCCATGCTTGCTGAAGACTGTGCTTATCATAAGAGACTACTAACGGGATTAGGTGGTCAGGCTCGCTGACTTGGTGGATGCATGTCATTGTATCCTAATTGCGTCTAACGAAGCTCTTGATGTCAATCACTGGATTGTCTGGTCCAAACTCGATTATTTACAGACCACCGTCATATAGCTGGAATATTGCTGAGTGCGATGTTAAACAAACAAACAAACTAACTAACAAAGAAACTGATGCACTGTTTTACAGAGACATGTCCTGGGCCGGGCTCACCTACAACCAGTGCAAGTCCATGGCCAAGGACTACAACGATGCATGGGCATGTCTCAGACTTCAGCAGTTTTCAAAATGGCTACGAAAAGATAGGACACTTCTGGACTTTTCATCGTCAGACACAAGTGTTTGATATTGAGCCAACAGTGTTCTACTCACATTCCCTCACCTTCGGAATACCGGGATTCTGGAGAGAATTGGACCACTGTTACTTATGCTTGTTGTAAGAGGCAAATAAATTGGATCTTGCGGTCAAGATCTGTGACTTGATTGCGAACTGAAGATGCACTGATCAGTCACTGGTTTATCTGAATTGATTATTTACAGGCCACCATGACGAACCTGGAATATTGCTGACCTCGGCATTTAACAACATTCACTCACTATATGAATATTCCGGGGTAGAATAGGTCTTCAGCAACCCATGCTTGCTGTAAAAGGTGACTGTGCTTGTCGTAAGAGGCGACTAACGGGATCAGGTGGTCAGACTCACTGACTTGGTTGATGCATGTCATCGATCCCATTTGCGTGGATCGATGCTCATGACATCAATCACTGGATTGTCTGGTCCAGACTAAATTATTTTCAGACCGCCGTCATATAGCTGGAATCTTGCTGAGTGCGGCGTTAAACAACAAATCAACCAACCAACCACTATATGAATAAAATCATGTCTATTGTTATGGTTTTGGTAGTTTCTTGTTTTCTGTTGTGTTGGTATGTGATGGGAGAAATATTGCCCAGTTCTTCCTGAGGAATGCTGAGTTTAATTGAGTTATTTCATACTACTATGGTCAATCTGTCTGTTAGCCTTTGAGTAGTATAGGTAGTACTTGGAGTTGATCTTTAGCTTTTGGCACAGGTACTACAGAAATGTGCTCCAGGTACACAGATGTACCCTAGCATGGCAACATTAACAGCGCTAAAGTCACGATAGTAATGTATTAGGTAAACAGCACATATGAGACATATTGCTGTTCAATGTACATTGAGACCCATGAAGATCAGGGGTACAATAAGTCTTCAGCAACCCATGCTTGTCGTCCGGATGGGGTGGTCAGGCTCGCTGACTTGGTTGATGCATGTCAGTGTATCCCAATTGCCTTGATCGATGCCCATGATGTCAATCACTGGATTGTCTGGTCCAGACTCGATTACGTACAGACCATTGTCATATAGCTGGAATATTGCTGAGTGCGGCGTTAAACAACAAACCAACCAACCAGTCAAAGCAGCTTAATACCAAACAAACAAACAAACAAACAATGTATTTTTGAGTGAGTTTATATAATGATAATCAACCTGCTATGTTGTCATTTTCTCATATTTTCAGAGTTCTAAATTGGGCATGTTGGATTACTTCCAGAATCGTTTGGTATCAGAACGACATATATCATATTTTGTTGTTTCATTATTATGTTAACATGAGTTCAACAGTATTTGCCATCGACTCAATTTAAGATTTACTGCTGTCAAGTGTTATGTATGTGGTGTGAGATTCACATATCTGAGGCATAAAGTGTCAAATTCGTGGAATTCTATGAATTTGCTACGAGTAGAGACAATAACGAAGGCCATCAAGAAAGAGCAAAGTGCAAATCAAATTGTGCAAATTACTGTTGACATTTAAACTCACCAGAAAGAACTATTTTCCACCTTTCAGAGTGAAAGGCCTGGAGTTCGATCCCCAGCCCCATCATACCAAAAGACATTAAAAGATGGAACTTGTTGTTACCCTGTCTGGTGCTTGGCATTAAGGGGCTAAAACAAGGACTGGTCGACTCGGAGTCAGTAAACTGTCTGAGTGGGGTATTCATGTTAAACTGCGGCATGGTATCTCAGTGGTCTAGCACTATAAATCGCCATCAGTCCGGACTAGTACAAGCAGCCACACACACACACACACACACACACACACGTGCATGCACGTCGCTATTTAAGTGCAATATTCTTGGACGCGACGTTAAACTCAATTTCACCTCATCTCATCCCACCTGTTCCATGGTTGTGAGAGTCATGTGGTGTTCTGATGAATTGGATCAAAGTTCATACCACCTGGTGCTGCTCCAGAGAATGGTTACTATCAACTGCCACATATTGTGGGGGGAAAACCGTGCTGTATTTACTGTATTAAGAGTCCTGCTCCAATACAGCGAAAACAAAAAGTAGAAACACAATCATTTTAAGAAACTTTATTCTATAAATCTGGTTAAAATTTGCATATCCAAAATATGGCAAAAATGTCAAAATTTACAGTCGGATGCTACAATAAATAATTACAGTCATCATTTCCTCAGACCAGGATGTCATGAAGGGAGGCGGCCATTTGCAAAATGATCCAAGATTCTTATTTAGGAAGAATATCACTTATAACAATCATTTAACATGTATTGATGATGACATTGTCACAGAGTTTAGTAACCAATAATATCACACAGAGGGTAAATCATAACATTAAGATTTCCAGATTCTGGGAAACCATATTGCAAATGGCTGGCTATTTGAACAGTCTTTACCAATGTGATGACGAGTTATGGGAATAAATGACTACTACTCATAACATGTATAATCAGCAACGTAACATTATAATAGTGGCATTACTTTTGAGTTCAAAATTAAACAAATATTTCATCATACAGATATTGAAATTTTTGTTAATTTTACTGAAAGGGATGTTTCCTTGAGCTATTGTAACATGAGCACATTCTATATTTTGATATTGTCATATATTGTGAACCTTTCTGTCTATCAACTTCTGTTATTATTGCTTGTTATCACAACTGGTTAGGTTATACAATCTCAACTGTAACATGGATGCACTCACAACAATAAATATAACAAAGCATACACCCTCCGGTAGGCTGGTAGTGATTGGTTGAGATCAATGCTTTATTCCGCACCACATCACATATTCAGCAGCAGACCACTCCAGACACCAAACTGTGGCTACAATCGTAGCAGACCACTCCAGATACCAAACTGTGGCTTCAATCGCAGCAGACCACTCCAGTCGCCAAACTGTGGCTACAATCGCAGCAGACCACATCAGATACCAAACTGTGGATGCTCTTGCAGCAGATAAATCCAGCCCCAAATTGTGACCACACTTGCAGCAGACCACACCAGATACCAATCTGTGGCTACACATTCAGCAGTAGCCAGCTCTGCATGTTATCTCATAAACCGAGGTCCGTGCATACACTAGTCAATATGGCAACATCATCACTGGCCATTTAGCTTGAGCTTCTGTGACATTATTATTCAGGCACACTACTGCTACACTGTGCATAAGAACATCATCTATATGTTACAGCAAGGTGGTGAATACAAGCATGCTGAGGGTATGCAATATAAACCGTATTGCATTGGAGTATCCATCAGCACCAATATTTCAGGCCAAATTTACGGTTCCATATTTGAAGGCACTATATATAATCTAAAATATAGTTTCCAAAAACATACCAAATCAGGCAACTGTAATACTTTCACATGTTAGAAAACTATATGTACACAATCTCCCTTTGTGGAAGCCATTACACTGGAGCTCCACAAAAGATGACTAGCGAACCACATGCCGATTTTTAGTTTGATATAGTCAGAAAGTAATTATAAATGATGAAGCATCATTTATAGAATGTCAGTGATTTGGCATGACCTGACATTGTGTAATTGTCTCAAGGGAGACAACTCAAATCAAATATCTACCCCGGTACTTGTATATGTGCTGATGCAGGCCTGATATCTTAAGAATATATATACTGTGCATATAAAGCTGTCTTAGGAGTCATGCCTAAATGTCAGCATATGTCCAACATTTTAGACTATGGTCATAGTGACTTACTAATATTTGACTGACTAGTGCATTAATAACTTTGGCCTCACAGTTTACAAGTCTAAGCATCCTTTCAGACAAGATTGCTCATTAATCCTGATGCATCTTATTCAGATTCACAATATATTGACTGTAACGTAACACATATCCTTCTCAGAGCTGACAATAATGTTTAAATAAGATCTTCAACACAATGTCACATGACGGTCATGCAATAACCCAGGATATAACTCAGATATAACATGTCCCCATGCAGTATATTGCATTTTGGGGAATGTTTTCTCTCGACAATATTTTGATTCTTTTCCACAAATTTTACGCTTAAATGAACATAGATATTGTTTGTGCATCATTGCAATACACACATATACCATGTGTTGATTTTTGTCATTGCCAAATTATAGAGGCAATTTTTGCATTGGATGTTGCAAGTAATTTTCATCTGTTGCTTGATAATGGAGGCATGTGCTGTTGCATGCAGTTGATATAACTAACAATGTAACGGATTATTACTGAGAGCTCTGAGGGACACTTTGTCTTGATGTCAGTAATAAATAAATAAATTCACATTTATAAAGCAGGTAACTTAGAAAAATAACAAATATTTTAATGATGTAAATGCAAATGATTTCATCTGTACACCTGTACAATTGCATTCGTTAACATTCTATTTACAATGAAATAACATCAAAAAAGATCAAACTGCTAAGCTACTTGAAATCATGGTAACAAAACCTTTGACAACAACACTGAAGACAAATGTGTCATACATTGTCAGTATCTGAACACATCACTATTGACTATATCAAATAGCATATTGCACATACCACTGTTTAGGGCACTTTATTCCATTTGAAATATTGAAATTTGATCTTTTGTACTTTTTTAGCACCTATCCTACTTGGTCCATTATCAAGAGACCCCCCAAATAGTCTTACAAAATCGACACATATAAAAATAAAAGGGGTAGCAATATGATGTCGGCAAATTAAATCCAACATGATGTAATCAATTCAGCAAGCTAGAGTCTTATCACAGATTACTGGCGGATGTGTACGCTCACCATCCTGTTGTTGACTTAATACAGTCCGTCTTGTCCATGTTGACATTATCACTGCCAACATAAATTCGTAATACTAAGCTTCTATTTTGCACAAACAGCATTCATATTGAAATGTCTCGTCCACTCACATTTTTCAGTGCAGGGTCATTATTAACTGGTTATTATCTTAATACAATAAATGTTTGATTTCAATATTCTGAAATTATTTAATAAAATAATTCATGATGATGAATATCATTGACAGCTATTATTACGGAGCTTGCAATTCAAATATCTTCAGGTAATGTTAGTTCAACCTCTCAACTTGCATACCAAATATATTGAATGCTGTTCACATTAACAATGCATGTGAAAATTTTAACTGAATATTCTAGCAGTTCTTGAGACAGATTCTAGCATATATATTTGTTTTCATTGTTGCATAGAAAATTCCTCTTTGTGTGTGCAGTACTTGTTCCACACTGCTTCTAGTCCTTGAACCATGGCCAGCAGCCGGCCTGGCGACATGTGGACGTTGAGTGAAGGTCGATAGCTATGCGACGAGGGACAAAATGGGCGGTAGTTGACTATGAAAGACTAAGGTGACATTAGACGTGAGCGATGATCAAACTTGGTCAGATTCTCCAATCACGGCCTGCAACTCATTAAGGTCAAGGCCACCTCTCAATGTCCGACGTACTGAAAAAATAAACAAAGAATTTAAAAAACATGATCACATACTTACATCTTTTTGTCCAGAATGCTTAGTAATTAACCTATTTCCTATTTCAATTTAAGAAAAAAACAAATTAACGTTTTGAAATCAGAGCAACACAAAACATGAGTACCCTTTGTAAATAAAGTTCTTGTGTTGAGTAGAATTAATGGTTCATTTGGAACTAATGAGGACATTGTTTCTAAACAAAACACCTCAACAGATCAGCCAATAATATTATAACCATTTGTTAGCTGGAAAATTACTCTAACAGAATTATCATTACTTGCAACACTAGGGATCAACATAAAGTACCATGAAAATGAGATAAAACTGCAACTCTGTATGAGTTTGTAACTAAACTTGTGAGCAGCTTGCAGCAGTCACTGAACAAGAAGCAGCTGATACAGTCGAAGCTAACGCATGCAAACAAAACGACAGACTATCACATTCAGAAGACATATAAACAACTGAAAACCAGAGAAATACCTCAAAACAAATGTGACAGAAATCAATAATAGTCTATATAATCCAGGGCATGCAAGAATGGGTTTATCGTGTAGAGCTTGAGAATAATTTGCCTGCAAACTTTCCACCAGTTGCATGCTGTAACAGACATTTCGCAGTCAACCTCTTTGAGTGAGTGAGTAAATATTGCTTTAAGCTACATCAGCAGTATTGCAGCTATTCACAGCTTAAACCGCTAACACCCACAACAGACTTTGCGTGTCACTGTTGACAGCCCGCACCAAATGTATTATAGTTTGAACAGAAGAACAGTTAGTATATTAAATTCACCTCTTTCGTTATCCTTGACCAGAGTTGAAAAGAAATAATCATCATTTGAGCGCAGTCCTTTTTAAGATAGTTGCATTATGGTACAGTGAGGTTTGTTTTTTTAGCTTAACTCGTACCTCACATTTCAAATGCAAGAACCTTGAAAAACATTGCAGTCTTACAGAGCAGAATCTGATTTCAGAAGAAAATGAAATCGAATTTTATATTTCAATTTAACAATTTATTAAATTGAGTGTTTTGTACCTCGAGGATCTGAAATTCTGTTACCACAGAAACAGATGCCGAGGATGTTCACTGAAGTTCAAACTCTGCCCAGTCACTGTGGTGTTATAAAATTGACCCCACCCTAAGTTTTGAAACTTACGTACACGACCACCACTAGGTGGTGCTGATAGGGGCACTAAGCTGTTTACCCGTCAACCAGTTTTGGTTGCTTTCCCAATAAACTGTCCAGCGGGATGAAGCTAGCACAGATAATACATACAGTGCACATGTCAACAATTGTTCCACTGAATTGATTGGCTAAACATTTCATTCACAACAAAAAGGAAAATTTGTCAAAATATCTTTTGTTACTGTATGCAAACATGAAATATTTTGATAAATGTAGACTTTCTTCCAGAAGCACAAAGTCAACTTTTATCAAAATGCCATTTTGAATTTTTGTATGTTTACAATTAATATGCCAAAAATACTTATATATTTTTTAAGCATAAATTGTTCAAATATAACACTCATTTCTCCTACATTTGTATACAACACAATCCATGCTGTTACCTTCCTTATATCACAGATGAAGTGATGCCTATAAATACAGTGGAACTATCATGCTGGCCGAACTAGAACTTAACAACATGGCCGATAGCACAGCCCCATGGCATGTTGTGTGGCATACACCTTCACTTTTCTGTGTGACTGACAGCATCATGTTAATATTACAACACTGACAATACCGCAATATTACTTGTATATACGTAGTAATGTTCAATGCCAAATAAGAAAATCATTGCAAACGTAAAAGAAGTCAAAATAACCCATGGAACTGTCAAATATGCAACACATGCTTACCACAAATGAGAACAGAGAAATAAGGAGAAACATAACATGATGATGCAGAGAAATGACACTGCTGCAAGCATGACGTATACTAGAGTGTCAGTATAACATATACTTTTCTCAATATGCTGATATAGGATATATAGCACGGTCTGCCAAGGAGGCACCATTGCTACCAACTTGTATCTCTCTGTTCTGACTTTGCTTTGTACCATCCAGGGTGATATATAGCGTATACTACTCAGTATACGACAGGGACAATTCTTGAAAAAAGAGAGATGTCCCTGTCAAAAGTTGAGTAGTATATATTAATATTAATCTTAATAGTCAATGACAGGCCTGTTATCAATTTACAGATTTGTTCAAAATTACTACAAACTCTGCAAACAGTTGGCTGGTTGAATTACACCCCAGATAACAACTACCTTTTGTTTGTTTATTTGTTGTTTAACGCTGCACTCAGCAATATTCCAGCTATATGACGGTGGTCTGTTAATAATCGAGTCTGGACCAGACAATCCTGTGATGAGCATCAATCCAACTGTGTACTATGAGATGCATCAACCAAGTCAGCGAGCCTGACCACCTGATCCCGTTAGTCGCCTCTAACGACAAGCATAGTCGCCTTTTACGACAAGCATGGGTTGCTGAAGACCTATTCTACCCGGATCTTCACGGGTTAACAACTGAGGCTATACACATTAATACCAGTTTGTGATAGATCTCCACTTGTACAAGTCTGATCAAAAGGGATTCCCCAGTTTATAAATATCATATTGGATATTATTTGATAAAGAACGAAATAATGATAAATACACTAGGGGGTTCGAGATCATATATGTGTATGTAGTTAGTAAATTTTTATTTATGCTCAAAACAGCAGTATTTCAGCTACATTGAAGCTTCCGTAAGTAAACAAGTATGAGCCAGGGAAAGTGGTCGTTGACAAGACAATAGATCCACATCTAGATCAGGGTACAAAGTTGTACAAGTAACCACAACCGTCATTTCAGCTGGCTCCTACAACAAGCATGGAGTTCTCTAGGGGCAAGTGGTGGTCGGGTAGCCTGGTGGTTAAAGCGTTTACACGCTCCATGCCGAAGACCCAGGTTCGATTCCCAACATGGGTACAATGTGTGAAGCCCATTTCTTGTGTCCCCTGCTGTGATATTGCTGGAATATTGCTAAAAGCAGCGTAAAATCATACTCATTCACTCACTCTCTAGGGGCATAATCTACCTGGAGTTCCCACAGGGACTTATTTATCGTTATATATATATACTACTCAAAAGAAGTTAAAGAACACCTGATTCTTTCATATTACACTATTGTTAATCTGTCATGGCATGATAGTAATAGTAATATGAAAGAATTGGGTGTTCTTTAACTTCTTTTGAGTAGTATATTAATAAAGCAAGTAAACCATGTATGTCACAACAGTTGAACATTTTGTCACTTGGGGACATGCATTCTTTGGATGACTGTTGATTTTGACTGTCAATGCTTCTACGATGTTATGTACGACAGTCTCAAGGCAAGATGAGTATATGAGTTAAGAACAACACACAGAGCACATGACTTGATTGACAGCTCCAGGTCACATGACCAGAACATTGTAACAGTGTTGCAAAAGAGCTGTAAGAGAAATACGGAGATAACGCCAACAGAACATTCATATACAGTTTATGATGCAGCTGCTTGCAGTCAAACTAGCAACGCATGACTAGGGCTCAATGTAATACGCCGACAATGCACAACCTAAAGTTCAGGGTCTGTAATCTGTGAGGGTGCTTCCAAAAACTTTAAATGTCTTTGTCATATTTTTCTGATGGAGTCATCATTGATTTATAGTGATCCATCATATAATTTTCACCGCTATTTTGCCTTCCACGCCCAATGGGTTCTGTTTCGTCGAGCATGGACATGTTATACTTTCAAACAATAATGTGGATATGAAGCTTTTCATGGAAATATCACTTTTCCAAGAACTGTACATAGTTAATGGATATTCATACCTCAAGGATAATGTTCCTTGCACACACAATTTTTTAACAAAAGAAATTTCACTGTTTTAATGTTCCTCAACCATGTGACATGGGGAAAAATAAAAATGAGAAAGATTAATGGTTTGTTTGAAAAAAAGTGAATAAAAGTTTTAAAAATAATACCAAAAAACAATATGTGTATTATTGTCAATAAAAGAGCTTTAATAACAAACGTTTGTTAAGATGAAAAGGGGCTCATCCATGTCAGACGAAACTAAATTGATCTGGGCTGAATACCAAAAAACATAATCATGTTTTCATAATAATCACTCTGTTGTATAACAAGACACTTCACAACACCCTTCATTTGTTAAAGTACAGTTTCATAGTCCTAAATTTTAATTTTTAAACCAGAGACCCTGAACTTTACGAATTAGTAAAGACTGTGAGATAGTCCTGCACTGATGCTGCAACACAGACAAGTATGAGGACTGATTGTCAACCGCATTCCAAGTGAGAATGGACGGACGGACGGATGGAAAGACATGTGTGGGCAGTTACCTAGTAATCACTATCCCAAAAGGCTGAAAGAGGAGAGAGACAAGACGCCATTAGTGCAGAGAATAGTATGAGACAGGTGGTCACAGATTCAACTGCCAAAATCCTCAAAGCATATCAAAAAATATTCACAACACAAAATTAACTGATGAAACCTTACTAAACTCTTAAATTCTTCAATGCATATCAAAAATAATTTGCGAAAGAATTACAGGAAAATTGTAATAATAATTTATTTTTTTAATTTTGGTCCATTAGTTTTGTATTCAAAATAATGGTAAATTTAGATGAAATCTTTATTTGTAAACACCATTTAAAACAATTAGCATATGTTTAGAATGTTATTACCATACAAATATATATAGGTTATGCTGTTGAGGATGAGTGCAGTAACAAAGCTGGGCCCAGTGCTGTAGTGGGATATAGAGAGATTGCGAGACAGTGGATGGACGGAAGAACTGTCTGTCTGACATAGGACTTCATTCTCAGCTAAATAGTCCCACACTATCCAGACCCATTCTGACATTCGCCTATTACCTCACAAAACTCTCCACAGGTCATCTTCATAAACTGAGAGAAAATTACTCAATTAACACTTCTCCATACTTAAATAGTTTGTCTGTTTGTTGTTTAACGCCACACTCAGCAATATTCCAGCTATATGACGACGGTCTGTAAATAATCAAGTCTGGACCAGACAATCCAGTGATTGATATCATGGGCATCGATCTAGGCATTTGGGATACAAAGACATGCATCAACCAAGTCAGCGAGCCTGACCACCCGTTCCCATTAGTTGCCTCTTATGACAAGCATAGTCGCCTCTTACGACAAGTATTGGTTGCTGTAGACCTATTCTACCCCGGATCTTCATGGATCACAAAAGAGTACCGGTACCTAGACTAGGTCAAGACATTGTTACGTGTGAAACTACAACTCTCGGTGTAACAAGGGTAATCATTTACTGCAAGACTGATACACAACATACATTAAATATCTGGAGGAGGGCTGATTTTGAATGACTTGAATCAAAGCGGCAAGGACTGTCATTAGCTCAAACCTAATCCCCCTTAACTCTTAGGGCAAGAGAAGAGATCCTGATAATTGTGTCAAAAGCAGCTCCTCTTAAATGTCCCATAAATACTGAGGGAAAAGGTTAATGCATGTTGATGAACGAAACATTGGAAAAATATACGAAGTAAAATTGCTTGTTATCTAAAAATAACAAAAGATGACATGAGTGAGAATGTGTAATGTTAAAACACAGGTTACAGCCTGTTACAGCTCACCCCAAAATAATAAACCATGGAAGAAAAATAGGACACATTTTTACCTTCCAATGTGAGTATCTCAAACAATTTATTACTGCCTGATTAGAGTTATTATTCATCGCGAATTCCATCTAGTAGAAGCTCAAGAATTGTTATAACCAGAAGAATCCAAACATGTTGGTGTTAAAGGTAAATTTTCAACATTGGATCATTACTTCATTAAAAGTTGAAATGTCTACTCCGAAGGGTGAGGATGGTATTATTGTGTAACTTGTCAGTGAGGGGCGTAGGGATAACGAAGGGGATTAATATTGACCTGCTTGCTCCTTATTTTGTTAAGGAGGATATGTAATTGAATAAGCGGCAAACAAAATCAGTGAACCTTTTCCTTAGGTTTTCTGTCAGCAGACGATGCTCGGAAGGTTCTGTTTATCAATGGGACATATTAGTTAATGTACAGGTGTCATGAAATATACACACTGTAGGACTATATACACATTAATTGTCATGTAGTATACACTACGTATAACTATATACACATTAATTGTCATGTAATATACACTACGTGTAACTATATACACATTAATTGTCATGTAATATACACTACGTGTAACTATATACACATTAATTGTCATGTAATATACACTACGTATAACTATATACACATTAATTGTCATGTAATATACACTACGTATAACTATATACACATAAGGGACGAGGGACTGGTCATCTATTATAGGTAGGTGGGCTGGTGAGATAAAGGGTGGTGGGAGGGGGGTTATAAAGGGGTATGAAAAAATGACATGGCGAAAGAGGGGGTTCGCCTAAATGTATCACAACTACAATTATGTGGTGGGCCATGAAAAAATAAGTTGTATTTTCTCCCCAAAATATCCCAATATTTAGGGACTGGTCTTTTTTAATAGGGGTTGGGGGTAGGATGGGAATAATATTACATGTATTGGGGGGTGAATTAATTTGACATAAAATGGGTGTGGCCGCAAATTATGAAACAGTCCTAAGACCAATCCCACCAACCCCTTATAATAAATTACCAGTCCCTTAATTGTCATGTAATATACATTACGTGTGACTTAATATGCACCATATGTAAACACAGTAACGTAACATACACTAAGTATGACATAATGACTTGTATACCCCTTAAATAAGCACATGTCAAAATCTTAAAGTGTTAAACACTTAATGATACTTCTCAATTAACGTTTCAGTATTTTGGGGATAATGATTTATGGTAGACAAACACTCAGAAACTTAGGGTTGATAGTACTGAATAAAGATTTGGCAGAGATACCAGGAAAGATATTAAATCACACAAGTCACTCATAAAAGGAGATTTCACACAAAAGTCTTTTCTTCACACTGTCATATGTACAAGTCCCGCTAATGATATTGGCCGTCATATGTACAAGTCCCGCTAATGATATTGGCCACCTCCACCCACCAGGTATGTGATACAGTTACATGATACAGTCATGTGATACAGTCATGTGATACAGATATGTGATACAACTATGTGATACAGCTATGTGATAAATTCTCGTGCCACCTACATGATTTCCTTTGACTGCGTGACCTCCGCCTTTCTTTGGGCACACGTGTAGAGGGTGCTGTGGCTGTGCGGACACATGCCTCCAGAATCTCATCATCTCCCGTATCGTACATCTCGGAATCGGTCGTCAGACAGCCCCGAGATCCCATACTTCTTGCATCTGAATTGGTCACAACCAGCTCTTGTACACAAGCACAATAATTCAGAATGTTTACATATCAGTGTAACACAAGTTCTTACTGTTTAATTTTCAAACAATGCATTCTCTTCTTTTGAATATGATTTTTGTTCAATCTCATCAAAATAAGAGTTTTGACTCTAATTCAATACCTTTAGAAAGATGTGACTTTCAGCACACCAGTAAGACTGAATACACTGAGACTTGACATGAAAAGTCAATTCAGACATATTCTATTGTATAACAAGATCCCTTGGGCGGAGTGGGTGAGAGGTCTACAGCATCAGGCTAAGAAGTGCCTGGATTCCACTAGTGACCAGGACCCACTTGCACAAAGCGATCTTAGCGCTAAGATGATCATAACTCCCATACTTTAACATAGGCTTACAATAGTCTTAGCGCTAAGATCGCTTTGTGCAAGTGGGCCCGGGTTGTCATTTAGCCTATGAGCCAACAATGCTTACAGAGTTGTCACTACCCCTAGCTTACAGGACATTCATCCTGTCCACTCAAACGAACCCACTCATCCATAGGTAGATGACAAGATGGAGGAAACACAAATACGTACATATACCCGAAACCCAATTAAGTGTCAAAACGTGTGGTGTCACTCTGGATAAGTGACTTAATTCAAATTTGTCTCTGTTCACACAGCAGAGAATGGGTAACTGATATGTGAGGTGGATGTAAAAAAAAGCCTGTAGGCAGCATGGGTTGTATACTTCCCAGGGAGTTGAGAATGATAACTGGAATGCATACAGGTCCTTTGATCGTGGAACAAACATACACAGAGATGTTTGGATAAGTGAGGTAAATAAACATATGGTATTTTCTTGTTAGAACTGGAAGAATTGTAGTGAGTGAGTGAGTATGGTTTTACGCCGCATTTAGCAATATTCCAGCAATATCACGGCGGGGGACACCAGAAATGGGCTTCACACATTGTACCCATGTCGGGAATCGAACCCGGGTCTTCTGCGTGACGAGCGAATGCTTTAACCACTAGGCTACCCGACCGCCCCAAGACCTGGATGAATTGTGAACCAACCTATCCGCTTCCTGATTTTCTGTCCAGGCAGCCCACGTTCATCAGCACTAGCATAGCCATTCTTCAGTAGCTTCTGCAGCTCATCCTCTTGATGACCATCCTTAGACTTGGCGAATCTGTCCGTCTGAAAAAAAACAAAGCAGGAGTGATCACTGGAGTCTAACACCGTGGTCAGCAGTCTATGAAATATTTTAAAACCCTGGTGAATTTGCATCACATACAAATAAATAAACCAACAGTAGGAGTATTTGTTTGTCTGTTTGCTGTTTAGTGCCATTCTCAGCAAAATTCCAGCCATATGATAGCAGTCTGTAAATAACTGGACCAGACAATCCAGTGATAGATATCCTTACATTTGGGATATGATGGCATGCATCAACCAAGTTGCTGAAGACCAATTCTAACTTGGATCGTCATGGTTGCACCAGCCATAACAGATTAACTATAGTTTTAACAACAAACAAGGTGCTCTTCAGTGATTGACCAGTAATAGTAGTCATAGTTGTCCTCATGTAAATAGATGCAGTAGTAGTATAGTCTAAGGGTGGAATTGGGCAACAGGGAGTCACTGACTGGATTTGAGTTGTCTCCCCTGCAGTAATATTACCATCTCCATTTTTTTCAAATAAAATACTTCAAATTCGGTCTGTTCAAAATACTGTTTGAAACTGTATATACACCAAGGCCGTAGTTAACTTTTTTTGACAGGGGGAGCAAATATTTGTACAAGTATCACTTGTCCCCGACTTGTATTTTCATGATTCAAATAAAACTGTTTTCTATAAAAAAATCCAGGGGGGGCAACGGCACTGTACACTGATATAACAGTTGATTGCATGACAGAACGTTATCATTGGGGATATGGCTGTGAAGCAAAACTCTGCTGCGGACAAAACTGATGGAGCAGCTCACCTCCACGATCATCTTGCCCCGTGTCTTCTTCCTCTCTCTCTGGTTGGCCTTCTTCTCACGCTGCTGGATGACTTTGTCGCGAGTCGTGCGGTACTCCAGTGCAAACTCACTGATGATCTTACAGAAGTGGTTGATCCTCTGGTCCTTGGCCATGTGTACTGGTAGCCCCATGAACAACAGAAACTTGTGGTACCTGGGAACATGAGCGAGTGAGTGAGTGAGTGAGTATGGTTTTAAGCCGCTTTTAGCAATATTCCAGCAATATCACGGTGGGGGACACCAGAAATGGGCTTCACACATTGTACCCATGTCGGGAATCGGGAATGTTTGGCGTGACGAGCAAACGCTTTTTAACCACTAGGCTACCCGACCGCCCCACCTCGGAACATGAGACACAGCTTCATGGCACGTACATCCACGAGGCAGCGAGTTAAATTAACGCTGCTTTGAAAAGTATTTCGGTTATATCATGGCAAGCCAGCTTAATGTGGAAGAAAAGCCCAAAGTCTTGAATGTTTCCACTTAAGACGAGAAACCCACAAACATGGGCGCTGACAAAATGAAACATGATCAAGGAGATTTGAACCTCTGATCATGATTGTCATAGGTTCCTGGCATTGAACTGTTACTGTATGTTACTGGAACTGTTACTGTATGTTACTACTGTACAGTTCCAACATATCTGTTGATAAAGCATAGCCTGTAGTCACAGACCCTGAAGCAAAACTATTCAAAATATCCCAAGTTAGTATATCTGATAGTTTGGCAAGACTAGATTTCTATCAATTTCTAAAAATGAAGATTCCTTGTTCTCTTTTTATGAAATGATTGAAGACAATTTAAGCAAAAAAATCTTAAATATTTTTGTTTCCAAGGCTAAATATGAATCTACAATATGTGAAGAAAACAAGACATGGAATGTCCTCTGTCAGGAAATTGACTTGCATTTATCAGGGTTAGAAACAAACAGTTTCTGTCCACTAGTCCTTAAAATGATCACTAATGGCAAAACCCTTAAAAATGGCAAATTTCTACTCGTCCTTATGATACCTTTACCATTGGGCAGTTTGGCAAGGACTATAGGACTAGTGCCAATTTCTAATGCTGATTTATTAACATGGTCTGCACTGTGGTGGTGTGCACCTGATCTACATCAGCCCTGGAGAGCCCCTTTAACAACATGTACACAGGCAACTGACCTGTTGATGACCCTCTTGAAGATGACCTGCAGCAACATGATCCTCTCCGCAGCATCACCCAGGAACACCAGCATCCTGACAGGGAATAATGTCACAGTTAGTGCTGTCTCATTTTTATTTGTTTTGTTCGTTTCTTGTTTAACGCCGCACTCGGCAATATTCCAGCTATATGACTGCGGTCTGCAAATATCGAGTGGAGCAGTCAATCCAGTGATTGACATCATGAGCATTGATCTATGCAATTGGGATGTGATGAAATGCATTAACCAAGTCAGCGAGCCTGACCACCTGATCCCGTTAGTCGCCTCTTACAACAAGCATAGTCGCCTGTTAGGGCAAGCATGGGTTGCTGTATATTCTCTACCCGGATCTTCACAGGCCTGCAGGGTAATTGTTGCATGCTATGGAACACACTTCCCATGTCATGTGTCTGAAAGAAGTCAGGGTGCACACTCTCTGCACCTACCCACACACCCCGGGTCCGGCATTGAAGTGAGTTGCGATGAAGTGAAATGGGGAAATTAAGGGGGGGTTCTGCTTGTACTAGTCTGGACTAATACCAATGTTAGAGTGCTGGCCCATTGAGATACCATGCTGCACTTTAACATGAATACCCCACTCAGACAGTATACTGACTCCAAGCCGACCATTAACCCTTAATGCCAAGCACCAGACAGGGTAACAACAAGTACCATATTTTAATGTCTTTTGGTATGACATGGCCGGGGATTGAACCACAACCTTCCACTTTCCAGGCAGATGCTCCATCCACTACACCACAGGTGGTGAGGTGAAATTGGGTTTAACGTCGCATCCAAGATTGTTGCTCTTATATAGCGAGGTGCATGTACGTGTGTGTGTGGCTGCTTGTACTAGTCCGGACTGATGCCGATTTATAGTGCTAGCTCACTGAGATACCATGCCACAGTTTAACATGAAAACCCCACTCAGACACAGTATACTGACTAAGAGCCGACCAGTGCTTGTTTTAGCCTCTTAATGCTGAGCGCCAGACAGGGTAACAACAAGTTCCATCTTTTCACGTCCTTTGGTATGACGCGGTCGGGGATCGAACCGGACCTTCCGCTCTCCGGGCGACTGCTCTACCTCTAGACCACGGAGACGGTCGCCACTACACCACAGAGGCGGTCAGATAAATTACAAAGCTAGACACAATCAACTCACTTTCCCTTCATGTCTGAGGAAGTGCCGTCGTGTTTGATGATTGCTCGGAGGTAATCCCAAGAGGACTTGCAGTCACATTCCAACTTGTTCAACTTGTTGGTGAGCTCATCCCAGTCAATCTGACAACACAAACATGGGATCTTCAGTAACATAACTACCCTTTTCTCAAGTTGACGTATCAAGATTATTTGCATAATTGATTTCCTTCAATTCAAGTCTTGGCTAAAAGTATAAGACAAGATAATGCATAGGTTTCTCGTCTGGAACATGATTTCTCCTGCCACAGATGTGTACAAAATATATGGAAACTACTTATGTTATTAGGACATTGTGCATGAATATTTTACTTCTTTTTTTGTCAACAATGACATGCACACAAACATTAAATGAATAAGTAAAAAATGTCCACTCCCCCTTCTCAGGGTTCAAATAAGTAACAGCCATACTTTCCTCTGTGCATCGTCAACCAATAGTTTTGAATGTGGAACCGTAGTCGTAGGCGTAACGGCTGATATACCTTTAAGTATGGGCATGTCAACTCACCCGAGAGCACCGTGTGAGAGGTCCAAGTTCGGAGTAGAGATCAGTGGTGTCAGGGAACTGGTCCAGGATGACATTACACAGGTGATGAAGAAGAGAGTGTTTGTGCACTGTGTCCTTCACCTCAGGGATCCGAGACAAGAAATCTACCGAGAAAGCTCGGGCCTGCAGGAGCAAAACATGTAATCAGGTAACACCCGAAAAGACAACCCATAGTTATTCATACTGAACAGAAAATTACAGGATCAAATTTCATAAAAAATTCAAGATCCCTAACCTTTTTTTTAGTTTATTTACTTTAAAAGGAAAAATCTCACACGAGGATCTAACATAAGCATAAGAAGATTTAACTTAATACAAGGCCATCTTTATTTCACTAGATTATCCCTTGGTGTTAATCCAATGAGTTCAGCTTAAAAATCACCACTGTCAAAGCTTGACATGTCAGCCTATAAACCGTCAGATTTGGCTTGGCATAAAGTGAGTGAGTGAGTATGGTTTTACGCCGCTTTTAGAATATTCCAGCAATATCATGGCGGGGGACACCAGAAATGGGCTTCACATATTGTACCCATGTCGGGAATCAAACCCGGCCGAACGCTTTAACCACTAGGCTACCCGACCACCCCCTTGGCATAAGGGAATCAGTTATAGATACAATTTAAGCGTATCACAAACCATGACCTGCACCATCTGGGTACAAGGACACACTGAGGAGGCCAGAGCTCTGTTCCACAAAGTGAGCTTCAACACCTTGTGTGACACTATCGGTATTTGGGACCTGCTCTGAACATCAAGAGGATATTCTAGTATGATTATCTAATGAAAGCCACTGACCTGAGCACCATTTAGGAAGTTACCGATCGCGAGGATCGTAGACAGGATACATCTAAACGTCTTGTTTTGTGTCAGTGTATCAATGCCTTTCTTCAGGTCCATGAGGGGCTCAGACACTTCCTGTCGGGGAGAACAATATTGTCATCAACATGTTTAATTACACACAAAGATCATTTTCATTTTGATTTTTCAATTTTTATCAGAAATACATTTGACATTAATTAAAGAATCCATTATGCTAAACATGGCAAAATAGAGATAATATCTTGCTACAAAAGAGAAAAGATATAAAATAAAAAACAACATTTCTGATTATTTTATCTGAATATGTTGGCATGTGAGCAGTATTAGTTAGGCTTAACAAATTGTAACCTATTGTCTGTCAGTAAACGTATTGTCTGCACATTCATTTAGTTATCATTGGGTGGAATATAATCAAATAGAATACACTTCAGCGTACATATACTACTCAAAATAAGTTAAAGAACACCCACAACTGGAAGGCTGTGAGTTGCAATACCCATCAGACATGTTTGTTTGTTGCTTAACGCTGCTCTCAGCAATATTCCAGCCATATGACAGTGGTCTGTAAATAATCAAGTCTGGACCAGACAATCTAGTGATCATGAGCATCAATCAACGCAGTAATGACAGATTACCCATAAAAAAACCAAGTTGCTCTTAAACTTCTTTTGTTTAGTTAATACCACCAAAAGGACAGCTTTATGGTGAAGGACTCCTTCACTTAAAGATCATGCCAAAGGGTAGGACGAATGTATTTACAATGAAATATTCTCAGCTGGTATTGTGTACCTCGCTGTTGAACAGTGCCTCCTCCGAGAGGTCAAGGGGGCAATAAAGGCATTGCTTTATACTACCAGTTCACAGATTACATTGAGTGAGTTGGTCTCAACAATGCTTTATTTTCAGTTTAAAGGTGTGGGCGGAAAAATCTGGCAATTCTAAAATTTAAAAAAAAAATTACTACTTTGGCGAAACACCTGAACATGGGATTGGTGCTGACAAACCAAGAATCATAATCAGGGTGAATCTGGGATTTGAACCCAGATTACTGGTTTTTGGTATGCCCAAGGGATGCAGTTCAGCTAATTGCATCTTAGATACTGGGCCATATGTACCCCCCCCCCCCCTCCCCTCCCCCCATCACCCTGCCTCCCACAGATTGCATTACTGTATTTTCTTGTGTATAGTGCACACTTTTCCACGTCTATATACAAATATACATCTGTGTTGAGTGGCTGTTCATATTACATGCAGACAATAAGTCCTCATTATTTTTCCCAATGCAAAGACATTGCCTTGAGCATGGAACACCAGATATAGCATGTCAACAAATCTGTACTGAAATAAGCAGGTTAGTCCAGTTATTACATTATAAAAAGTGTTTATTGTGTTTCTGGACTTACGGTAGTTATCTAATTTATTCAAATTTAATTCCATCTTGTTTAATTTTGGTGAAATAGTATTTGAACTGAAGGCAGATCACACCAGCTCACCGTTATTTATAGAAACCACGATCAGATTTCTGCCATTCACACCTTAGTTGTCAGAGAATGGATACATATATCATAAATGCCATACTTTGACTCATTAAAACACATTTGTTGTAGTTTGACTATGATATGTCAAATTGTTTTAACCATGGCAATAGCAAGACACTAGAAGCCTCAAACGGTGACTCATCAAACACATGTAAAACTAACAATATACCAAAGGGCTTATGGTTATTTTTAAGCGATCACTATACACAGGAAGATACCGTACATCAGTGGACCCGATAAAGACAAGGTGTCATGCTGCCCATGTACTTGCCTGTTCCATGTTCTCAAAGTCCAGCTTGAAGAGCCAGAGCTTGAGTCTGGGGATGAGCTCGGAGATGGAGGAGAGGGTCAGGAGGAACTGCTCGGCTGTCCCCAGGGGGATGTCAGGGTTCGCCATCTGCGCCTCAAGGATCTTCCCCTTCTCCTCATCCGTCGGGATCATCGTCGACAGGATCTTCTGCAGAAACACAAAGAAAATCAGTTCATTTTAAGGCGATTTTTTTTATACCAAACATGTCAGCTTAATTTTAAAGTGACAGTGCTTTGGTGAAACCTACTGCAAGGTTTTGGCGCTGATAAACAAATAATGATTAGGGTAGACCTGGCATTCCAACCCAGCCATAAACTTGACACAGCTGAGGGAAGAATCTTTACATACTTGATTAGCAGTGCGGCAGGAAATCGCGCCATATTCCTGAAATATCACAGCAGGGGACACCCAAAGTGGACTTGACACATTGTACCAATGTCGGAAATCGAAGTGCCTTTGGCGTGATAAGCGAATACTTTAACCACTACACTACCCCATTGTCCCTACCTCTGAGGAAGGAAAAGAGATGTGGGTGTTCCTCAGAAAAACATACAAAAAAAATGAGGGAGCTGGGTTTAATTCTGTTTAGTACAGTATTTCACAGGCCCAAGAGATGCAGATCATATGTGTCAAACACATGGAAATTTTGGATTTGAATCAGTGATCATCAGACCCTTGAGTTAAGACATGCATCTCCACAATGTAGGTCATGGTGCTACTTTGCTGAAACCCATATATTAGTATCAGGCAAACTGTTGGCTCACCAAGGTTCATACTTAGGGCCACAGACTAAGATCTAGCCTCTGAAATGAACATATCTTACAGAAAATAACACTTGTAAGCAGTGGTAAACAGTTGTAAAAATATGGTTATAAAATATAATAAAAAGAAGCCAAGAGACTTTCTTCATCTTCATTACTGCAGTTATCTAGACTTGCCAGGGCTGTATTGGCTATATTTGTTTCAGAGTCTGTGGAACAGACTATCGGGGCCAATACCTAAGTACAATCAAGTAAAAATAATGTGATCAAACCTACTTAACAGGTTCCCAGGAATTGATCATTTTTCATCTACTTACTTCAATGCCCTCTTTATTCATGATTGACACATCCATTTTCAAGATGGCTGCCTTGATGGTTCTTGGAGGTGGCAGGACTGTCAGACCAATGTTGATGGCGTTGGATCGCTTTGGATCCAAGACAACAATCTCCTTCCTGGACCCAGTTTCTTGTTTCTGTTGAAACAGGCAACAACAATCTATACTTTTGAAGCGTGCAATATGGCAGCCAGTGACATGATGAGAGCTATGTAGATGAAGGATACTGGAAAGGAAGGCTGAAAAGAACAGAACAAGGAGGGAGAGTCCATTGACAGGACAGGGAGATGGGAAAATCCACTGCCACAACAAGTAGCTTGGAGAGTCCACTCACAGGATAGGGAGTTGGGAGAGTCCACTCACAGGAAAGGGAGTTGGGAGAGTCCACTCACAGGAAAAGGAGTCGGGGGGAGTCCAATCAAAGGATAGGGAGTTGGGGGAGTCCACTCACAGGAAAGGGAGTTGGGAGAGTACACTCACAGGATAGGGAGTTGGGAGAGTCCACTCACAGGAAGGGGAGCAAGGTTTTTTAAGCTGGACATAGAAACAGGGACATAAACGTTGAAATTCAGTTTTGACCATCCTCGGTTATCTAGTGAATTATATCTCCATGTTATTATTACATATACCCTGGACACATTTGCCACCATAGCTTCATTTCAGACGTGACACATCACTGGCTACGCTCTCTTATCACTTACTCTCATGCATAAAATCAATAACCAATCAAAATCCTTCTTCTGAACATAGTTCGGCATAGATCTCCATTGAAAATTGATGTCTCATCCCAGTAAGCCCTTGATATATTAAATCAAACCAGAAAACTGTTACAAATGATTTTGAGCTGGAGAGATGTTTTCCCAAGGAACAAGACAGGGGAGGTAAGTCTTGCTACAATGTTGTTACGGTTGTATTTGAGACAACACGGAAAAGTCGAGATGAATACTGGTGATATCACTGCATGTTTCAAACACAAAAGAACGGCGGCGTCAATTAACTGGATGTCTATTTTTAACTTTGCATCATTCAAACCAGACTTAAATGTAGGTAAGGTGGCAAAAGGGTCCAGGATATTTATCACAATAAAATGAAGATGTAATACACTGATAATGGAGGACTAGTGTTGAGAAACATGTCTCCAGTTGCTCTTCATAAACTCTTGTTGTTTCAACTTTCATTAAAAACACAATTATGGCATATCTATCCAGGGCAACAGGTCATATTAGTGTTTTCCATGTCCAGGAAAGTAAGTAGAAATTAAAGCTTAAAACTAGAGTGACAGCCAGACAGAAAGGAAGACAGCCACAGTAGAACAGTGAAGCCTAGCAAAGGCAGTCAAGAGGAACATTATTTTCCAAAGTATTCAATCACTTACAACAAAAGCAACAAAAGCAATGTTTTAATGACAGAACTTGCATGAAATCATGAATAACTAGCAATACGAAGGATCTTGCAAATGTTAACATAAAAATCTATGAGGCAAATTTCCTATTTCTGCAGCACAAGTATCACAATATCCAACTGCTGTTAGAAGCTTGACCAATGAGATTACAGCACATGATGATGAAGACAGGGAGAATGAAATACTTTCTATATTTACACACTGATATGTCTCCTTTATCACATCTCTCACTAAACAATACCTACTTTATTCCATGCTTTGACAACATTCAATTATCGGATAAGTAACGTCAGTGAGCAGGATCCTATCACTTACACTATAGAACAGATCTCACTAATTCAAATGATAGATTTGTTTTTTTACTTTTACATTAATTAAAAATTATGAAACTGGTTTGTGAAAATCATTCATACCAAAATCATTCGTACCAAAAATAATGTCAATACATACCAGAAGTGAATCTTTAAATGTTGATAAGTTTTAGGCATTCTTGGTATGAAATCCTTTCATAAACAGATTCAATCACATTTACAATATTCAATTGGTGAATATTAGCCATTACTATGCTAGTTCTTACCACTTCCTGTTAACACAACCACGTGACAACATGCATATTAGGCACCAGCAATGTCGGCAAGAGTGCATGAAAATAGAAGACATATTATTTGCATAGTTGAGTTCAAACAATATTATCACAGTGCACGTGTCATCTGTTTGTAAATATCAAATTGTGGTGCTGAAAAAGAACTGCAGTTATGAATTCAAAACTTTTGATCAAGCTTAATCCATTACAACTTTATTCTACAGTGTTGGGAAACGTCAATTTATTTTACGTACATTGCCAATTATTTGTTTATTATAGCATTCCCAAGAGATTTCATGGAAGAAACAGTTCAATACAACTAACTGTTAATACTGTTATAGAAATATTATTAATGTCATATATATACCTTTCATTCAACTGTATCAAGAAGGATAAGCTTGATCATGAAAAGTGTCATTAAATCAGTGTAAATATGTAAATCCAAAGTGCATATAAAACAATGTGTTGAATCCCTTTCCTTATTGCTTTAAATCAACAAAACTTCCTAATCAGTATAACAAACTGTCACCTCAACCATCTTCAAGAATCACTCTTACATTATTACAAAAATTATTATAATCAACGATAACTTCAACTGTATATTTGTTTTGTCAAATCTATTTCCAATAGTAACTTAGTCATAAAAGTTGTCAAGTTTCACAAACAAAATAATTCTTGAAGATCATGCCAACATTTGGAAACAGAAGAACATCATTATAAACAGTCCTTTACCATGATCCGGACATGAAACTGTTGGAAATGACAAGTAGCCTTAGATACTGATGTCAATATTTAAAAGTACACGTGTTATACCAAGACAGCTAGAAGAAACCCTTGTAAGAAGTTGACTCTTGTCTATAATGTGCCCCCACTTATCCCCTGATTCTGAAAAAAACATCTTCTACAGTACACTGCTCTTGAATGAGTGAGTGAGTGAGTATGGTTTTACACCGCTTTTAGCAATATTCCAGCAATATCACGGCGAGGGACACCAGAAATGGGCTTCAGACATTGTACCCATGTCGGGAATCGAACCTGGGTTCTTTGGCGTGACGAGTGAACGCTTTAACCACTAGGCTACCCCACCGCCCTGGACTTGGATGAGGATCACCATACAGTGAAATATGTATGACCATTTCTATCAGATATCATTAAACTGACTTGATGCAAACTATCTGTGTTTGTTTACAGTTACATTGTCTTTGAAATAATCTGAAGATATTGGTGAGCATATGAATTGAACATATCAATCATGAAAGTTTTCAGGCCTTGAGTAACACCCAATCACAGCTTTTATGAATAAATTAAAATGCTCATAGTTGACAGAAAGAAGGTGCTATCCATCCCAGCCCAACAACAAATTGTTTGCTATGATGTTGAGACTTTGGGCCTCTGTATAACATCCCATGTCGACTTCACTACATGTATTAGCTGTGTTGTGGTGATGTCTGTATTCACTCAAAATACAAACATGTCAAGCCTGTTATCAGTATAGGTAACATATTTCAGCTTATCCTAAAATCTGTTGAGCTCTAATGTAAGTAGCTTTTAATTATTAATATTTGTACTGTACTAATTGTACATTCTTCATGTTCTTCAGTATAATTTTCATCAAAGAACTTTTCAGCCAAAGAGGTGGTTATTTCTAAATATAATCAAAGCTGTCAAATTAAAGAAAGTAATGTCTATATGGGTAAATATCAATTCCGTATTTTTGTGCAGTGATTGAACTAATCAGTATTTATGAAACAAGAAATGTCGTACATGCAAGACATATTTAATCCTTTTTTAACAGTTCCTTATATTCAATAAACAAAGTATTTATCTCTAAGGCAAGGGCTCAATGAACAAAGCCTGACATGTTTGTATGAGTTAGAAGCACTCGTGTAAGCTGTGGCCACTCACCTTAGTCTTAACCTCACTGGACCTGGTTTCAAACAGGTGCTCCAACTTCTCAGGATCAAGTTTGACTGTGACAAGCTGCTTCCACACTGTCTCATCCTTCTCCTTTGGAGTAGCGGGCTGGGTCTGGAGAGGTCTCCAATGGAGACGGATAGTCTTCTTGTTCTTTGGCAAGTTGGCTCCCAGGGGAGGTGGCAAATTAGAGTCCTCTGGGGGAGGACCACCCATACTGGGAGGGGGTGGGGGTGGAGGCATTCCTGGAGGCATGGGTGGGGGTGGGGGCATGCCTCCCATCATTGGTGGTGGGGGTGGGGGTGGGAAGCCCCCGAGGGGTGGTGGTGGGGGAGGGAAACCCATTGGAGGAGGAGGAGGCATATCACCATTCATGTCAAATGCCATCTTAGGAGGTGCAAACACATCATCGTCATCCTCATCCCTGAGATCTGTGAAGTCCATGTCTTTAATTTTCAGAGGTCGCTTCAGTCTCCTCTGAATCCTCTCCCACTGCATGTCACTCTCTGTCTTCTTCACTTCAGGCTCTGGCACCGGTTTAGGTGCAGCAGGTTTAGTATGCAAGCCATCCTTAGCACGCCCAATCAAACCACTAGAATCACCTTGAGGTCTGCCCATCTCAATGGGCAGCTTGGACTCATCCTGAGGACCAAACCTACTAACAGCACTCTGTACATTGCCATCAGGTAACCTGTCCAAAACATGCTTCTTTGGAGGCACATTGGCATTAGAACCTTCATGGAAAGTCTCCTTCCTTTGAGAAACACTCCCTCCCTGAATATACGGACCTTGCATATCATCCTCTTCCAAACCATGCTTCTGTTTGTACATCTGCCATCGTTTGTTGCTTGACAGTGCCTCTGACTCACCTTCAGGAGCATTGCGCATCTGACCTTGATTGACTGCATTGTTCTTAGCATCCAAGTTATTTGGTTCATAGTTGTCTCCCTGACTGTTGAAGCTCTGATAGCCAGACTCGTTCAATCTCGAGCCTTTGGAACCCCTTTGGTCATCTGCAAGGGAAGTCAACTCTCTATGGATTTTTGTGTACACCTTGTCAAATATTATCAGGAAAAGGAACAAGAAACAACAGATTTTGTGTTCGGTTTACATTTATCTTTAGGGTGAGTGGCATTTGATTGCAGTGATGTCTTGGGCGGGTCATCAAGAAACAGTTTCACAAATTGTACCCAACTTACTTTCAAGAAACATATCATATCAAAGTGTCATATCAAAGTACAGTCCTACCCTTATGGGGAATCAAACCTGGATTATCTGCATGATGCGTAAACATAACCACTTGGCTACCCGACTTCTCACTTAAGAACCAGAATATCAGTTTCCAAAACATCATGGCAAGAATGTGAACACAATTATTGTTTCTTGTCCTAATTATACATGCAAAAGTTTCACATTCCATGCGTGAAAACACTGAATGAGCCAAGTCATGCTTCAATGTGCATCAACCCTGACGTCATAGTGAGTTACACAGCATACAGATAGATGAGAACATCATCGGGATGAAGACCGCTCTATCTTGTCATCTCACTGATTTATACTACATCAACATATACAGCTTATTATTAGATTATTAGACGACATGAAATACTTTGGTTATAAAACAAAACCTGACCCAAATGCAATACCTGTCCTCAATGGTTAATTTGGAGTATTACTGCACATTTTATTAGTAGTCAAATGGGCCCTTGTCATTCGTAGTATTAGCGGGTGCAGAATACATAGAAATCTGTGAACTGCATTTGAGGGCTATTTCTTGCCCCTTCATTCACCTGATGAAGTGGTGTGTGTTTGTTTGTTGTTTAACACCTCACTCAGCAATATTCCAGCTATATGACAGTGGTCTGTAAATAATCAAGTCTGGACCAGACACTCCAGTGATTGACATCATGAGCATCGATCCACGCAATTGGGATAGGATGACATGCATCAACCAAGTCAGCGAGCCCGACCGCCTGACCACCTGATCCCGTTAGGTGCCTCTTATGACAAGCATAGTTGCTCTTATGGCAAACATGGGTTGCTGAAGACCTATGCTCTACGAGGATCTACATGGGTACCTAATGAATTGGGGAAAATTAGCCTGAAACTCTGTTACCAACAATTAAAATGGATTTTCTCTGCAAGACCTCATGACTGCTGACCAAATGACGTTTCTGTGACACCCTTTCCTAATGAGTCAATATCACTGAACATGGACTTGTCTCTGAAATACCTCATTATTGCTGTCCAATTGACTTTACTGTTAGACACCTTACCTAATGAGTCAATATCACTGAAAGAACTAAAGGAGGCAGGATCCGGATCTGGCAAATGATCGTGGGCAGATTCTGGGGGGAAGGAGCTAGAGCTACTGGTGGTGCTGGTGGATGATATACTGGCCACTGATATGCGATCAGCCTCGGGGAGATCAATGTTTTTCAATTCTTGTTCCTTTCGTAATGTCAGCTGACGTTCCCGCCGTCTTTCTTTTCGTTCCTGTCGACTTTCTGAGGCTGTGGGTATGTATACATGCAGTTAGTGGCACCCACATGCACAAAAACAATGTCACACATAGTCAATCTTGATACACTGTCTTATCCTGAGCGCTATGAATGACCAATCTACTTATGTTTTGACTATTTGCATTGTGGTTCAAATGATATTTGATTTTTAAAATGAAAATATAAATTTCATACCATGATTAATTAAACTTTATTAAAACAGTTTTAGAATATCAAACAAAACAACATATTTTGAAAATACTTAACGAATGGAAACTTAAAAAGATAAAAACTCCAAATTATTTTAAAAAATTCAAAACAGAAATTTAAGAAAGTATTGTCTTTCAGCCTCAGGATAAGAAATAATCTAGTACATCACCAAACACATTAATACATGCAGCAATGATCAGAGCCATAAAACTCCTATCATGTCAACACCAGGGTACTTTGTTCCTTAATTAGGTTTTAGGGTACGCTGTACAGCTATAAAGGGTCTTCTAATTATGATAGGGTTGAAGTCAAAGGGGTTAAAGTGATGAATGTACCTTCAATATTTGTCGCTGGAATTACAGAAGACATAGACATTGTTCATATTTCTCAAAATGTTTCATCTCATGAAAAGTATGAAATTGGTTTATAATGATTAATTAGTTTGATTCTACAGTTTATGCACGACATCCTAAAATATATAAATACATGCATTCCATTGTTAGTTGACAGCAAGGTATTGGTCTGTGCCATGATTCAATGGCCCAATATCACATTAACATTGGAGTTTCCCAAAGTCTTGATTATTAAGGTCAAAACTGAGTGGACTATCAGCATTGTCAGACCTCAGTGGTGTTGGCATTTGGTAGTTTGGGGATATTCAGTGGAAGTAAAAGCTTTCACACAGGGGACAAGTTGTTGATGTAAAGTAGTGAGTGAGTGAGTGAGTGAGTGAAATTTAACGTCACATCGGCAATATTTCAGCCATATCGTGACGAATGATGTAAAGTAAACGTGAATCCAACAATATTTTGGAGTCTTATCAATCGTGTAATCAAAGAGTCAGCTCTAATTGTTGATCACCAAATTAACGATTCTTCAGTCATATATGACATCCATAAACATATACAGTCAGCTCCAGGCATCGCAAGCTTACAACTTTATGATTTATGTTGTAAATCGTACATTTTGAACTTGTTCATCATATCGCACTAAGATAACATATCACTGTTCAGTGATAACACATATTACACTGCATTGCATTACAACCTTATGTCTGGAGTTGATTGTATGGTTAGCACACACATGATTTTGAAATTTAAGAACTAAAACATGCAGAATACTCATGCATTTGACATGTGTCACATGATGTTTTGTGAGTACTAATGGAAAACAATTGTTGATTTGTGGTTGTCACGAAAATAGAAGCTATCATTCGAATGGCTTTCAAAATGGAATGTTGTGAGGGTAATAGTATATTCAGAATAAGTGAGTCATTTTACTTATGACAAAGCAATTTCATACACAATTTAGATACAATCCCAAATGTGTGCCTCAAAATGTCCACTATCAATAAATGATATCCAATTACAAATACATCTAAAGATATTTTTTTCTCAGTATGACTAATAAATTGTTTCTATTAGCATTTTCATAAGTGCTCAAACTTCAAATTGATGGACAGAGCCATATAAGACAGGAACATCCTGCCCCATATCTCCTGGTGTATATAGACAATACTGTCCTGAATCTCAGGGTGTATATGGACAAGAATGCTCTCCAGTGAACAATGGCTGACAACAAATTCTACATACACTGGTTTCCATTATGCTGGTCTTGAGGGAAGGACTTGCGACTGCGCATGGGGAAGGGATCATTGTCTTCTGTCGGAGGACGGAACTGGCTGTAAACAAAGAGGAATTTATACATAATTCCTGTTAATACCAACAGGTCATTTTCATAAATGACATTTGCATGAAGTCTGCACATCAAGGGAGACAACCCTTCCCCAAAGGAAGAAAACTGTTGAAAGTATAGAGGGGACTACATTTTGAAAGCTACCTTTGAAGAATGTATCTCCCTATCAGTGAGTGAATGCTGTGTTATGCCCTGTGAGTATTCCAGCTATACACTCTCCTCCAAACAAGAAACGCCTGTTGTTTTCAAGATAGTCATTCAGTAGCTTCTGCCAGGCTATGAAGCAATAGGTAAGACCTGTGTGTGTTTGAAAAGCCAGAACATCTAGACTTCATTTTCTTGCATGAAAATTATTTTTGAAATTATTGCATTTAGATCTGGAGAGAATCTCATTATTCATGCATCAATTCTGATGACAAGCTTTGATGTGGTATTCGGGACCGATTCCAAAATCCCCACTGAGAAGAATGGAAAATGATCTGGAATTGAGCTGTAAGATCGGAATCATCAGATGATGATAGAAGGGTAACACACCGATGTCTGGGGTCAAGGTCGTCATTACTGACATGGACGTGTGCACCCATCAGCCTTCGAGTCCTACAGCTGTTCCCCTCGGAAAATACCTCCCTTATGTCAAAGGACATAACAAAGGACCTTACCTACCAATAAACAAGTTAAGTAGTGAGAAAGAAAGCAATCACTTGCTGCGCGCCTCCATCTTGAGTTATTTCTTGCTCTCGCGAGATCTCGTGATATATTTATGAACTTTAACATTTAACATAGCTTATGTACTTACTCAAGCTGCTTCTTTTTCCTGTACATTTCTGCTGGAGTTAGTTTTTCTGCATCCTGGGATTTCTGAGGCAGTACTGACATGCTGACTGACTTTGTCATCTTGGCCATGCCAACACTGCGCCGACTCTTACGCCCATCATCCTTACTCGTGGTTCGAGGCTGACGTCTGGAATATTATACAACCTTTGTTAACCTCATTTGTTACAAGCTCATTACCCAAACTAAGAAAATAGTTTACATTACCAACTGACTCTTTTGAGTGTTTGACTGCATATGCTTATAAAAAAAGTCAGTTTTCAAAAATGACTTTATACTATTTCCCACACAGCAAACCTCAGGAAGAGAATTTATGGATGTCAACTTCTTAATTATGAGGAACACAATGTTTCAGAGAATATACTTACTCCTTCATCAGGTGAAGGATGAATGAGTGAGTGAGTTGGGTTAACGCCGCTTTTAACAGTATTCCAGTTATATCGCGGCGTGTCAGCTTAATGTGGGAGGAAAGCCCAAAGTGATGCAGGTCTCAGACGTTTACCACTTCGGTGAAACCCACGAGCACAGGTAAGGTGCTGACAAACCTAGAAACATAATCAGGGCGAACCGGGATTCGAACCCACGATCATAGGTTTCTGGCGTGCCCAAGGGACGCAACTCTGCACAGCGAATCGCGGCGCCTTAGACGACTGGGCCACCTGTGCCCCCAGGTGAAGGATGAAGGATAAAGGAGTAAGTATATACTCCGAAACATTGTGTTCCTCATAATAAAGAAGTTGACATCCATAAATTCTCTTCCGTATGTATATCACTTCTAAATGCCTTTCAAAGATTTGAACAAACCTGAGATTTTCCAGCTGAGGAATATCAGCTTTATCCTCCCCATCTTCACTCTTCAGGGCAGCCTGCACAGAACAAGAAATGAGTTTTACTTTCGGATAATTATGGAACACACATATTACCAAGCTTGGAGACAGTTCTTTTTAAAAAAACATTGAGTCACTTTAAAAATAGGAAATGACATGGAAAAAGTCTGTTCTGTTAAATTTGAAAAAAAAGACATTTAAGGACAAGAAACTAAAGCAATAAACAGAATGACAAAGGCAAACTTTAGGTCACTTAAGCAAACATTTTATGACAAACGGACCTCATATGTCTGGAACTGTGTGATGAGATCGAGGTCGGAGCCCTTGCGGTTTATGTGCCTCTGTGTGACCCGCTCCATGCCTTGTTCCTCCAGTGCGTCCGTCACATCATAGAACGAGTCCTGGTCCGGCAGTGCATTGATCACCTGTACAGATTCATCATACAGATTCATCAGACTCTAGGTCTAACACAATCCATGGCAGTAGATGTCTTTACAAAGCTTTAAGAAATATACCAGCAATAGTACAGCAGAGTACAATGAGTGAGTTCGGTTTTACCCCACTTTTAGCAATATTCAAGCAATATCAAAGAGGCGGACTTCAGAATAAGCTTCACACATTGTATCCAAGTGGGGAATTGAAACAGGGGCTTTAGTGTGAACAGGTAATGCTTTAACTAGGCTCCATCCCAAGAGAACATTGTGGCCAATTTATGAACCAGTGAGTGAGTATGGTTTTATGTCACTTTTAGCAATATTCCAGCATTATCATGGCAGGGGACACCAGAAATTGGCTTCGAAAATTGTACCCATGTGGGGAATCAAACCCAAGGTCTTCGGCGTGACAAGCAAACGCTTTAACCACTAGGCTACCCCACCACCCCCCAATTTATGAATCAAACTCAGGACTTCTTTGAGTCAAGTAAACACCTTTCCCACTGAGCTATATCCCCACACCACACTTCATTTGACTGCCAGTAAAAGTGAGGTGAAATGGGGTTTAACGTCGTGTTCAAGATTATTGCACGACTGGATTATCATCCAATGACATTTGTAAACAGATGGAATAGTACTGGGTGGTAAGAATGAGAAGATCTAATGCACACTCCTGGCACTGACCTTGTTGATGAGTGTCATGGCGTAGATCAGGAGCTCTGTGTCAGTGCCGTCCTTTTCATCCAAAATGTTCATCAGGTTGGACCAAGGTCGGGATCCTAGAAATAAACATAAGTGAGTGAGTGAGTTACTAAGGTTTAATGCTGCTTTGAACAGCACTTCAGTTATATCACCGCATGTCAACTTAATGTGGGAGAAAACCCACAAACACAGGTATGGTGCTGACAAACCTAGAAACATAATAGTGGCGAACCAGGATTCGAAACCTAGGTTTCTGGTGTGCCCAAGGGACGGAACTCTGCACAAGGAATTGAGGTGCCTTAGACTTAGCAACTCATGCCCCCAGCATAAAAAACTCAAATAACCCTTTAAGTAGATTTTGTAAACATATTTATTGTTTGAGATAAAAATTCCCAATCAAATCAAGCCTGGGCTTATTCTGTGTGTTCAAGAATTAAATACTTATTACACTATCAAAGACCAGTTTGCATATAGATGAAAACAAAAAGGTGTAATGTTGTTTTGAAATGCCTTATGAACAATAATCTCTTTCCTTAATTCCTGAACTTATTCATGTCAAACATGCATCTAGATCATATCAAATCTTAATTATTCTAAATGTGAACATATTATAAATACAATTTCCGATTATTTCTCCACGTATATTTATCACAAAACAAGCAGTTTATTCAATCTTTGTACAAACAATGAAAATGGTGGCAACTTTTCCTGAAATGAAAATTCTTAGTCACAATACTAATTTCCAACCAAAACATCTCTGAGGGCGAAAACTAAATTCCAGACAACATGGAAACCATTTTACCTTACTAGCAAGATACCCGTGCACTGTATTCCTGACTACACATCTTCAACAACTTACACCATTTGCCTAAAAACATATCTCTCAGCAATAATACTACTTATGTAACAACTCATCTCTGAGAGAAGATGCCGCCTTCCTGACAACTTACACTGAACAAAAAACGTTAGGGATCATTAGTATGTTTTTTGATATAATTTTGGAATTGTGTGCTCAGTATTCACTACAAAAAGATATCACCCAAAATATTCATGATCCCTGACGTTTTTTGTTCTGTATATGTCTCAAAGCCAATGCTACTTTCCTGACATACCTCTGCGAGAGTCAACACTTTTGATAGCCTTGATGAGCTGTTGCGTATTACTCTCTGTGTACTCCACGAAAACCAGGATCAGCTTAAGTGCCGTCTTCACTACGAGGCGGCCCTGAAAGGAAGCGAGCGTGTGAATGAGTCTACTGTCCAGTAAATGGGATGAGGCGACATATTGTCCTTCACTCATCCTCTATTCTGTGGTTAGGTCACTGACATATTTCAGAATAGAACTCGGAAATGTTGGTGGGAAAATGGTAGAATGAGGGGTAGGAGTTTGATTTCTCTGATGTTTTAGACATACAGGAAGTACTGCATGGGACTGGTGGGTGAGGTTTGAAGAGGTGAGGTCAAATGGGCTTCAACGTCACGACCAAGATTATTGCACTGACACTGCGACGTGCATGCACGTGTGTATGTGGCTGCTTGTACTAGTCCGGACTGATAACGATCTTACAGTGCTAGCCCACTAAGATACCATGCTGCAGTTTAACATGAATACCCCACTCAGACACAGTATACTGACTCCAAGCCGACCAGTCCTTGTTTCAGCCCCTTAATGCCAAGCGCCAGGCAGGGTGACAACAAGCACCATCTTTTAACGTCTTTTGGTATGACGAGGCCGGGGATCAAACCCCGGACCTTCCGCTCTCCAGGCAGGCACTCTACCACTAGACCATGGAGGCAGTCCTGCAACTGACAGGATGCTATGTGAACTTGTATCTGTGTGCTGATTTGGCAAGTCTGCATCAGGATTCAAAGGTTGGTTGGTTGTTTTGTTGTTTAACGCCGCACTTAGTAATATTCCAGCTATATGACAGTGGTCTGTAAATAATTGAGTCTGGACCAGACAATCCAGTGATTGATATCACGAGCATCGATCCACGCAATTGGGATTGATGACATGCATCAACCAAGTCAGCGAGCCTGACCACCCGATCCCGTAAGTCGCCTTTTACGACAAGCATAGTCACCTTTTACAACAAGCATGGGTTGCTGAAGACCTATTCTACCCCGGAATCTTCACGGGTCTGCATCAGGATTCAAAACATACTAGTACCACATAAATAAAATCTGGAATGAATATCAAGTCTAGACATCTGACACAAAACAAAAGTCATTGACAAATTAGAATATAAGGTTAAAATATTAAAATTAGAAAGATATATTATTCTTCCATAAGGGTCGAAAGGGGAAAGGATAGTCGTAACACTGTGTATCGCGATGTGTCCTATCGTTACCTTTGATGCAAGCAAGCCATACAGCCACTGCACTGTGGCATTGTGTCGGATCACCCCTTCCATACCATCCACGTACAGCATCACCTGTCCCAGGGCTGCAACAGTAACAACATTGTACTCAGTGCTACACAACAACAACAACATCTATAGATTCATTTTAATGAGGTGTAATAGTCTTAGCATGACATCCACTGTACATGAGATTATCATACTGTGAAAGTAAGGCCACACTTTTCTATGTTTGATTTAGGGATTCGACTGACTACAGCCAAAGCTAAATTCAGAAAATATATAAAATGCTGTAAATTCATTCTTTTTTGCATGACTGCTTGATTTTTGAGAGATTTGAAAAATATAAAGAGGTAATGTTTGTTTAACAAATTATAATTGGTAAAATACATTGTATGTTGTCTCTGGCTATTGCAAACACCTTAGAAAGAGAGAAAAACATGTCTCTAAAATAAAATATTTAACATCATGGACTTTTAATAGAGTTAGCATTTAACTTATCTCCTTAAACTGACAGAACTAAACAAACACCAATTGAACCAAACAAACACCACAAAAAGTAAAAACATTCAGCAAAGTTATTCATATTTATAGTTATATAACCAAGCTAATTTTGTAACCTTCACTGTATAAAAATAAATCAAAAGCGAGCCTAACCAACTCACCCCTAAGTATATAGTTTTGATAGTTCTGGTCCGCCTCCGAGCCCACTTTGATAAGGCAGTCAAGTCCATCGTTGTTGACAAACTCATGGACAAGATCCTTATCATCCTGAAACACATCCCATCAAAATGTACATCACCTCAAATAGTCAAGTACATCTATATCAAGTTCACATCACAGACATTTCACCTGTATCATTCTCTTCAATGTAACTGAACATGTTATGACATATTTATTAGTCGTTTGGCCCAACCAATTCCTGTCCTTGTTTACAGATGGCAATAACTTCAACTCATGATTTTAAAATCTGGAAAACAATCAAAGATTATTCTGGCCTAAGAAAAGTTTTATATTATATTATATTATATTATATTATATTATATTATATTATATATTATATTATATTATATTATATTATATTATATTATATTATATTATATTATATTATATTATATTATATTATATTATATTATATTATGCAGGTATCCAGGTTCTAGTATCTGCTCAAGTTTGGTCTAATTTGTTCCACGACCAGTGTATCCGTTCACGTTCCATTTATTATTCTCAACTCCCTTTGGAGTATACAACCCAAGCTGCCTGAGGGCGCTAGAAGGTTTTTACATCCACCACACATATAGTTCAAATCACTTAAAGCTATCATGTGATTTCAATACAGGGATGTCCACCAACACGCTTGTTTAACCAGTGATTTGTTTTAATGCATTTCATCAAAATGTAATTAAATTCAGTTTCATAAATGACCACACACACATTGCAAGATGATCATCAAACATTCCAATAACCAATATAACATATTTAACCTGATCCTTGTGACCCACTTCAGAGCATGAATGGCAACGCTCCAGCCTCAAGTGTACATTTCCCATACCACTTAAACAGTACATGAATAGCTTCATTCTGGTGTTGTGTAATACATCATGGCATAGTCTGCATTCACAGACAGATACCGAGCATCTTGTATATCCTTCCCCGGAGGGAGAAACAGTGTAAAGTACAAAGTACAATGTTAATAATTACCATTGACACTATTGTTTTAAACATTATATTATATTGTATTGTATTGTATTGTATTGTATTGTATTGTATTGTATCGTATTAATTATATTATATTATATTATATTATATTATATTATATTATATTATATTATATTATATTATATTATATTATATTATATTATATTATAATTGTATTGTATTGTATTGTATTGTATCGCATTGCATCGCATCGCATCACATAATTATATTATATTATATTATATTATATTATATTATATTATATTATAGTGTAAAGTACAAAGTACAATGTTAATAATTACCATTGACACTATTGTTTTAAACATTATATTGTATTGTATTGTATTGTATTAATTATATTATATTATATTATATTATATTATATTATATTATATTATATTATATTATATTATATTATATTATATTATATTATATTATAATTGTATTGTATTGTATCGCATCGCATCGCATCGCATCACATAATTATATTATATTATATTATATTATTCCATCCATCCATTTGTCAATCTATTATACCACATATCATACATGCTGTACCATCCATTCACTCAAGTTACATATCATATCTATACAAACATTCTTTATCTATCATTTAGTATAATATATCCATCCATTTAAGTTATGCATCATATCTAAACAATCATTTTTATCTATTATAGGATATATTATATTCATCCATTGATTTGTTATTTACTGTATCCATACAATTATCTAAGTTATATATTGTATGTACATGATCATTCTTTATCTATTATATGATATATTATATCCATCCATTCATTTAAGCTATATATCATATCCATGCATTCATTCTTTATCTAAATGATATATTATATCCATCCATATAGCCAAGTTATATATTGTATCCATCCAATCATTTATTTATCTATTAAATATTATGTGATATATCATAACCATACATCCATCTATCATTCACTCATCCATCAGGGTGGTGGGGTAGTCTAGTGGTTAAAGCGTTCACTCGTCACGCTGAGGACCCAGGTTCGAATCCCCACATGGGTACAATGTGTGAAGCCCATTTCTGGTGTCCCACCGTCGTGATATTGCTGGAATATTGCTAAAAGTGGCATAAAACCATACTCACTCATCCATCCACTGTTTCACCCCATTTCCTTTCCATCTCTTCAATAATTAAACCAATCACTCAGTACTAGTATACTCAGTGTTGAAGTCCTTCATGCTGCTAATTACCGTATTCGACGTAATAAGCGCCCTGCTCTAATAAGCGCCCACGGCGATATTAGCCAATATATTGGCTAGTGAACAATCTCAATTAGCACCCCTTCCAAGTGGTTTACGTACACAAGACTTATTTATTTCTGTATAATACGTACTCGTATGTTATATGCACTCTTTATTATGGGCAATTAAATCCTGGAAAAATATTTCTGTCGTATATAAACATTTCAGGCTGTCAGCATAAACCACGTAATTCAACTCAAAATAATACTCTAATAAGAGCCCCCTATTTCTAATTTTGAGAGCGCCCTGGGCGCTTATTACGTCGAATACGGTACTTGCTTTTCAGCACCAGTCAACTCACCTGAAAGATTTGCTTCAGTGAAAATAAAGCTCTCCGTAATTCTCTCCCAGAGGATGTCAGCAATTTTTCTGAAAAAAAGAGAGTGAAAAACATTCACATATTTCAATCAAATTTAATTTAAAAAAACAACAACAACATCCATGGTCTGAAACTCCAAATATCAGAAGAGACCATGTCAGACCCCAGCTTGTACAAATTCTACACAAAACATATGAATCCTGCACACAAGACAATCTTGGATGATAAGCAAAATTCGGTTTGCTATAAAACACAGTATGAATAAAGACAATTTGCCCTGTAAGTTATCCTCAAAGTGTCAACAAGAGACCGAGCCAGATCCAGCTTGTCCAGCTTCTAAACAAAATCCACATCCTGCACACAAGACAATATTCAATGACAAAACAAAACTTGGTCGGATATAAGAACTAGTATAAATAAAAACAATTTGCCCTGTAAATGATCCCTCATGACGTGGGGCCTCTCTCAGGTAGACAAGAGTGTACAAGCAATATGACTTGTCCCCCTGTACCCCATGAACTGAAGAAGATTGGCCAAGTAGGAAAAGCAAACAAACAAACAAGAAGTTTTTGGAATATTTTCCATTTGTAACACAGAACCAGACAGAAGAAAATATTCAACGAATTTGTCAGCGATGTTTGTTGAGTGATGCCACCTTGTTTAACACCTTTTGATATTTGCATTATATTATACAAGAGGATTGGGAACACTTCAAATATGTCTTTAAAACAATATCTGCACTTTGACAAGGTTTCTCAATGCTACAACTCATCCTGGTCCCCTTATTAACATCAACATGATCAATGACAATATCTTATATTCAAATTAGATCCAGACAAGGTTATTTCCTACCAGAATCCCCCAAATTAACCGTATTCAGGTGAACAAAAAATTATAGAATTGGAAGATAAAATAATTCTGCTTATCCCAATTTCTGATTTAGTATTTAATTACCAATGTAGTACACCATATCACCAGAATAGGTAATGACAATTCAGTTTTAAAGCCAAAAATAAAATTTTGACTTGCCTGGAACAATAGTGTCAGGTCGACCCATTAGACTTGCAACTTTGCAGATTATTTTCATTCACTGAATGTTGTGTTAAAAGGCACTTAAAGTTTTAAGTTGTTTATAAGACCTTTTATCCAAGGAAATAATAATAGACATGATACTGAAATATCTCTCATTTCCGGGCGGTTAATGGCGTTATATATGTTATGCATGGAGAACTGAAAACAAGTCAGGCATAGTACAGCCAAGTATTTATTCAACTTCTGTTGCATTGATCATCCTTGAGTTGGCTGTGTGCACGTTGAAAACATGTCTAATCTTACACAGGATCAGACAAGTTAAGACAGTCAGATTGATATGGGTGTATCATATGAGTGGTGATATAGACCATTTACGTGAAGGATGTCATATATGTGTAGATATAGACTATTCTTCCTGGGCAATATCAGATATGTAGACACTGATACAAGTATATCATGTACGTGATGTAGGTTATTTTATATATGGGACATCATCAGAGGGACATTATCATATATGTATATAAGAATATATAGAATATTCAATAAGAGCATTTTAATACATGTGACGATATGGACTATTCGATATGACCATGATAGATATGTGAAGATATTTAATAGGGTAAAATACCATTATCAGATCAGTAAGGATAAGATCTAAATGATATGGTAATTATCAGTAGGTATTTTAAGATCAGGAATTGATGGTTTCTCTTTATATATTCAGTCAAGGATAAGGAAAACTGGATTGATGCCATCTTCTGTATATCAGATATTTGACGGAAAAATAAATAAATTTCGCTATATAGAAAAACTGTCAATCTAGATGGCCCCATTCCGAACGAAACTGTCTGCATTAACAAATTTAATGTCCCTTTGTAAGTACAATAAGATATAGTAATTTTCCATATGGCACGGTTGATTTTCAGCGATCCATTTACAGTAAACTGCGCTTATAATGAACACATTTATAAGGAACAGACGGATATAACAAACTTTTTTTTTTGGTCCTGGCCATTTGCTGTATATATGCTGTATATATGCTTATAACGAACTATGATTATAATGAACTAAAATTAGAGGCCCCTTTGCATTCGTTATAACTATAGTTTACTGTATATTACTTTCATGGTTATTTTGCCCTTTTACAGCGTGTGGAACCTGTTTGGCAGATAATCAAGACTGGTTGTTCTCTGGCATGGACTTTTTATATTTTCTGGACAAACAAGGATCAGTCTATAGAGGTTTTCAAGTCTTCATCAATACTCCTCAGTGTACTTAATACAGTGGTGATCTCCTAACGTCAAAGGCCAGTGTGACAAACTGTGTGTAAATATCAATGTCCTGTGAGGTGTTAACACAGCTATGAAAGGTCCTATCCTCCAATGTAGACAAATTAATCTGTCAGCGGCTCCGATTACACAGCCAGTGAAACCCAAATAGCTCCGATTTGTTCTACACTATACATCATTGTCTCTAGTGTGCACTGTGTCCAATCCAGAATGAGTCCTAGCCGGTGCCATGTTTATAAGCAAGCATTGTTCGGAGTTGTGTGATGGTTGAGTGGCTCCAGCCTTCTCACCCTGGTTGTGTGTGGCCAGGGGCCTGTGATATGAGATTATATACACCAGGGGAGATCATCCTATCAGTGTCAGATTTAACCATTGGCTGCTATTGTCATAAAGCATATGTTCACTATATCCTTATAAGAGGTAATGACTGGTTAAGATGTTTAATGTGTAATGAAACATATGTTCACAAGCATTAATGCCTGACTGTATTTGTTGTCCAAGGTGTTACCAAGATACTGTAGACATTGACATAGGGCCAATAGTCTTATGTTTTTGAATAATTAATTTCTTATACTTTGTTTTGCTAAAAGTTTTGTTTGTCCCTGTTCATCACGGACACTCCAGTAATGTGAGTGAGTGAGTGAGTTGGGTTTAACGCCGCTTTTAACAGTATTCCAGTTATATCACGGTGTGTCAGCTTCATGTGGGAGGAAAGCCCAAAGTGATGCAGGTCTCAGATGTTTACCGGAGAAACCCACGAGCATGGGTATGGTGCTGACAAACCTAGAAACATAACAAAGGCGAACCGGGATTCAAATCCACAATGATAAGTTTCTTGCGTGCCCAAGGGATGCAACTCTGCACAGCAAATTGCAGCGCCTTAGATGACTGGGCCACCCGTGCCCCCCCAATAATATGGAGATTGCCTATAAATAATCAGACCAGACAAACCAGTGACTGATATTATGACCACCATCCCACACAATTAAAGTACAATGACACACACTCAACCAAGTCATGTGTCCAACCACATGAACCCATTTAGCCATGTCTTACCACCAGCCAAAGTTGCTGTGCACCAGTTGTAACCTGAGATCCCAACAGAGTAAAACTATTTATTAATATTGATCCTCCTACACGTGTACCATCTTTGCCATTAACTTGATATATCCCTTAAAAAGATGTGATGTTAGAGCTTAAATATTGATGCAAAACATGGACCTGAAATTTGCACAATTACATTATTTCTAAATAGCTAAAGACCAAGATTTTGTTTCATTAAGTTCCTCAAATTGAGTTCAAAATGTTATTAACTGTCATCATTTGTTGATGTAGTTCGTAAAATAATGAGATTTGGGGAGAAAAGAATTAGGTCCATTTGGTCCAGATTTTAACTTGCCTCAGGACTAACCACAGGAAATTATTGGTAGCTGTGCAAGAAAAATATAAAACTACAGCAAACTATGTTTACGCTTATAACAAACTGACCGATATAACAAACTTATTTTTCAGTCCCGGCCATTTAATGAATATATGCTGTATATATGCATATAACGAACTATGGTTATTATGAACTAAATTTAATGGTCCTTTGAGTTCGCTATAACTGTAGTTTACTGTATTGGCCTTTGGCCTTGTAGGATACATCGATCAATATCTTTTTCCTTTTTTCATACAGCTATGTATTCCTGTAAACTAACAAACCTATAAAATAACCTCCCTTGCTCACCCTGACTGGATACAATACACCTGCTTTGAACTAAATGAAACTTTTGCCCCCAAAACAACTTTCATTGTGACCAACTTGAGTAAGATATCTCCCTATCTGGAGGAGACACCACCACTGTGTCAGACTGTCTGGGAGTATTGGTTACACCAGGAGTATAATACACACAGTGACAGGGTATATAACAGTCACTCCCTGTCAGATAGTGTAACACTGTACACAATACATGTGTTATACATGTACTTGGCCTTATTGCACTGTCCTGCTCACAGTGAACAAAGTGAATATACACACAATAATAGTGCACTTTGTCAGGACATGAAAGATATTTTCTATTAAACAAAATTTATTATCTAAAAAGTTTGTTTGCAAATAACAAACACTATATCAAACCATAAAGATTTCTTTTGACAGTAACAGTGAAACAAAAGAATTTTTATCACTGAGCATGGTAAAAAACAAATTTTATTAGGCTAGTTTTGCATATCATGTACATTTAAATAATTTATTCAAACTCTTTATGCACCAATGTAAAACATGTGATATCTTGATGTTTCTAAATATAAATCCTATTTTCACGATCCTGTCACTCAAATGGGATCGTCCACATTATTCACCTATACTTAACAGGTAGATAACAAGTTTCTTCTCTCTTATGTTTACCTGTGACACTCAGATAGTTATTTACAATCTTTCCCACAGAGATAGACATTTCCCTATCTGATGTAAGATTGCCTCATTACCACTTCAGGGACAATCCAACCCCCATCAATAGGTCTATTTGATGTCAATACAGCAGTGTGGGCTTCTACCAGACTACACTGTACACACATGGCACAGACACTCTACTTATACCTCAGGGTACACTTTCCTCATACCTTGGTGTGCACTTGCATCTATACTACTCAAAATAAGTTACAGGACAACTGATTCTTTCATATTACGTAATAAAGTTTATCTGCATGCCATGACAGGCTAGTCTGTCTTACAGACCCTGATACAAATATATATCAAATACAGCCCATGCAAGTCTATAATGTTTGGCAAGTCTGGATCAGTAGCAGTATCTGAAAATGAAGAGAGTCACTGGGCTCCTTTTTATTATATTTTTATTAAGATAACTGAACAACTGTTTTTTTATGTACGATATGTTCATTTCAGAGACTAGATGTTAGTCTAATGACAGACTAACAATAGTAATATGAAAGAAACTTCTTTTAAGTAGTAAGCCATGGCAGATTAACTATTGTAATATGAAAAAATTGGGTGTTCTTTAATTTCTTCTGAGTAATATATGACTGAGATTTTTTAAACATGAAGATAAATGTTTTCGACCAATTCTCTTAACGTAAACATTCTGATTTGAATAGATATAAAATTTATAAAGAAATAATTTCAAACACTAATTATCAAAGTTGTGTTGACAATTATTAAGATAGAAATCTGGCATATGAATTTTATATTCTTTTCTTCCCTTATTTTGTCTCATGGAACAAACTATTTTTAATCAAGAAAAAGTAAAGGATGGCCCTCGTTCTTTCTTAGATGACTTTGATTGTGCATAGAGCAAGCTCTATATGAGTGTGTGAGTGTGTATGGTTTTACCCCGCTTTTAGCAATATTCCAGCAATATCACGGCAGGGGACACCAGAAATGGGCTTCACACATTGTACCCATGTTGGGAATCTAACCCGCCGTCTTCGGCGTGACGTGCGAACGCTTTAACCACTAGGCTACCCTACCGCCCCTGCAAGTTCTATGTAAAACCTGTAGCTATCTGCCCAGCATGACATACATAAATGCATTGACAGTGTTTGAAATTATGCTCCCTTTTTTTTCAGCACAACTGACAAGTGCGATAGAAACTTAACTGGTGTACTGTTCTGTCAGTCCAATATCAGGTCCGCAGTCATCATGAAGGAATATTTTACTCAAGTCAAATTTATTTGATTTTATTAATTCCATAACTTTTCTTAATTCCAATCATGTACAGCCTCCTTTCCATAGAATATTCAAAGATGGCCTACTGTGTTTTATTTTAAAACATAAATTTTAGTCATAGAATTTTAAAGGGACTGGTTGACTGCAAGTCCATCGGGTATGTTTTTCAAAAATAAATAAGAATCTAAAAATCTGTATTTGAAATCTCACAATTCCTGGACCTACAGATGACTGTAATTTCTAAACCTGCCTGGGATAAGTCTTTCCTGTGTGACATAGCAACTCTCTGTTGCCACACAAGCTTGACAAATGTCCCATACAACCAGCCTTCCATATGGGTGGCTTCGCCTGAAGGACAAACACTATATCAATAGGACAGATTCACTTCACCGTGAGATGTCCATTTAGACTATTTGACCACCCTGAGGCTGAATAATGATCACCTGATGGTTATTGGCAATATTGATAACTGTTGCTCTCCCTACTCATTCACGGCCCATCAATCAGAGTGCTGGAAGAAGTTAAGGACGGGACTGGTGTATGGGCAGTATGACCTAGGGATGGAATGCTGTGTGTACATAATCTCTTGCTACAGTAGCTACATCTTAAAGGAACTTCCGGTTTTATAGTACATCAAGATAGGACATGAATGAATCAGATATAAGCAATAAATTTATGCAATTGTTATCATGTATATATAAATTAATTCTATGCAAACTACATATTTTAAAAGACTCCACATAAATGAATGACATATACATCTGTCATAATTAGAGTGCAACTACAAAGGCTTTATGATATATATTATATTTATACTTGTAATACTATTGATTTTTTTTATGCACATATAGAATACATAAGAATGAATGGCTGAGTTCCTTTAGGTTGTTCTATACCACAATCAGTAAAGTAGACACAATTAATGGATAAGAAGTTCTTTATTTTACGCTAATAGTGACGTTTCAGTATAGATCCTTATACCATTGTCGAGCAAGACTGAAGACAAATTCCCTACCCATAAATTGTGTCTACTTTGTTATATGTCTACTATCAGCAATATCACACCTAAAGAATGTAACAGGAAAATTCATTTAAAATTTAAATTCAATTTAAATCTACCATTACCAATTACTGTCACAATTTAACTGTCTACCAGATAATTAAAGAACATTTCATGAATCTTAATTACCTACTGCATGCATGATGTGAATAAATGCATAAATATAAAATACAAGGCTTCACTAAAAAATTAAAATATGTCTTAAAAACAAAGTCAACTTTAGAAATCGTGTTTACCGGTAACAGACGTGAGGAAATGATGTCATGTGGCCCAGTCATATTTAGCAAATTCCCACTTATAAATTGTTCCCACCACATAAAGCTGGGTACATTTAGCCAATGAAATCACGGGGAAGTTTCACAGAGATTTAAATCTGACATGACGATGTTGTGTGAGAACATTAACCTAAACATTATCCACACAATGAACATTGAAAGGTAAAGGGATTGTCTCAAAACTCCTAAATGGTGTTTCTACATACTGGGGGAAAGGTCAAATTTCAAAGTTCTCTTTTCAAACAGGATTTGTCCCACAATGCAATGTTCACCACCCGGACTGAAGTTCTTTTCTATGACAAACACAGCTTATACAATCAAATGTTTCTGTAAACTATCTGATGATGAATATCATGTGGTCCTTCAGTACTGGTGACATTTCATCAAAGCTGTAAGATTAGACTGTCAGTGGAATGATACTTTTTTCTTTAGCCATATGAGACTTTTACAACAAAAAAGAATGTTCAATTGAACTCCAAACCATATCAGCCCTTCTCAAAATGACCAGGCCCTATCTATATGTGTGCTGTTATTAGATGCGCTGAGACAGCACATTGACAAGCAGAAACAGATTCATTTTGCTTTCAAGCAACTAGTGTGTTGGGAGTGCCAATCGTTTGATGACAGATTACATATGTCATATTTTGGAATTTGTTTTTCCATATCATGTCAAGAAGAATTCGTAAGAACATCTAAAGATACTTGATGCCGGAGATTACAATTGGCTTAATTGTTATCGTGATCATGATTTTGTGTTGTGTCCTGTTTCTTCAAATCCAAAGTTCATGTTTTATAAAATGAACAATAGGCAAATTTCAAAGTCTAATCATATTTCCAACAATAACTAATGACACAATTTCCTTCCTGTATAACATTAGCACAAACAAAAATAGATGTCTACCTACAAGTATTCATTTTCCTGAGGTTGAGTCACAATCCCTATGAACTGAAGTGGATAAAGTCGAATTTCAGCGACACATCATCTTTAACATTACAGTAAGGGCAGTGATACATCGTCTATAACAGGAACACCAAGGACAGTGACTTAATGTCTATAAAATACTACACAAAACAAGTTAAAGAACACCCACAGTTGGTTGCAATACCCAAAAGCCATGACAGATTAACTGTCATAAGAAAAAAGAGTTTTTTAACTTCTTTTGAGAAAAGTATAGATCAGTGGACTACTCACCTATAATAGCATGTACCCTGACTGTCAGCTGAGTACGTAGAATCAGCGTGTTCTTCCGCCTGAAAAGATAGTGCCAAGTGTTAATCAAGATATCTCCATTTCCCCCTGCAGTGTTGTATGATCCAGGCTTGGGGAATACGAGTGTATATCACATATATACATATATATACATAACGCGTTAGCATCCAGTGGGCATGTTCTGGAATAATCAGAGCCCTTACACCATTCACAATGATATGAAGGAAAAAGGATTATCGGTACTGTATATTACGAAAAAAGATGACACATGTAACGGTTTATTAGTTTGTAAATTATGAGTAGCAGAAAATGTAAATTCTTTTAATCAGCTGATGTATTGGAAAGTAATGTCTTCTTGTATGGATGAGCCTACCCCAAATTAAAATGAATTAAAATTGCTATTTTTTACAGATATATTTTTTAAACAACCTTCTTTATTTTTGCTAAATATTTTGTACCATATTCACAGTTAAATGTGAAAAGAGAAAAAACATATTTCAAACATCGATGAAATTAAAATGTTTTCGTTAATGGTTACTTGGCAATTATATACCCCTTCCACAGTGCTGTGTTTTCTGTAGAAAGTGTATACTATACACAGGAAAATATAGACGTCATGTACATTGTCAGGCCTAGTATGTGTAGGGAGCTCATAAAGATTACTTACAGATTGGTTTAGAAGTTGGTCAGGAAATGCGTATTTGAGCATGGGGATTTCTTTTTCATGGACACTTTCCAAATTGGTTTCGGTCACCAGATATGATTGTCATAATTATGCAATCCCAAATATTAATACCTAGCAGTTCAAAACTAGGTAAGTTAATAAAGAAAATCTTATTTGTTGTATACAACTTCATGACAGACAAAAGGATAATGACCTATAATACAGTCAGTTGCTATTAATGATTAATGAAATCTATTCCCTGATCAGACACTTTTGTTCATTATCTTGTAAAACTGTATCTATTTCATCAGTTCAAAGAAATTTGGTGAGAAACCAGGTCAAAAAATATTTGGGGCTTGTGTAGGTGGGTTGGTCCTGTATATATACCACCAATCTCTTTCACCTTTAAATATGTTCACTACCCAGGTGTTAATTGTGTTCTCGGTAATCTAATATGACTTTCAGAACTTTAAATACAAGTGTGTCTGACTTCATCTACCAGCATTATACACACAATAATACACACGATGATGTGACCTGAGGCTCTGACTCATGTCAGCTGCGTGAAAGAGAGCATGTCAGCCAAGTGAGCGAGACAATATCGCCATACAGCGCTGTAACAAGTGTTCCCAGACAATAGCCTATTAATGTGCCATGTATTATCCCACATGGTGAATTTTACAAGCCAATTACAACAGGTGATGCAAAGCATTTCATTACCATCATGTATTCTGTATGCAATGTGCATAGAGTACAGCAAAATAAAGTGCGGTCTAGTTTTGTTTGTTTGTTTGTTTGTTGTTTAAAGCCTCACTTAATATTCCAGGCATATAACAGTGGTCTGTAAAAATCAAATCTGGATAACACAATCCAGTAATTGAAAACATGAGCATCGATCCACCCATTTACATGCAATCAATCAAGTCACCAAACCTGACCACCCGATCCACCTAGCCACCTCTAACAACAAGCAGGTTTCAGTCTAGAATATGTAGTACTGAGCAAGCTCAGTGAATAAAATATATACATGTACGTACACTAACATCTTCGGGAAATGATGCCAAGAGCTATGCTCGGGCTAGGTGTCTCAAAAGCTGTATACACACACTCTATGAATTAGAATATGTACATTCAAATCTACTGCAACTCAAATCAGTGGGCAAATGATTTGAAATATCGAAACAATGAAATCACCTCCATATCCTTGGTTAGACTCAGTTAGATTTGGTCAAAGAGGTCACAATGCTGAGATCACAATGGCGTAATAACAATCAAATCTGGGTCAGAAAATAACAAGTGATTGAGAGCATAGACAACTGTAAACACATCAGGACATGATGACCCTCAGCCATGTCACAAGTCATGTCTCAAGTCTGTAACTGACCCATCCTCCTAAGTCAGCTCCTCTGACAAGCACAGGGTACTGGGGACCTACTCTGCTCCAGAATTGCCACTTGGCTCTAGAAAGAAAGGACTGGACGGAACTGCTATTATGTACAAAGTGTCATTTCGCCTCCTTTTCTGCAGGTCAAGTGAAGTTGTTCACCAGTGCATCAGGGTACTTGTGTGTAGTTTGTGCAACCACACATGGGTGTGTTGTGGCTATTTATACTTGCACAGCTTATGTAAATATCATAAACCATTTTATATTCAATGCTTTATCAGCATAAAGCCTGCATGGATGACTGCAAGGCTGACTTTCCCAACTATAGATCTCACAGTGTCAACCATTATATTAAAAGATCTCCATACAACCATAAAGCTTTAGAAGTCTTCCCTTACTTCTGCGTCTATCAAGATTTTATGCTTGCAAATAAAAATCTTGATGCTTTACCCGATAAAGTTATTTATCTTGTACTCAATACATCCCTTTATATTATTTATTAGTAAGTTGTTTTACATGTCTAAACCAACTTTTTTCTTGCTGCAGAGATGCATGAGGTTAGTTGATATGGGGTTTAACATTGTGTTCAAGATATAAGCGCTTCTATAGAAACGTAAATGTGTGCTTGCGGACGTGCTGGCCACGGTTACAAGTGCCATCTTTGAACGTCTTTTGGTCAGGGATTGAACCACCAACCTTCCTCTCCAGGCAGATGCTCTGATAGACCACGTAGAGAGAACGTCTGCATACATTTATAAAGAAAACATAACGTCTAATGCATTGGATGCTTGTTTCTGTAAGGACTTTTTCAGTCTTTCCTGTCTATTTATTATTAATTTCTGCTACAGCAACAAGTAACAACAGCTCCTGGTGCACAATCATCCACCATCAGTACCCCCTTGCTGGCTCACATGCACGTGGATAGATATATCACACGTTATGCCGGGCAGGGAGGGGCTGTCCTCAGTCTGAGCTGTTCCACCACAGGGATCATCTTATCTCAGACAGATAACTACATCAAATAACCAGTATCGACATCAAATAACCAGTTTCAAATATACTATCTCAATCAAAACCCTGCAGAACAATGTCACAATCTGTTCAAAACGCCATCAATTACATTGACCATAGATAACTTTCATCAAGTTCATTGATTGATACACCAAATGTCATCCATAAATTCTGAAACATACTGGTGTAAAAACAATCAGGAAACACACAGCGACAGGAAACACACAGCAACAGGAAACACACAGCGACAGGAAACACACAGCGACAGGAAACACACAGCGACACAGCAACAGAATGTTAACTGTACTTGTCTTAAAAAAGTTGAAATTCTAAGGCTGCAGAGGGATGCCATTTCAAGTACTTATATCAATACATCTTTCCATCAGAACATTTAAAAGTTGAAAAAGCCTATAGCCCATCTATCTGTGTTTAAACCAGGACTTCTCCTATCTACCATCAGTGGGGAGTCCTGAGCATCATGCTACTTGAGGGAAGTCCCAAGCGTCTCCCTTCCGCCTGGTGTCTACATCAAAAGCCAGGGCACTTCCTCTTTGCTGCATAGGCTAAGACACTCATATTTACTCTTAGGTGTCAAGACTTAACAGGTTTCATAGCAACCCTTGATAATACATATCTCACTTTCTGCGCTAAATTCATTTTCCTTATGTTTTGCCCCTGGGCATACAGCAACTATCTAAGAGCATGTTCAGATTTCTATGAACATTCAATGTTGTATATATGTCTCTTAGGTCTACTATATATTGTATTAATTGTACATACATGTAGAAAATGTAATATGTTGGCAAGAATGTTTTTTAACCCTATAAACATGAAAACTGGAAACAATTATATTCAAATCTGAAAAGCATCATATTTTTCTTTTCCCTCGAATGTTGATAGGGACAGGCTTAATCAGCACTGCACTCATGTTAAAATGTTCAGATAACGCTTGAAAGAAACTCAAGAATGATCTGACATGACTTTTTTTCTTCTTCTTTTTCTCATCTGCCAACTTTGATTTTTCAAGTGTACATATGGCCTAAACATCATGTTTACCATGTCAGATATCTTAAACATTCTGAAAAAGGTTTCATTTTTTATTACTTACTTTTCATATTTGCTTTTGTGATAAATAATTGTTTAGGTGTGGAGTGCATTCGCCACATAATGTACTGATTGAGTGAATATTGTTTTGTTGCTCAGTCAGCAATATTCAAGGTACATCATGGGCTGTAAATGATCCAGTCTGGTTGAGGACAAGTGGTTGACAGCATGAGCAACAATCCATGCGACAATGAAACTCAATTAACCATTTCACATACTGTCACCACCAGAGCAGCATGTAAAATGGTTCTGAAGAGAAACATTCGATACTGAGGGCCCATATGACACAAAACCATATCCTCTTTTATGCTTAGTCTAACACTTGCTAACCACCCGTGAAGATTCGGGTCAGAATTGGTCTTCAGCAACCCATGCTTTTTCTATAGGGGCAACTAACGGGATGCAAATATGGTTGATGCATGTTATCGTATCCCAATTGCGTAGATTGATGCTCATTATGTCAATCACTGGAGTGACTGGACCAGATTTGATTATTTACAGACCACCATCATATAACTGCAATATTGCTTAGTGAAGCGTTAAACAAAAAAGAAACAAACCAAACTGCAAAACATATTGTATGAGAACATACATGGAAACAATTTCATGTGAGCTTGCTTGACTCAGGACAAATGAAAGTTGCTGAATAAGCATATTCTGCTGAACATAACCAGACTACAGCAAGGGGAAAATCAAAGGTCAGGGTGGGAACATTTGACCTACAGCAGCAATAACCAGACTTAATTGCCTATAAACACGATAATGCTAATTTGTCTAATTTGTGGTATGGTGTACAGGGATTGACAGATGGCTATCTTGACAAGCTGACATCCTAAAGGTCATGGCACATCACATTCTACACATGCTGGGCATCAATA